TGGTGTATTGTCGTCGTCGACTTCGTCATCCTCAGAGTCGGCGTATCTTCTTTTATTAGGATTGAGAGAGTACATGCTGTTTTGAAGTGCGCGAGCTCGATCAATTGCGTTCAAGGAGGAGGCACTTTGGACTGGGTTTGTGGTTTGAGCCCGGCCTCTTCGTGTAGATCCAGTTGTATATGAAGGCTGGACAGGAACTTTGGTAGAAGCGGGAGTTGCAACACCACTTGTCTCTGGAGTAGAATAGTCACTTCCATCATTGTAGTCGTTGCTGGTTGAAACTGTGGATAGAGATTGGCGAGATTCCGCAATTTTTCCTTTTCCTTTCTGTTGTGTCTTGGTTGCACTTAGATATTCGCCAATTAAGGAAGGGGATGGAAGATCCGACAAAGAGCCGTCATCATCGCTATCCGCAATGACTTTGGGATTTTTCGAATCGGTCTTTGGTTGAGGTGCAGGAGAGGAAAGTTCATCAAGCTCAAGATTGGAAATTTGTTGTTTAACGGCTAATTCAAAAGGTTAACAGAAGGTACAAGGTATATTGACGGGATCAGGAAATGTGAGAGGAGCATACCAGATAATCGAGAGCTTGTTCGACTACTTCTAGCACTACTCGGATTTCCTGAGTCTGCGACTTTTCGTGGTCTTCCTCTTCCTTTCCCACTTGGCGCCATTGTAAATTAAATTTCACCAAAAGGGACGATGAAAAAGAGACCGAGAAGATGTGAAGACGATGGAGGGGTCGCTGAATAAGGAACAAATTTCGATGAAAGAAATACCAATAATTCGATCTGCGAGATTGATTGAATAATATTCCCCGATAGCTTGTTGTCTGCAGCTCAAAAGGATTATGCAGGTACGACGAAGGATTGGATATAGTGAGGAGGGCGAATGGTGAAAATGGCTTCGAGTTGAGCTTCAGCTCAAGATGTTCGCATGGAACTTATCGAATCCAAAGGTCAATCGATATCATCAAGCCGCCTTATCGAGATAATGCGACCAAAACGCCGATTCCAGCACCTAGGAAGATAAAAGAACGAAAGAAAGAGGAAAGTGACTGGAAGTATCAAAGAAAAGTTTGTGAAGTTATTCACAATCTTTTTAGAAATTTCAAGTGAACGACAAAGTAACGGGTTATTGGTTATTGGTTATTGGTTGGTGGTTTGAAAGAATTTTGAATCGTATGAAAGATGAATCAGATTCAGATTCCGACGGCACCAAATTGCCACCTCCTGGATAAAAAATTGACGGAACGTCATTCGTCAGATAAAGATGAAAGACGCGATTCGAACACCAAGGTCCGCGTTATCACGTGAGTGATCAGGCAGCAGCGGGGTTTTGATGGCATCTGATTGGTGAGATTGTAGATTTTGATTGATTAGATAATGCTGATAAGCACTTTTAAAATATTTTACTGGGTCTTGCTGGGGTCATGCTAGATCTGGCATGTCATCGCCATCACGGTCTGTGTGTTAATAAAAGCACTTAACGCGGCATTTCAGATGAGATGTGAGGCAAAAAGGGAAAAAGAAAGGAAAGAAATGAAAAGGATAAAACCATGAGATGAAAGAAAAATAACTGAAGTTATTCACATTTTGGTTGATTGAATTCACTCTTGATATTCAATCCCACACTTCACTTACCACAACAAAAGACAATTCTTGGAGCGAATTCTCCATCAAAGAATAAAGTTGCGACACACTTCCCTGAATTCCTTCATTCCAAGACACCATCGATTATCTGGACGGAAGAAAGACCAGCACATAAAGACTGCCATTGGTATTCTTCGGATTGACCGGAATTTACGAGACTTCATACGAGAAACAAGGGCAACAACATGTATGCCATTTTCATTACAATCTTTATTATCCTCTTTACTAAATTGTGATAATATAGGAATCCTCCTCCTCCTCCACCTCCCCCTCCACCTGGAGGTCCCACTGCTCAACCAGCTCCCAGAAGATCAATTCGTGGACCGTAAGACTTCAACGCAACTTCGAACTTTCTTGGATACTGATAAAATTATAGTCAATCCGCATTGACCGATTTCCTGGCTGTAAGTTGTTTGATCATCCCGCTCAGTTACGACCTACACTCACTGACCATTTGCGCAGGCTCATAATATCGATGCCAATCAAATTCGTCAAGATGCAAATGCTCGTCGAGCTGCTGCACTCGCTTCACAACAACCCGCTGAAGGCAATGGAGATGACGAAGGAGAGGGAGAAGATGAACCAGTATCTGCGCCTGCTACACGTACCCGTTCCCGCCGCAATGAAAGTGAAGCACAAAAGAATAAGAGAAAGAAGGAAGAAGAAGTAAGGATACCATGTGCTCTGGATCCAATCAAAAGCTAACGAATTTATAGAAAGCAGTTGCCAAAATCAAGGCTTCTAAAAGATTCCAACGCCAAAGAGCCTTTGTATCAGATGATGATATGACCGATGAAGATGAAGCCGCACTTCGACTATTCAATGAAAGCATGGCACCTTTACCCGATCAAATGGAAAATTGTGTACTTTGCGAAAAGAGATTCACCGTTACAGCATACAGTCGAGCTGGTCCGGATGGAGGTCTTCTTTGCCCACAATGTACAAAAAAAATCAACAAGGAAGAAGGGCAAGCAAAAAAGAAGAGAAAATCTCAAGCTGGAGCACAGAGAAGAAAGATTCAAAGTAACCTGTTGGATGGTGTGTATCCAGGCGCCAAAGATTTAATGACCTTGTGTATCGAAACATTAGCCAAAAATGTCGACATGGCCGATGACTTGGGAGATTTACCGGAACCACTCATGGATAAATTGTCGGCCATACTTTCCAAGAGGCGTCTTTTACGTTCCAATACTTTGAATTTATTTCTTCAAAATGGTCGTGAAGTCATCACCATCTATGAAGGAGCATACCTGAACTCTGATGACTACATTCGAATATTTCAAGTCGTACCAAGTGTCAAATCATTACGCATTAGATCTGGTATTCAGTTCAAAGACAAAGTAATGGAACATCTTTTGGCATCCACTGTCAAACTTGAGCACCTGAGTTTGTCTGGTAGTAATCTCATAAGCGATGAAAATTGGAACCGTTACTTCACGGAGAAAGGTTCACACCTCAAATCTTTCAAGGTTTACTATACAGATGGTCAATTTGGTGATGACCAAATAGATGTTATCACCAAAACATGCCCTCAATTGACTCGTCTTAAAATTACTCATAACCAAAAAGTTACTGATGAGGGTATTGCACATATTTCACGTATCTCTACTCTTCAACATCTCGGTTTGGAAATCCAAAAGAGCAAAGCCTCAGAACCATATGTTCAGATTCTTGATAATATCGGACCTCAACTACAAACTCTCTCTCTTGGTCAAGTCCATGAAATCAATGATTCTGTCTTGAACGCTATTCATGACAATTGTCAAAATCTAAATAAATTGCGCATCACAGACAACAGTGTCTTGACAGACGCAGGTTTCGCAAACCTTTTCACAAATTGGTTAAATCCTCCTCTTTCCTTCATTGATTTATCTAAAAATCGCCATATCGACGCTTCCGTTCCTCGTGACAATCCTGATAACATTGGTCTCTGTTCCCTCGGGTTCGAAGCCCTAATGGCACATTCAGGTCTTACTCTCCGCTATCTTGATATCAATTCTTGTCGACATATCTCCCTCTCGAGTTTTGAAAAGGCATTTTCACTCGAAAAGGAATATCCGGAATTGGAGGAAATGAATATCAGTTTTTGTCAGGAAGTGAATGATTTCGTGGTTGGAAGTATTTTCAAGACTTGTCCGAAATTGAAGAAATTGATCATTTTTGGTGACTTCAAGGTTAGGGATGTGAGGGTTCCGAAGGGGAGGATTCTCATTGGTATGCCTAATGCGATGGGGATGCAGATTGAAGGGACTGCGGATGGAGGTGATGGGATGAGTGCTTGGTGAGGGGAGAGGAGGTAAAGTGGAGGGATAAGGATTGGTCACTCAGGATTGAATGGGTGGTCAGCTGTCTGCGGTCTGATTTGTGATTACTGGGGGTGGAGAATTACTGGATAGATAAATGTAATGCGAGATGTGTGACTGATTCTTGAGAGCACTTTATGCGTGGATGGATATATGCATGGTGTTTATGGACAGCGAAACTATGACTTATGTAGTTCCATTGAGAATTACATACATAGTATGTAGAGTAGCATATTGATGTCATGGCGATGATTTTATTTAATTATAAGACGGTATTTTCTTTATACTGCATGCGTGAGATTTTGTGTGATGAGATTACCTAGTATATACATTGAGGGTCGAAATTACGTTTGGGGCGAGGAAATGAGGGGAAGATGGGATTTGGACTTGGATTTTGACTCGTGGTTTGGGTATAGGGAGTTGTGGTGTGGTGTGGTAAGGTGATTTTTGTGGACTTTGGGGTTTTGTGAAATTGGGATAGAGGAGGGATTAAGAAGGGATTGAGAAGGGATTGAGAAGGGATTGAGAAGGGATTGAGAAGGGATTGAGGAGAGATGAAAGATGAAGCGGGAATAGAGGTGGATCGGGTTGGATTGGGGAATATAAAGAATAGATTGTATAAAAAGAAGGGGTAGGGTTGTGTGATGTTAGGTAGAGGTTGGGCGGAGATAAATGGTAGGTCAACGGTGATGGTTGGAGGCTGGGGCTTAGGACAGATGTCGAAAGAAGAGAGGAGGGAATATGTACCTAGTAGTCCGGAGGGTTTGATGTGATCTTTTGGGTGTGTGCTTGTGTTGATAGGAGGGAGAGGAATGGAAATGAGAGGGGGAGAAAGAGTTGAGAGGGGAAATTGGAGGATGGGAATCTACATGGACGTTTAGCTGAGAAATGAAACGGTTTGCGAAATTCTGGTCAGTCGATACCTAGTAATAGGTCAGGAGATCTTCTGATGAATACCTTCAGCCATCGAATGATGTTTCTGGAGTAGCGCTGCATGGAAAAAAGATAGTTTCACGGGTCAAGTTAAATGTATAAGAATGTGCGATCTTTTGGGTATCTTTTTATTCTATTTCTTCTCCACGACTATAAGCTGCGCGGTACTATTTTTTGATTATGCTTTTGATGCGTCATGTCTTTTTCCTCCTTCCCGCTCTCGATTCTCCGGAGCCTTAAATAGACATAGACCGTACCACATACCATTCTAACGCTTTATCTGTTTTCTTCTCCCCCTTAAATTTTCTCTGCCTATGACTCCGATTTCCGTTCCGTCTAGCAATCCAGGAGTACATATCCTCATCCAGATCTGACTCAGCCAATCAAGATCACAAATTTTAATTCCCGAGTCCCAACTTCACACATCCATTACCATCCTCATCCATCCACCATCTAAACCAAATGTCCCGGCAACAAGAAATTTCCAATCCCCTCCTTAACCCGATACTCATGTCCACAATTCGCACAAACTAAACTTCCCTCGTCGATTTCTGTTTCCAAAAGAAGCGTGTGGAGTTCCTTCATCATTTTTTCGTCTTCTTGGAGTGTTTCGGGGGTGGGTGGTGTGGGGGGGAGAGCGGGGAATGAGAGCTAGATTACTCCATTAGCATCTTTTCTCTCTCCTGATGTTTTTACCTCGGAAAAATTGCTTGACTTGAGCGCAAAAGAAGTGTTGCAGATGGGCAAAAGAGGGCCAATGTACAAAGAAGATCGCAGGGAAGAAAAAACAAACCTCAGAAGCAATAACACAGAGCGCCTTCCAATCAATCCGCGGCAGAATATTGAGAAGTAAAGCAGTATTTAAAGGTATATCATTACTAACAAGCGAACATTCTTTTGGATGGAGAGGAAACGATGCGCTGGTTGATTTGCACGCTTTCACGGCGCAGGTGAGGAAATTGAGAGTTAGGAGTTTCATTTTTTTCGGAGGTGCGCGGCGCGCGATGATGTGAATTGGTGGGTGGTTTCGTATGCGGGGGAGTGGTGTGCAAATTGATGTTTATTGTTGTGTGTACTCACTATTTGAGAGGCGTTGGTGGATGGTGGTGGAGGGATAGAAGCTTGAAGTTGTGTTGTGCAAGTGTGGTGGTGTTGGGTAAGAGGAAATTATTTTTTTGCGTTCGCGGGGGAGATAAGATTAGATTAGATTGACGCTAAAGGATAGTGGCTTGGCATGGAGTTTGACTTCACTTCATGGATGTTTTCACAGAACAGCGTTTAATTGAGCCGAGATCTTTTCAATGAAGACGCTTTTTCTTTTTCTTTTTCTTTTTCTTTTTCTTTTTTGTTGTGAGCTGATGTGCTTGGTTTTCGATACGTTCGATACATGCATATAATGCGTCATTGATACGATAGATGGCTGTAATTAGTTGTAGGTAGTATCATGATAGGACGAGGCTTATTGGACGAATAGGAAGCCGGGATGCAAGAAAAACCTCTGAGGGCTGTAGCTATTGGTGTTATGGAAGTCAAGGATACTTTCTGGATCAACAACTGACCTGGATTGAAAAATAGTGGCTCTGCATAGCTAGATCTCTTGACTGCTCTTTCGAACATTTAGCACACTATTGATGCTCATTCCTCTTGAAGAATATGAGGGGCAGGATGTCATTTCAAAATCGCCCGAAAACTAGTCAAAGATGATCCGTGATTGTTATGTATGCCTGACATTCTTCGTACAACGTTCCAAATAACAGAGTAGGATTTTGGCCCGAATGAAACATGGCATTGCCTGACTGTGTCTTCCATTATGTCTTGCAATTTTAAAGAAAAATTGGTTTAGCATCTGAATTTAACAATGCTACGAGACGAGTTGAAGGCAATCGCAAAACTTGCCAACTGAGAACAATCCCGGTGAATCAAACCCTCGATTGGCTAAATAGGCCTTCAATCATGCCTGACGAGATTTGGCGTCAATGCCGGGGATGATATCCACGAAGGATCATCGGTTCGCGTAGCCCGAAGTAGAATCCAAGGCTTCTACAGAGGCGAGAGGGGCGAGAGGGGACTTCAGCTGTAGCCGTGGAGCCCTAGAGATGCTTGCAAATTTTCCAACTTGCATGCATCTAGAATCGGTATCATCCACAGGGTAAATAAAATGCAGTGTCAATGTCCGAGGCATCGCTGTAAGAATCAGCCAGCCGAAATTTTGGTTTTAATTGTTCGTCGAGCTTTGCTTCCATGGTTAATACGAATCACAGTCCGTTGCAAAGACGCGATTTCTGTGTAAGAAGACTATCCTATTTTCACCATCCTCTGTGTCAATTCTAGAAAAACGACCGAGTTGAATCATCCGTTGTTAGTATTGTTACCATGGCCTGTCCAGGTAACTCGGAAGGTGAGGCGCTTGCTGAGCTCCTCAAAGAAACTTTAAAGGAGCTGCGAAATATTTCTTCCGAGTTGGGTGAGCAAAGCAAAGCAAAGCAATTCGGGCCATGACCAAAACGCAATGTCAAACTTTAGCATTTGCAGCGGAGCAGCCGGCGGAAACTGACACATCCAAGAATGGAGAACCGATAAGCGCTTCGACTCTGGTGGGCCAACCTGCGCGCCTCGACTACAGCCATCGATTAGAGGAACTGGGTTTTTGGGGTGATACCGACGAAAGATTTTTCTCGGATGATATTCCTTCAGATTATCTGGAATTTGCAAGTACCCGATAGACCCTCAATCTTTTACAGTTCTTATGGACACTGACGGTAAGTCTAACAATTTATTCTAGATTAGAAATGAGTTGTACTATCATCAGAGTACACATTATCGTCAGAAAAAGAACCACAAGACACTAGTGCGTGCAGAGCTAGACCTCTGATAATCCCTCCGTCTTTATCATCAGATGAGCGTCGGATCACTGCTTCCTCGGCAATAAATAGTGCTCCGGATAACTCTGTTGCTTCGTCGTTTAAAGGTCCAAGTGATTCTTCAGAAATGAAAAATGCTCCGCAGACTGCATCTGCTCAGTCATTTGAGAGACAAAATACTTTATCTACGATGATCGATACCCCGAGTTTATCTGACATAAAATCCTTGAGGGGACCAGCTGCGTTCTCAGCAGGCAACAGTGCTCCGCCAGCATCTGCTACTCAATTAGAAAGAGAGTCGAGAGTTTCCGCATCAACTCAAAGTTGGAGGACACGTTTGGAATGTCGTTTGGAAATGCAGACCTGGGATTGGTTCAAACAATTCCACTATGATCATCGGCTTGCACTAGGTTTTGATACTTTCCAGAGATTTCTCTCTACGAAGAGTAGATTCAAAAATAGCCGCTCTTCAATAAGAGTCAGAGATTGGATCCATCAACAATGTTGCTTTGATTATGAATTTTTAACCAACGTAGTTTCATCCCAAGGCAACAATACCAGCACCCCACATACCCTGGGAAGTCACATTGCAGACATTTATGCACAAAGAAAGGAAGCACAGCTCCAGATCCAAAGAAATGGAAGGGCCAGTAGACAATGGAGGAGAATGATGTTAGTGGATCATAAACTACAGGGCGAGACTTGTGAGAGCTAATATATCTCTCAGACTAGTCACGGATATGTCCTACATGTACAAGTCGATTGAAGATCTAGCTCTTGCGATAAGAAATCAAGATCTGCCGGGTTTTCAATTTATAGATACTGAAACTATACGGATTTCTTGGGACCTTCGGATGCGCAGGTGGCAATTCCAAGAAGAAACGGCACAACTGAGATATTCAGATTCTATACTAAAAAGTGCGTGGAGCTCCCACGGCCTGTGCAAGCGCTCTCATAAAGCGGATTATAAGAGATGGGGCGCGATCTTTCAAATCACCTTTTATGAAATGATCTCAGCAGATGAAGATAGTCGTAGTATCTGGAAAACAGGGGCATTCCGCAATGATCATATTCGAAACTGGGAACAAGTTCTTGACGACGTGGAGAATAATCGTCTAGTTCTTAGGCGCAGTTGCGTTACGGTTAGTCTCTCGTGCCAATCCTCTTGCTTCTCATGCAGACCTAACCTTTGATTAGATTGTTGGAATCGTTGACTGTCTTCATAAGTGGTCTCCTGAGAATTGAACCATGTTATTACTGACGCCCAGCACAACAAAAATTTATATAGACATATATGGAGACGGTAGGCAGGCTGTTGATCGCGAGCTCATAGTAGCATTCTCAGGCATCATAGACAGTAGCACAAGAGCTGTTGTCTGTCACTGGGATATTCTCGCAAACTATTTCGAGAAATTACTTAGCGAAAGTGACAATTTACTAGAGCCTCAGTTACACGACCTCTTACTTGTCGATGATTCAAAATATTCGAAATCAAAAAAGTACTTTTGGGCTTTGAACATCTTAAAGGAGATTGAATCAGATATTGCTGCGGTAATCTCGCAGCTTGAAGGATTCATGGACTTTACGGAACACTCTCCCCTAAAGAAGCAATTCCCTTTACCAGAAGGAAGAATAAGTACGGAGCGAGAAACAATTGTAAAAAAGAAATTGGGTGTGCTTAAGGAAGATCTCACAAGCATCAAGCGTCGTTTCAGGAACCAGCGGGAGCTTACTAAAGACCTTCGAGACGGCGTATGTATCTTTCTAGTCATTCATTTTAGGGATTCTTCAAGATAAACATGAAATTGAAATGGTCTAACTTTCTTTAGCTTTTCAACGCTAGTGCAGTGATGGAATCAAGAGCGTCGACAAGACTGGGAGAGAACGTGAGACTACTCACCTTCGTGAGCATATTTTTCCTGCCACTATCATTTACCATGGTGCGTTTCAGATCCCAGAAAATTCAACCCGAGACTGACCAAGCAATCAGTCTATCTGGAGCATCAACGACAACGCCCTAGCGCATATCAATATCATGATTGGTGTCGCAGTTGTCTTAGGCATAATAACCTACTTCGTAGTTCTCAACGTCGACAACATCGTCTTCCTTTCAAATCAATTTATCAGAAAACTAAAAGCCGGTACCATTGGGCATATGAAGAAAAATGGTGGTACTGTAGGCTTATAATCCAGCAAATGTCTATCCTGGATCTCGTTTTACTCCGAGCTCGAAGCCCACACCAGAAGAAGTTCGTGAGAAAGCTCGATTATCATCACAGAAGATATTATCGAATTGGAATATATTGCGGACCATTGTTCAATTACATGCCGATACATTGGAGAAGCGTTGGATAAAGAAGTCGAGAAAGAAACAAAGGGAAATGCTCTTGGAAGCTTGGCCCAATATGTCTACTACGCATCGTCCTGATTACGAGGCATTTAGACAGGAGTGTACCGGACGCGTACTTATGGGACTCTCGAAATTTCAGGAAGCTTACAAATGGCCTTATATCAACCTGCAAGACCTCAGTAGTAAGTCTCTAGTCATCTTCATTACTAGTCGAGGATACAACCCTCCAAGCGCATTTGCTCGCGCGGACCTTAACGCAACACACCTCGGAACTGTTGCGCATTTTATTCCTGAGCCAGCTTTCCTTCCCTTTCATACACTTTTCTTGGATGGTGATAAAGTGGAAATATATGGAAGATTAGTTGCATGGGAGGAGGACGATGCTGCTGCTGATCTGATGTCCACAGAAAGACAATTCAGCCCTGGTGACGGGTTGAAAGCATTCAAACTCCAAGAAAGAATATATCCTTTCCTCATCAGATGTTACGAGCTTATTCTTTACGACTTCACCAAGTCGGTTGCTTTGCTTGACCCAAGTATTCCAACAGGTATTGCATCGGATCCTATCGTCACCCCGGAGCCTCCTACAGCCGCTGTTACTAAGATCCTTCCATCTCTGACCATCATTTCAGCAGAAGCACCGTACCGTTTACCAGCGAACATCGATTTTGAGCGGCTCCGTGAAATTTTTGCAGCAAGACTTTCAGCAGCAGAAGACTATCTCTTTGATTTGAGGGAGGATCCTAGATTTTTCGCTGACACCATTAACGATTGGAGCGAGCATCGGAATGATGCATTGTTAGACACAAATGGCAACCCACATCCGACTGGACCACACACTCAGGAATTCTGGGGCCGCGTGGTCAGAAACATTATTGGTGACGGATATTCTAGCTACGAAACCTGGTTTCTTCTTCATCAACAAGCTGCTCTATTATGCACATTAATGGAAAAATACAAAGATGAATTTTCGTATAACAAGCAACTTCCCAAGGAATATCTCATCGCCATCTTGAAGCTTAGGGAACTGTAAGATTGTATCTCTTTCCTAATGTACACAATTTCGAAGCTAATTATTTTGAAGTCTTAAAATAAGTGCCGAAGCACCGATCAACTATCTCCAGAATATCCAGTCCTCACCACCTCTCCGACATCACTTTACACGTGCTCCGCAAGCTCCCGGTACAATCAACATGCATATAATGCCAAAAGATGAGAGAAGTCCATTTTTCCACAAACCATGGGGTCTTTCATTGATTTTGTGGGACTGCGAAAACGAGATTTATTTGGATTGACAAATGTCATCGACGCATTCGAACAATTGATGCAGGATTCAAAAGAAAGCAAGAACGTATCTTCATATATTGCCGATCGATTCTCAGATCTAGCCATATTATCTCGAGCTCTTTATGAAGTCGAGAATTATCAACCTTGGGCTGCGACTTTTGACGACGAGTACAATGTAAGAATCTCCTTCACTTTTTCCGGCCCCTGTCATAGTCCAAACTGCAGTTCATATGTTTGAGAGAGAAAAGAGGTTCTCACACGTCAGAGACTCACTTGCAACTTACCTGATAAGACTACTCTATGGATTCCACAGATGCCCTTCGATTTTCCAAAATTAGGTCACAAGCTTACTATTAATTTGCAGAACAACCACTAGGGAGAAGTGCTCAGAATCATAATGACAGATTCTGTCTTCAACAAGGATTATCTTCCGTATATAGACTCTGTATTGAGAGGCATTGTACCATACTGTATGCCGGGTGATGGCAAATTCAAATATCCTGTCAATAAGAAGCGTACAAAACAAAGCACGGAACAGATGATCTTGGCTGAGAAAAACCTCGACTTTTTCTGGGAGAAGTTTGATGCTAACTGGAAAATTTGACGAGGAAAAACATCGATGGGTGCTTTGGAGGGCATCCACCAAGAAAGAGAGGAGAGATTCAAAGAACTTCATCATGGGTTGAGTCATTGCCGATTAAAGCTACAACAAAAACTCAACAAGCCCCAAGCACCCAAGAATGGGCACATGATGAGGAAAAGAACAAATTCAAGACAAAATCGAAGAAAGCAAAATCCAAGACCAGAGGGTCCACACAGCCACTCACGCAGCCTGAAGTTCAACCTGAGGCTCAACCTGAGAACCCCGAACCACACTCCAATGTCGAACATTCTAAAGTCAAGATCCCTCATCATCTTATGCGAGTGTTCAATACATTATTCTTCCAACCTGGTCAGAACAATATACCAGGTGACGTCCCTTGGGTAGAATTCTCAAAGGCAATGATAGAAATGGGCTTTGCTGCACAGAAACTATATGGAAGCGTTTGGCAATTCACACCTGCTTCTAAGGAGACAGCGGTGAAAATAGGAGCTGAAAAAAGTATTCAGTTTCATGAGCCGCATCCGGGCGTCAAGATTAAGTTTGTCGTTGCTCGGAGAATGGGAAGAAGATTGATGAGAAGTTTTGGATGGTGGGGTGGTATGTTCGAGGAGGAATAGTGGAGTTTACAATTGATTGAATAGATCTTACAGCGTTGAAAAGGTAATTTCAACTGCGTTACACCAGAAATTCAAAAATATGACCCTTGGACGCCATCTATTTTGCCTGTCGTATGAACCTCGAGAGTTAGTATAGAATCGGTTTGATTGGTGTCTGAAAGGAGTGATATGTTTAGAGGAAGGGGTATAGTTGTGTGTAACTGCAAGTCGTTATCTAGAGATGAATAACACATTCATATCAAGTTGAAGCCCCCCAATCTTGGCCTGTATTTGACTTCATAGATTTTACGAGGCTAGCTAGACATGCACATAGTCAAATTAAATGGATGTCTCTTGATTAATAAGGCCTTGGAGAGAAAATGCACTCGGATTGTTCTTATCTAACTCCTAAAATGTATCCACCAACATTACCTGAACACATCGGAATCTGGAAAATACCTGACAGATCTAATCACTCTCAAGACGTCGCCAGTCCGTGCAACAACCCCTCATCTGCACCTCTTATTTGTATTGATATCTCGCCCAATCCTCCATCTTCGCTCGGAACTGATTGACAGCATGTCTTGTGACACCAGGACTACTGTCGTAAGTTTCCCAGGTCAAGATCTCGGAATCAGCCCACTTGACCAAGAATTTACTGTCCAACTTAGTTTCCTTGTTTTGCTGATCTTCAAAAAGTATTTCGTATTCCTTCTTTGGCTTTATCTTTCCATGACCCTTGGTGTTGCGTTGCCAGTAGTCCTTCACAGCCCTCGCATCAACATTTTGAATGTCGACCCAGCTGGGTTCTATTTCGGGTCCCCAATGAACAAGACACTGTAGACCAGTTTCTTGTTTCTCAATGATGTAGATGGTCGAGAATGAAAATTCGACATTTGGAGAGAATGCAACCATGTACAGAGGTGTGCCGTCTGCCTTTACGTCTTTGCGCATAAGTCCCTTGTGACTACGCAAAGCCGATGGAGTTTTAGCTTTACCCTTGTTGGCAGCTGCGATTTGATTTTCGCTCGAGCTTGCAGTAGCGTGTTGATGTTTTTGACCAGGCGCACGTTTCGGAATCACACGATATTCCTCTTGTTCTAATCACGAAGTCAGTATTTGTGAGCTCTCAAGAGCTGAAGACAAGAAGCAGGACTTACCATCGTTCTTAAGGATATCATCTCTTGTCGACATATGAGTGACAGCCTCTTTTGGTACACTTGGCCAAATCAACCACTCAGAGCCTACTCTTTTCTGTCTAGCAGATTTCTCGTCTTCGTCTTCATTATCGTCTCCATCCCACATGTCCAGCGCGCGAAGCCAATCTGACGCTTTGAAAATAGCACACTTCCTCATTTCCTCGCATCTGCCGTCTAATGTGTACACCACTAAACCATCATCGCTTGTCATAACCTCGTTTTCTGCAGCCTCGATATCATCAGTCGCTGTGACGTAAATACTGGGAGGATTTCTTCTAGGTCCATTCGCAGCACCATAATGAAGAGGGAGAAAACTACTCACAGTCTTACGGCTGAGACTCAGGATATCGTAAGGGCGGAAACCTATCTCCCATGGAGTGAGGGACTCCTGCGATTGGGAAGACTTTCCACCTTGGACTTGGTCATTGGAGGGATCGTGGACTATGTAGAGAGATTGAGGAACTTTGTTCGGAGGGTGACGGAGGTCGTCCATGACTGTTTGATTGACTCGAATACCTGGAAACTGTGGTTGTATTAATTCTCAGATGAATGGGGAGAATTCTTGATGATTGCTAGGCGGTAGGAACATGTCGATTTATGTAGGATTGGAGCTGTGCAGGTAACACTCCAAGAATATTCTAGCAACTATGGCATTGTCTAGTAGAAGTCAGGTCTTCGATGGTCAGTAAAGAATGTACATAGCGAGAACCCTCGATGCTTGTCTCAAGTCAGGCAAAGAACGAATAAGACTCGAACGTACGGGATGAAATTCCATTTGTCAAGGGTAGAACAGGATCGCAAGTAAGGAAGTGAATATTCTAAATTGTACGATAATGGCTCATATAGAAAGGATAAGGCAAATGATCACAGTCATGGTAATGTAGAACAAAAAGATTCGACGCCCATTTCGGATACTCTCGTAGTTTCTTTGGTCAATTGGTCTAGACAATGGTATCTTGATTGCGCAAAGAAGCAATTAGATATATCTAGTAACCACAATGACTTCTTTAACGAACGACTTCTTGTTCACATTCAAAAGTAATGACTTGAAATATACTCGTAGCATCAGTTTTGTACAATCTGGGGGTGATTATTGATGCAGCATTTCGCTCAAAGCTCATTCTCTTGATCAGTATATGCATGACTATCCTGACAGTCTCTTCAATACCTATCACATATCAATATGAGCTTCACTTTTGAGGCTCCTCTACGTAATTTAAATGATGTCATGTGACAGAGTTAAGCTTAACCTCACCATGCTGTGACATATAACAACTTTCACCATTTCAAAGTTGTTTATTCTGCTCCGTATATTTATCCATGGTGATCTCAGACTATGCTAGGAAGTATCCATATCTTTATCTAGGGTACCTCAGATAATTGACGCCAGGAAAAGTTGATGAAGAGAAAACGGTCAATGTGAAAATCGCCAAATTAAGAACATTCAGCCTAAATCTAAAACTTATGTTCGTCAATTAGTTGCAAATTAGATATTTGTATCAGAATCAGAAGTGATAAAACTGTGGATTTGAACAATTACCTACTCAAAAGATGTTGGGTGTCTTCGAATAGTGCTTGTACAGAAGAGTTAGAAATCCGGGTGGGCTGTCGCTAAGCAATTCGGTAAACCTCAATAGTTGAAAAAGGGAGCCAATCAAAAAATCAGAATCTTTACTATGGGAGACCATAGAAACCAAAATGGTTAAATCTAGTGCACAGCCCCATATGTTAATTCAAAGGTACTCTTTACCTTCAATTGTTCAATCAACTCGTTGCACTCCAGCTTCTTACATCGATTTCTTCAACCTTTTGCCGCGTGCTTTATCCATTAAATAATTTGCTTTTGTTTAGAGCCTCAAAGACAAGATGAATGCCCTCGAAGAAGCTCAATTTTTGCTCTCCCTGACCAAGACAAATAGCACCATGGCCTGGCCCTCTCTTCAAGGTTGGTTAACCTTTCCTTAGTCCCTCAAGTACTTCATCGTCTTCTTCCGTAATGTGTTTAATCCTTGAATTTGTTCACTGAGACTAATTGACTTACGATAATAGTAAAGAGAGAATTCGATGAAAAGAACAGATTGTTTGATGAGGCGCAGAGACTGAAGAGCCAGTTATTTGCTGAGGCGGAGAGACTGCAGAAGCGCATACGAATCGAGCCTGAGCAGCTGGCAAGGCAACGCCTTAGAATGGCAAAGATAAGGGCCAGGAGGCAAAGAAGAAATAAGTCAAAGAAGGAGTAAATCGTCGCACACAAGGTATGAGTAGATTCTCCCCCTCTCTTTTAATAACCAAAGCCAACTGACCTGAATAACAACAGAAGTACCCACTCACGATCATCTTCTTCCCAACCCAATACGACTTCTTAGTACCCTTCGACGTCTTTCCTCTCCACCTATCAGCACTGGCTCTTCTCACACCAACTATGTTCTCGATAAACACCATAGCCAGCAACCTTCCTCCGAATTCAACAACAAAACACCGTCGCAATAATGATTTGCGGGTGTCTGAGTATGGAGTGATGAAAATCCGAGGAACGAGGAGATTCAAATCAAGTCAAGAGGGGAAGATATGCTACAAAGGGAAGGAATTGAGCTAGTGGAATACCTCATACTGTGTGCACAATAACTCTTCATTTAATTGGCCTTGTTCCTTCCTGCGGCGTTACTGTATTTGTTTCATCCTCGCTTTTAGCACTGGGAGTTTGAGGAGTGTTTCTGCCAGAAAATTTGCTTTTAGGGTAGATAGAGGACTTTAATAACACTGCTTTAACAATCATTTATTCTGCAATGTGTGTACGCAATAACTGTGAGACAATACTACCGCAACATCGACTTTTCTACCACGTCGCTTTTGTAGCTTTACATGTGTGTGATATATCAAAATACTCTGCCACCATTCTCTCGTTCTTAGACTAAAGCATCATAGGCTCATTGTTTGTATTTTCAATGCAGATTAATCGCAGACAACTGAACTACGAGAACGGAGCCGTCGACCCAAACAAAATCGACATCAAATCTTCAACAATACGGTGAGAAAGTCAATTTCGAAAAGAATACTAGTGTCTCAGGAGATTTTACATCAGCACCAGCATAGGAAGAATGTTTCAGTGAGTTCTTCCTATATCAACACCCATCTTCGAAGGTTTTCACGCCTTTTGGAAAATAAATGCTCGCCAGCCCATGCAGTCCTTGAAAAATCAGTCTTCACCCGAATTCTTCGTATAGAAGCTGCCATCTTCGGTCCCTGGAGCCTTGTATACTACCATGGATACAGATATTGAGACGGATAGACACCGCATATAGATTTTGATCCAGCTTTTCGCAGACAATGACATCGGAATCGACTCTAAAATACGATACCAGACTACAACCGCGTGTGCACACGCAATAGACCACCATCATTAGAGTATGACCTCGGTCTGACTGGTAATATTATTCGCGATATATATCCACAGCGTCTCGGCACACCTCAATCTAGTCTGTTGAGCTCGACAGACTCACTAGATCCCTATGAAAGCTTGCTGTAGAAAGATCCTGAGTTCTTTTTCTGTCTCAGAAGCACTTGAGGTAAAAGGAAACTTACTAATGCCTTGTTTGGCACATAGCTAACTCAGGAGATGCAAGAGGCTACCAACCCATACTAATAACAAGACAATCAATACGTGGCAGGGCAGGAAGCGGTGTTTCCATTCCTTCTTGCCGATGCGAGAGCCGCATTTCCCTCTTCTTTCCGAAACATGTTGCACTATTACGAAACCGACTTGAGCTTGGGAATCAGAGCCCAGAGCCTTAACGACAGATGGCTAGTGAGGAAAAACACTAGGAATATCCCATCTTGCTTAACCAACCACGATTTTCCCGGCGGAAAGCTACATAGACCTATACAAAGCTCAAAGGAAGGCTGAAAAACAAAGTACATTACAGAACCAGCAATTGAGACAAAAAGCTACTCGTAGTTCGGCAAATTCGAAGCCATGAGAACTTGAATACCACACCCATATCAAATCACACGCTGGACTTGTGACTTGCTAGCTTTCTTGGCATGCTAGACACATTCACGAAGCCAATGAGGAATAGAAGTGGAATGAAAGACCTTAACAATTGCACATTTGTCTACTCAAGCATGGTCAAAGAAGGAAGGACTGGGTGTTATCAGTAAAGTCAACAGATGCTGGAACAATGGCTTACTTGATTATAGGATAGAATTCAAGACTATATACGAAAAGGCAAAGGAGTAGCCACTTATGCAAAGAATATAGCTGTCATATCTGACTGAGCGGTATCCGCAAATACGGACATAGTGATTAACAAAAGCATTTATTAGTATGCCAGCTTTGCTATACTATATACTGGAGCAGGTAAGAAGCTGTGGTACTTTATATATAAGGGAGTAAATCTATGTCTAAAGACTAAAAGCTTGAAGAGCCGTATATGCTTGGATAACTGAGACGTATAAGAGCCCTTGTGACGAGGTTTTTAATCCGCTTGCATTGCAGCCGTACCTAAAATCATCAGACCAACGTTCCTTCGGAAATACCTAATGCGTAGTCTATATTGTTTAATAGGAGTTTATGAAAGCAATGACCAATCTGATTGCAAGGTTCTGCGTTATAAGCCTCCTCCATGATTCTTGATTTTCGGCTATACATGTAATTAGCTTCTTGGAGTTTATCCAGACTAGAATGACGTCTGGATATCCATCAACAAATCTTTAGGCTCTGGTGAAAGCAACACTTTTATTGTTTCCAACGATTTCCGGAGATACTGGACTTATCCAACGTATTCCAGCTCGACTAATAGCTAATAAGAAATGTTTTCCTGCCCCTAGGCATCATATAAGTCCCCATCGATGAAATGAAAAAGAGGTAACAAAGAACGTCGATGATTTCAATGGGATTCCCAGGGCTCTTTCCTCCTCTTTTGTATGTTCAAATAGCTTCCTACCAATAATTTCATCACTGAAGGGTACATATTGTCTCTTTTTCTTCTTCTTCTTAGCTGAACTCTTAGAGAGGTTTACCAGTCTTCAAGTAACTTGATTTACATGTAAACTCTTTGAGTCATTGAGAAAAGAACGAATATTACCATGATTCTCTCTTCTAGGGGACTGGGAATTTGCACTAGATCCTCTCAAATTAGCCATGATCTAAATGACATACGTATGGATAGCTTATGAATCAAAAAATGCATATTATGGTTTCTCCGTGCGGCTCCAAAAGGGAGTAGATTACCTATTATCAGGTTGGTATAAAACTAACAGCAAGAGTAGTGCCAGATTTTATCTTGTATTGAACAGTATGCAATGCATTCCTTATCATTCTACTTTAATTTACGCCAAACATGCGAAATATCTTTGATATATCATGAGAACTGGTGCTGCTTGTTGGGTATTTCCAATTTAGTACCTGGGTCTCAACTGTCAAACTGCAGATGCATACTTGTTCTTCCTGGCTTCATTTTTGAAACAGCATATTTACAAACAAAGTGTTACTGGTATCTATTAGAATATGAAGAACTGTAGAATTCTCGCTTAATTGTTTGTGTCATGTGACTTGACTAACTCCCTTTGATGAACGCGACATTAACATAATACAATACTCATTAGAATCTATATAAACGATAATTGCCACTTATTTGCCTCATACAAAGCTTTGAACAAAAAGATTTCATTCCTTTGAGATGTTTTTATACTTATCAGAATTCAACATTAAGGAACACAGACTTTCGAGGACGAATGAAAGAATAATACTAGACTAATAATGGAATATCGCTAGAAAGCAAGATAAGTCGACTGAAGTTCTACTTGAGCTCTCTTTAGACTTAATAAGTTGCTGTTCAAGCTCTTAGGCATAGTATCTAATTTATTATTTGTTCAGTATCTCGAAAGTCGATGTTGACTTTGAAGAATATTATTAAACAAATGGAGAACAGTGAGACGAGACTGGCTTCCCAAAATTATCTAGTCTCAATCATCGAGAACTTGTTAGCTTTTAGAGTTAATAGAGTTCGAACTCGAGGCCTTCTTGAACAGATTGATTATTACATTCTTATATTTACTCTGATATATCTATATTGTTTCTTTTTAAATCAATGTCTGAAAGCTTACAAGTATCTGTGCTTAGAATTATTAGATGGCAGCTTTCAACGGACTTCTCTGTACTAGAAATTTAATAGCTTCGAACTAATATATTAGAATATGTTCAATTATATTCGAAAACTATGAACAAGAAAATACATCATGTAATGTTAATAATATTTCTCACAATAATAATCTTAAATGGGAAAATCTCATATCTCAATATCTTGACTATTTATCATCTAATAATATCATTCTATTCTTCATTGGTGAGACTGCAGGATACTAAACTTTTCAGAAAATACAGAAGAAACTCAGACTGGAATGGAACATAACCAATTTAGGAGTTCATCTAAATTTAAAAGCATGAAATCTCAAAAGTTTCATACGTATTGGAAAAATTCAAAGAAGAAACAAAATTTAAGTCTAAAGCTTTCCATTGAGTTTAAATTTGAGATTGAAATATTATCATTGATATCAGATATTACAAGCGAAGTGACATAGATATAGGGGTTAGCTGCGATGTCATACAGCTGGTTGAGTGTATTTCAGTAAGGAGAGCATTGAGCCAGGAGCAATTAGCCAGATTAGTACTAAGCCATACTGAGCCTATCAAGCAAGAAGTCTTACATAAAGGAGGAGATGTCAATAGTACATAGAGTTTTATATTCGAGAATAATTATTAGTTTTATGAAAAGAGTTCCGAGAATCGTAATTAGTTCTATTCTTATCCAACCCTGATTTAAAGTCTATTGTAAACCGCCCCGAGCCCGCTAGACAATTCTTCATGGCTCTATGGCCAGCTCCCGTAATACTAGCACTACTTAGGTAGAATATTAACATTTAAAAGATGAAACCATTCTGATTAACATATGATACACCTCATATGGCATTCATGCTCGTTTGAGTATTAATGTATGAAACGTTTCTATACGAGGTTATTATCATAAAGATCGAGTCTGAATGATTCCAATCCTGTCGCTGTTGACAGTGACAGTCAAAGATTATAGCACTTTCTACATTTTTTTTCATGACAGCGAGTAAAAAAATGCCACATGAGTGACTTCGCTAGTCAACGAAAGCTCTCGTAGATATCTATCAAAGATCTATACCCACAGTGTAGACCCTCCGAAATATATTTAATTACTTCTCCCAGGTCATGCCTACCTTGACGGACAGCGATCATCCCTTGCACAAATATTCACTAGGCGTATTCAAGTCATTCTATTCTTCAGAGGATGAAAATCAACAAGAAATAAGCAGTCGGGAAGGCTCGTGGCAGCATTGGCAGAGTACTAGATAATGATGTTTTAGTGGTTAGAGCTACGAGAGTCATGTGCTTATCCAGTGTCTTAGCCAGAGTAACGTGTATGTTCTGTAGTATGACAACATCATGTTCGATAGACTTAGAAATATGGTTGTGATTTTTGGATTAACGTACGTTTTTCACTTATGTGATTGGCGTCGTGGCAACACGATTGCCCGTCACTCTCAAATTCCCTGGAGGTATAAGCGCTCAAAATGACAAAAATGAATTTGTATTAACATAACATATGGGGAACTCGGATATATAGGGAATTCGAACACTTTTTCAATTATTCTATATGCAATCTTGTTCTATAAATCATACAATCCTCCAATTCTAATTCCAAATCACTTAAATTATTCTCTAACTCTTTTTTTTAATCTTTTTTTCTGATTTTTTAATTGAGTATTTATATAACCATTCTCATAGCTTTTTTTTCTTCAGTTTTTATTTTATTTTATATATCATTTTTAATATTTTTTTAATATTAAAAAAAAATTGATTTTGTAATTTAATTCTTTTACTTTTAATTCTTTTCTTTCAAATCTTAATTACTTTCTAAATATTAAAAAATTATTTTCGAAATAAGATTATCTCAGTATTTTGAAATTCTACAAATTTAATTATTTTTTTGATATATCAATAAATTAGTGATATAAAAAAATTATTGTTTGCTAGAGTTATATTAAAGATTTGATTTATTTATTTTAATTCTATTTTATTTAAAGAAGAATTTTTAAATATAAATAAATCTAAATTTTGATTAAGGATTTTCATTTGTAAAATAAAAGGTTATTAGAAGAAGTTAAATAATAATAAATCAAATATTTTTTATAAAACAAAAAATATTAAATTAGTTTTTGTTTAATCAATTTTAATATTAAAAGAATTTAATATTTTTTTTCTAATATTTTGAAAGAGTTTTATTCATTTAACTTTTTAGATTTGTTTTATATCAATTCAAGAATATTAATTGATTTTTAAAATATAATATTGTTTTATTGGCTTATATACTACAATATCAAATGATTAAAGTAAGTAAAAATAATGAGAAAGTAATATAAATAAATCAATATTATTATTTATATAGAAAATAATAAAGCTATTTGTAATATAATTTAAATAACTATTTATAATCAAAAGTCGAGATTGATTATTTAATACTTTTTTGAATTCTAATTTGAAAACTCTTTTTAATTATTTTAATTCATAGTTATTTGAGATTTATCCATTCGTATTAATAGAGAATTATTAGTTTTGAGATATATCCTTTAGATTTTATATAGAATTTATATTTTGAGTTTTAAAAATGATTATAGATAATAGAGTATTTCTAATTATATTAATATATTCAAATATAGTTATTTATTTTTATTTATTAATTATAATTTTCCAATTCAATTTCTAAATAGAATTAATTATTATATAAATACTTTAAATACTTTTAATTTCAAATTTGATTTTGTTTATATTAAATATATTATTTAATTTATATTTTTGCTTAATAAGATATATACGAAATATATTAAACCAAATCTGAATATTCTCCGAAATTGTTTTTTTAGTTTAATTAAATTCTAATTAATATAAATAATATATTTTAAATTCTAGATATTGTTTTTGAAATTTATAGATTTATTTTTAATCTATAAATAGAATTTCTATTGAAATAGGATTTTCAAATAATATAATCTGAATATATTAAAGATGAATTTTATTGGTTATTTTCTTTATTAATATAAATATAACAAGGAATCTAATAATAATAAATTATAAAATTTATTATATAAGAATATTTTCTTTTATATTTAAAAGAATTTGAATTATTTTGTAGATTTGGGAATATATTTTCTTTTTAGTTAGTTTATTAGTTAGAATAAACTTAAAAACTTTCAAATACTCCATAGCCTTTTTAATTAATTTAAATTCTTTTAATTAAAATGAAATTATAGTTTTTTGAAATTTCTTTTCAATTTGAATAGATATAAAAAATAATTAAATATATATAGTAAAAGTTATTGCGGTTTCAAGTTGATAATGGGCTAAAAGTATCCGAGTTCCCTATATGTCCGAGTTCCCCATATGTTATGTTAAGTTTTTTCCTTTTTTCTTTTCTTTTTTGTGTCTGGGAAAGTGGAAAGAGAAGGTTGGGAAATATTGAATATGAATATGACCATTTCATCAAGTCATTATATTCCTTTGAGTTGACTGGTATCACGGCGCAAGAGATAGGTACTAGGTAAGATGTATGATATTCTACAAGGAGTGAAGAAGGAGGCGGAGAGGCGCCGACTATATGGAGGGCGGATGCCTAAGGCATCCACATAACTACGTATTGAACCCGTGACAACTGGTGCGAAAGGGAAATTCGAATTGACGGATAGGAATTGACGTACAACTTGAAAAGACGGTCAATTCGTTGCTACATTATCAACGAATTTGTCAAATCGACGCATCAACATAATTTAATGAAGGTGAAATCAACATGCTCGTGCGAAGACTCAGCGCTCACACATAACTGATTAGTCAAGATTACCCTACTGATCAAATACCCTAGATGGAACAATGAAATATTGATACAGACTTAATCTTCCATGCTCTTACTGAAACATAGGATTAAGCACTGATCTGCTGTGAAGCTGATAGTAATCCGACAATTTCTTAGAATTCATTCAAACTCATTATCTATTCCATTTCTTCCATTCACGATCTCTCTTTCTCTCTCGCTTGAACACCCACGGACCTACCTAGCTCGCTTAACTCAAGTGCACCTGTGCCATCTTCGTAACTTCAATTTTAGCAGCAGTCGTCCATTCATCAGCAACTCCTTCCAGTATACCAATCTTTACCGAATTCGTAGGAATCGATCTGCTCGCTGGACTTTCCATCATTTTCGGCGACCTACAATAAATCGTCTCAATAATCGCCTCAAATAATGGTCGACAACGCAGTAAACATGCACAGATTAGGTACGTAGCAGGTTGTATTTGCAGCTAGAGTAATGATTCTCCTCCTAGATATGTAAGACCTGGCATGTGCTGTATCCGTAAAAATACCGAAAAGCGGACTGCACAGACTATCATACCACTGCCCATTGAGATCGTTGGTATTTGTTTGTGTTGGAGTGCATTGAAAAGACTTACAATCCACCGATGATAGACTCTACCGCTAACTCAACTTTAACTCTCGAGCGAACGTTGAGTTTCCAAACCACCGGAACCGGAATCAGAGAAATTACAATAACAGTCATGATACTGGGTACGGTTGCCCAAGTCAGTACAGCCGTATTGTAGATACAACGATGTGATTTCCTCGACCCTGTTTTGAACTTATCGGAGATTGGTACACATTGAAAAATTGCTACTGCTTCGAGAACGATAAGAAAGAAGTAAATTACATATGTTGCACCTTTTATTGCATGGTTCGAAAGATTGGATATGATGAATGGCCGTTCGTATAGAATGGCTAATTTGAGGATGCTAAGAGCGAGAACGTTTGTGAGGTCGATGGCGTAGAGAATTTTGAGTCCGATGACTAGTTTGGTGGGTTGAATCCAGAGGAGATGATGACCCATATCAGCAAGATATACCGCAACTGTGGGTTATCTGATTAAATTTCATTCTTGGAAGGGATTTTAATGAAACCACGCACCTAAACACAATGCAGCTAGAGATAGATTGAGAGATAATGATACAATAATAAGATGATCATCCAATCCCCAGATTGGCGGAACCTCTGTTAGTAATCGTGAAAGAGTTGGAGCTGTCACGAAGACAATTTGGAGAGAAGGTAATATGATGGAGGATAAGATGATAACCATACTTGACGATTCGGAATTCATCCCATCAGCTATAAGCTATTCTGTAGGATCTAGAGAGTGCATGACCATGGATTTGTTCTTTGAATCTGTCCTCGAAGGAAAGGTAAGACAAAGTTACTTGTAGACTTGGAGAAGGAGGTGGAAACTAAATTTTCGAAGATGGGGCAACTGTGACACGAGGAAGATATGAAGCCTAGGTTAATGCTCATGTCACATTCACGAGCCTTTTTCTGGCTGTGGAGTTGGCGCTGACTTTCTATGGCAGTGAATCATGAACTTAGGATGATATCATCGAGAAAGATGAAAGCCGAGCATCGGTTCATCGACTTCTTGGCCAAAGTGCAATCTAAAAACCATGCGAACTTCCTCATACGACATGACATCACAAGAAGACATTGGAGTATACAAAAGCAGTATTCAGATGCTTTGCATCAGGTTCTGAGACATACAAAATAGTGAGTTTGACTTATGAAGATCGGTTATGCTTCAGTCTTGCTGAGCATCGATTCGTAGGAGGTAAAAATATACCAGTTATATCATTCCATCGAATCGCTTGCTGGCTGTACATCAGTACAATCAAAGACGTTGATACTGATAAGTCAGGAGCTTGACGCTGAAAGCTTCTGCCTGCTTGAATACAAGCTTGGTTTTGTTGAACGGGCTCCCTTGCACATGCCGTAAATATGAATCAGCACCTGCCGATACCTTGGACTAGTTTACAGATAAGGTCACAATAGACGAGGCCGGTTCGTGCGAGCCGGCGAGGAATTGCACCCGATTTTGTAAATGGTATGAATCTGGACTTTATTCGAGCTTCTTGGGTATTTCGAATCCGTTCCTGCTCATGTAGCCCCAGCGGGTCGAGCGATTCCAGTTAGATTAACGACTCCTCCACTTGTATATCCACCATTTTCACCAGTAACCCAGCCCGGTACTTCATTACCGTGTCCATCTTTCTCAGCTCTATCTTTGATAACTTCCCAAATTGGTGGGAACCCTGCATTCAATGGTCCACCCCTCTGTTTTGCACCCAAGATCGCAAACTTGCCCTGTATATGACTAATGAATCCCCTCAATAGTCCTTGTTGTACTAAACTCGCAACAATTGCTTCGACATCCAACATCTCTGGCATTTTACGTCCCCAAACTACCCCATCATTTGGAGAAAGTTTCACCACGACCGGAGGCTTCACCAAGTCTTGTGCTGTTATAAACATTGTATTTGTGTGTGTACGACCCGACTGCATAAATGCGGCAGAATCTGCAGGCCTCTGCCAACCTTCAAGAATTTTCTGGCAATACTGCGCAGCTGTGACTAAATCGGCAAGATTTAGAGTTGGGGCTTTTTTTGAATTGGGATCGAACGGCCACTGGTAGGTCAAACATAAAACGCGCCGTGCAAGTGAACGCCATACATATGTTTCACAACGATACAATAGTGGAAGAAGAATGCCCTTGTCAAACAGCCATTTTTCGTTTCCACCCTCTGGACCTAATGAACGCTTGAAAGCGGCCAAATTCCCCAATTTGATGGCCTTGACAATTGGTGCAAACCTTTCAAGGACCCCAGCTGCTTCGGGACGCGACATAAAAGGCCGAGATGGAAATCGACCGAGTATCATATTTGAAGATATCAAGTAGATTAGAATCAGACGTCGCTGGTTGATGCACTGTGCATGACACTGGTCGTACGCAGCCTGAAGACTGCACTGCGCGAGGTAGAAGTGGGTATTCGAGAAGAAGTATCGGCCAAGGTAATAAAGATATGTTACCCTTTGACTTGCGGGGTAAAGCTCCAATGGCGGAGAGTGTTGGGTGATATTCGTGATGAGTTGATTCGCCAATCGCGTTTTCCGGCACTACGTGACCATTCAGCATTATTCCATGGATCGTTTGGAGGCCACCATACTTGAAAGAAGAGTTTCAAAGCCAGATTTGCGAATGAGTATATTCCAACTTTCTTTCCCTCTGGCTTTCCATCTGACCCAACCCCGTTCCTATTCGTAGTCCTTTCCGTTAAACAAACTGTAAAAGCACGCTGTATTGTTTCTGCAGTTCCTTCTACTAGAGTCTTTCGCGTCTCTCCAGCATCGACATCAGCAACTCTGCGCAATCTTCTGGTAAGATCCGGTCTCTTGTCGAGTGTCATTGCAAGTTTCGCGAGGGCAGTAGATAATTGAATGGCCGTCGGGAGTATCACTATCCCATATGTCGGATTGGATAAAGCTGCTAGACAAGTACTATTCGCATCCCATTAGCATATGGCTGAGAACAAGAGAGCTGATTTACCTTGCTAAAACAGTGAGTTGTGAGTGCGTTTCCAACAAGTCCTCGAAATTGACATCCCTCCAGAACTCCAGGTAGTCCTTCATGAAAGCCAAAAAGCCCGGCCAAACGTTACCATCCTCATAACTTGCGTTGGGGTCGTCTGGCAGCAGTTTCGCAATATGTCGTTCGAGTGCTGTGCTGTTTTGAAATGACGCTTTCAACTCTCGACCAAGCTGGAAATAATGATCGGGTAGAGGAGGCTCGACTAGAAGCCATAACTGTAAGCTTATTCCATCTTTTGCCCTGAGAAATTTCAGGATAGACTCGAGGAACTCTTCGAGGATAGCCATGACTTGAGAATTCAATATCACGGATGGAAGTATGAAGCGGTGATTAGAATATCTGTCGCGCAAACTTGTCGGCTATAATATTTACGCCGACATCGTATTCATTTCAAATCTATCAGCAATTCCGAACAATTATGTGAGGTTTAAATAATATATAGTCGAGGCAATTCTCATCGATCTCGATGTTTTGATACAGTATTAGCTCAAGGCTGTGATGGGCTATAGCCTACCGTAGATTACGATGGTGGTCTTATACGAACTAGCGGCCGCATCGATTGATCAGCCTTGTTTAAAGTGGCGGTGCATTGTGGCTCTTTTCCCTAGATTTGGGAAAATGTCTGAATGTTCATGTTCATCATCCGAATTCTTCACGGAACTTCAAGAAATCATCTTGACAGACCTGAGGTGACCACTTCCGCTAAAGCAAGGCAACGCTACTCCCTTCAAACAATATGTCGTTGGTTGTCTAGTACGAAAAGTGTTTGCATCTTTTGCATATACTGCATCAACTCTTCTTGATGTCTTACCACAAGCGAATACTAAATATTACTTATATACAATGCTCTCGAGTCAAGGATAGCGTGTGGTGCGCGTTTACCTCATATATCGACCAACAGTATGCATCTTGCTCTAGGGTCGTAGTACGACTATGCAGCAGATATACATTGTCCAGAAGATCAGATCAATTGTTCTCAAGTACTCTGCCGGCCTCTCTACGGTGCTCTAGAGTGTATTTCAAATTCAAAAACAGTGATCCGATTCGAGACGCGAAATCTTTACGTCGAGCCTCGGGTCTGCAGATTTGATTCGAGGATTCGGCGTCGCAATGTTCAGAAGACAAATGCAGACATGGGACCTCCAATATTCGAGATTACAATGAACGATCTTATGGTTCAAATCCAGGGAGAAACCAGCTTACAATATCTCTACATTCCTTGATAAGATAGAAGCAAATCGATAGATTGTGCTAAGCCCCAGGTATTTAGAAGAAATTCAGATGTCCCGCTATCAGACCTATTCTCTAGTCAATGAACTAATCATGACCTGTGCTTCCAAATATTCGACAGAAACTCTTCAGTGGATGTGAATCGAAAGTCTGGCAACAACTTATTCCACTCGTTAGATACATCCCAGCCACCACGCCCAAATGCTAAAATGGATGCTGAAAAATAGCTCTGTGAGAAAGCATCTTTTTGATCTTCTGGAACTGAAGGGTGCACGATGACAGGGAACCAGGAAGATGCAAATCTACCCTCTTCCAAGTCACTATTCTCAACAGATTCCACGACGAACTTTTGTCCTACATAGGATAGCGTCAATTTGAAGTTCGTACGCAAAGTTTGAGTTGAACGAACCTCTAATTTTCTCACAAAGCCCAATGAAGTCCAAGATCCGCATTTGATTGGCATAAACTCCGCCGACTTCTGGTCATGCGCCTTCATAGTCTACTGCCTTTGTGACAATTCTTGCCAAATCTTGCACGGAGGTCAAAGTGATTCTGGCATTTGTATCCTTATGAATAATAGCTCTGCAATTCTCAACATCTATTGGCATTGGAAATATTTGCATAAATTTCGCCGTGGGATGTGGGTAACTGAAATAATTCAAGAACAATCCACACTGAAATAAAGTGAATTCCAAAATCTGTCCCTAAATCAGCATTGCGGATGAGGAATCTAGAACAACGACCCTTTTCTCCTTATTAATTTCCCGAAGATAATCAATACTTGATCTTTTCCCTCATATGCAGGCATTCCACAATGACTTCTGGTAGCCCACTCACTGGGTGCGAACCGACGAACGACGGCTTCGATGCATGCATCAATGAGATTTGTCTGAGATTGATTATTTGGATCATTGAATGTAATGATAAATGAGAGAACGGTGTCGACTTCTTCAAGTGCATGCACAAGTGCTGCTTTATCTAAACAATCTACGATATCTACTGTAACTTCCTGACTAGCTAAGTCTGGAACTTCCTATATAAATGTCAGCATCTAATCGACACCAAACATGGCCTGCTCGACTCGCTTGCGCTTACTTTTCGGGAAAATACTTTGATCTTATGTTTTCCCTCGACTAAAAGTGCCTCCAGAACTTCCCGTCCAACATCTACTGACGCATCAGCTCTTAACTTTCAAACCCTTCATACTATCCACAACTTACTTCCAGCGCCTCCAGCAAGTACGATTTTCACCATTTTGAAGCTACAGTTTTAATACAAGGTCAACTCCATCTGAGCTTCGTTTCCGATGTCCACATGTACCTTTCAACAAGTGGATCCATGACGTTTTGCGGGGCACAGATTGTCCTTGCAAGTGACCAGAGATGAGCTGGTCACGTGTATAACACGTGCTTATGAATTCTCATTCCACGTTGTTTCACACAATGATTCTCACTCTGTCTGTTAAGGTCCCATTTTACTTCTGCAATTCGGAGTCTCTAATTGGTTGATACTGAGAAGAATCAAGGAATTGAGTATTTTGATCCTAGCAACCACTTTGGCGCCCGGAACCGTGCCGTAATTAATTACCAAGTTTAGCGATATCGTGTTGAGAATCCTACATCAGCGCTCAATTCAAATCTTCCATGATAAATTTTACTTCACATACCCATCCCCACGCTCTTCCCAAACGAAGGAAAGCAAACTGAAGAAATCGAAAAGATCTCGAGATAATTTCGAGACAATCATCTACGGTCCTTTCTCCATGGCGATATTTTGCAGCGAAATCTTCAAGAAGTGGCTGCCTCGGAGAAAGCTCACATCGATAGCTTCCCCTGACCCTCTTAAGACCAGGTCAAATAGCAGCGTTCTTACGTTGCCTTTCCCACGAGAGATCATTGAACAAGGACGTGAAACAAATGCTCAATCCCAAAGTTTACTTTTATCATCATTGCCAACCGAGATTCGAATGTTGATATGGAAACTCTGCATTGGAGGGGATACTTTCCATCTCAAAGCTGTTTGTTTTGGCCCTCAATACCGTCATACTTGCCTACAACATCGATTGTGCGATAATCATTGGAATCCAGCAGTTCCTTGGCAAAAACACTACCCTTGTCTAGGTGATGGCCCGCGATACTATGGCCCGCGATACTATGGTAAAGATAAAGATAAATTTAACGCGTTTTCTTTGGTTGTGACCTGCCGACAGATGTAAGTGTAAAAAGAAAATGTAATGGGTATTATCATCTAACATCGCTAGATGTTCGGAGACTATCGACATCTTTTATTCATCTAATGCCTTTCGTATGAGCACTTCCCGCGCGCCAGATTTACCAAAGATTCTACTCTCGCGGCGCTACAATTGCATACGCGTGTTGTATTTCGAGATTGGCACTGCGGTCACAAAAGCATTTGTCAAAGATTCCAAGCATCGAAATGAGACGTTGAAAGAGTGGACAGATACTTGGAAAGTCTTAGCAGATTTATCAGGACTGCAAATCCTCCACGTAGAAATCTGTTGTTGGGATCTGGTGTGGTGGACGAAGCTCACAGACGATCAAAAATCTTTTTTTTTACAGCCAATTTTCAGCGTAACACAACTTCATGAATTCGAGATATACGTACCATTAGATCAACCTCCTCCTGAAGATACGATTTGGAGCGCACTCCCTTCTTTGCGGCTTAGTCCTTCTTGGATGTTTGATAATGGACCATGCTATATGTTGAGGGACGGGTAAAGACTTATATTGTACGATAAGGGTATAAGAGCTATGGAAGGAAGAAGCCCTACTTATAGTTAGGGCACGCTAGTGGTGGGAGCCTTATGTACGAAGGCAACTACAGAACATGTAGTTGACTCCGTGACAGTATTTCTCATTTTCGCGTTTCGATTAGCATAGCGACTCTTACAGTAGACTTCGATAAAGGTCTATATTTGAGAAGAATAATATCTATAATATAGACTAAAAACCTAAATAGGGCCTAAAAACATTTTCACCTTTAGTAGATCTTAAACTTTTAATAGTAAATTCAATTTTTGAAGATTTGCTAGAGATTTAGCATTGATTTCTATGTGGAGTTTTATAAAGGTTTATAATTCAGATCTCTAAAGAGATGAGGGACCTTAAAGTGATGGTTATCTAATATCATGGAATCACTAGCGTAGTTAGTGATGATGCAGTATTGACACCTCGCAAGCATAAGGACTCATACTAAAGTCTTTACGGTCCATGGCTTTTGCAGGGCCGAAGTAGAAGTGGATAGAAAAAGTACTTACAGTCACGTTAAAAATGACTTCGTTACCTTCGGTTCAAAGATACGGAAGATAGGATGTCACTAGGGAAACCTTATTTCACGTTTAAGACCAAATCGTTTGATCTTCGTACGTACAGCAAAGATTCTCCAAATGGATATATTTTTGGGCCCCAAACGGTTTTGTGCCTCAGTATGACATTGGGATATGGTTATCTATTGAATTATCAAGATTCAGTGAGAACACATGGAGTCAGTAAGATTTTCAAGATATGGCTAACAAATAATAGGTATCTCTAAGTTTTAATAGCTGTTCATGAAAGCAGAAATATCATGAAAACATAATCTGATGAGAGTAGTCGGAACTAGATTGTGAGTGGGACCGAATCAGTCAAATGACTCTATATAAGGATACCGCCCCATATTTTTAAAAGACTAGCAAACCCAGATATCCTTATAACGAGATTTTTCTGCAACTGAAATTATATGCTATGTCACAGGAAGTAAATGTCTAGCCGGTTTTTGATAGAGCAAGCATATAGCCGATATCTACCGAATTTGATTTGCTTAACTATAGAAGCTTGAATTACGGAACCAAAACATCGTTCAATTTGCCTTATGTGAGCATTGCGATCGTCATTCCATTTTCATTGATCATCGTCCGGTCTACTTACTTTGGGTAGATCCAAATGTGACGGCAGCAGGCCACTACCCCGCAACCTCCCCCCACATCATCCAACTGTCCCCACAAACAAACTTCATTTTAGTACTAAGCTCGCACCACGCTATCCTAGACTCAGTTTTAGCTCTTCACACTTTCCATTTAATAATGAATCAATCTCTTCTTGACAGGCGTCTACTTCGTTAAATTTTCCCATTTTGTACACCGATCAGCTTTTCCAAAGTTTGATTCATTCGGGTGTAGCTAAGAGAGAGTCAATTTAGATTGTACGATATATGTTCCTTGACTCGTATCAATCTATTCGGAGTGGACATACAAGAACAATACTGATGAAATCCACCGTAAATGCTAGACGTCACCAGTAGCAAAGTGGGACGATTCAGGAATTATATATAGTCTCTCGCTTTCACCCACGTCTCAGTGTACCCAGTCTCTATTCACATCTTATATCTAATACTATAATGGCTTCTATCAATTCGTTCTCTCGCATAGTGGCAACATTTGTGCTCTCCATTCAAGCTGTCAGCTCGAGACCACATTGGCAGTCAAAATCAGATGTAGACTTGAGTATTTCCACAACGAGTGGCCGTCGTAAGTGTTCATTGACACTTATCTCAGAAACAACATTAACACATCTCAGTTCAAGGAATTATCAACGGAACTACGCCAAATGTACGTCAATTCCTGGGTGTGCCCTTCGCCCAGCCTCCCACCGGCGACTTGCGCTGGATGCCACCCAATACACTTCCATCCAACCAGTCGTCTGCGGTTGTTGATGCAGCGAAATTTTCCCTGAATTTTCCACAAGACGAAAGTGCAATCCCTACCATCTACAGCACCTACGTCCGAGAATTCTTCATTTCGGGATCAAGTGGCGAAGACTGTCTTACTTTGAGTATCTGGACCCCACTTCACTCTCAGCCAGAAGATAAGCTACCGGTTGTTATTTACCTTTATGGTGGTGGACTTCAAACTGGGGGGTCTTCGGTACCCTATCAAAATCCTGCGAAATGGATTGAAAGAACACAATCTCACATCGTGGTTAGTATTCAATACCGGTTGAACATCTTTGGATTTCCAAATGCACCTGGTCTTGAATCCCAAAATCTGGGTTATCTCGATCAGCGAGCGGGAGTGGAATGGATCTACGAGAATATCGCTGCGTTTGGTGGCAATTCTGAACAAATGGTCCTATGGGGACAATCGGCGGGATCAATATCAACTGAAGCATACAACTTTGCTTATCCTGATGATCCAATTGTCAAAGGATTCATATGTGATGCCGGCCCTCAATTTGCAGCCACGTCAATAGATGATCCTACATACTCGAATTTCACATTTGTGGCTTCTCAGTTTAATTGTACGGGCTCGGAACTTCTCCACTGCACGCGCAAGATTCCAGCCGACGATATTGAAGATTTCTTGAAGTCTTACAATGACGCTCTTGCCACCCCCGCATTATCATTCAACGCTGTACTAGACGACAAGATTGTCTTTTTGAATTACACACAGCGATTCATAGATAACCAACTTTCTTCACTTCCCGTAATTTATGGATTTACCAACAATGATACTATATCCCTCAACGCATTCCCAGCAGATCCGTTAACCGAATCAGCTAATCGCACTCTGGCTTCGATGGGCCAAATTTCTCGCTTTATCTGTCCCACCTCTGCTGAATCATACTATCGGACCCAACTCGGTCTTAAAACCTATCGCTTTCAATACCGAGGAAATTTCTCTAACGTTTCACCATTACCATGGGCAGGCGCATATCATTCTAGCGAGCTCCCTATGATTTTTGGAACCTCAGAGGACTTCAGAGGCAAGAATACAGAGTTGGAGTGGGAAACGAGTAGAGCGATGCAAGATGCTTGGTTAGCATTTGCAAGAAAGCCTGATGGAGGATTAGAGGAATTAGGATGGGGGAACAGTAGTGGACAGATGGTGGAGGTTTTCGGAGGAAGAAGTACTCATGATGATACCGGGGAGAATGTTGCGAAACAGTTTATAAGTCTGAAGGAATTGGCGGTGAGCTGTAGTATCAAGTAAATACAGCGAGAAACTGATGTAAAGCTGAATGAAAGATGGATTCCCCATTATCCAATAGAGATCGATAATGAGCATTGCGGAAATGTAATGCTCACAATGAATGAGTCGGATGAGAAGATTTGACTGAATAGATCATAGGCTGATTTGGCTCAAGTTAAACCTTAGTCTAATAGTTCCTTAAAACAAAGTTATTGAATGAATGATAAATGGTTTTAAGTAAAACCTTACAATTCATGACTGAAGCTCAAGTTTTATATTTTGGTTGTGATTGTATAAACGTATTTAATTTATCTCACGTCTTTTCAAACTTAAGTCTTAGAATGTCACCATTCTCCTACCAAATTTTGGTTACGCATTGGAGGGAGGTTGATTGTCCTCGCATGGCTGAGTCATGCACGATGTGACCAATAAAATAGCCGAAGACCTATGAAACCAAGTCTGCTCCGAACATTTAACCGTAGGTTGGGTATGAAGCTTACTAATCTAATCAGAAAGACCACCAATGGGTGCACGGACTCACAGGATAGTCTGTATAGCTTCAAAAAACCCAAAATGAAATAATATTACAATTAAATAGCTAATAACTATTACAATTTTGATTATATATAGCTCTCATTTGTATTAATTATAGTTCTATATTTACTAAGTAATTCTATAACGTAGTTTAACACCGAGTGGGCCATATCATCAAGTGGGCTACTTTCACCTCAATTTACACCTTCAAATACAGATTATTCAACAATTATTAAATCAATTAATTTAAACTATTAAGAATCTAATAATCTAGGATCTATTATATTATTTTGATAGATTTTTATATTATAATCTATCTTTCCATATTTATTATAATATTAATTAGAAAATACTTTCTTATTAGAATTCTTTCCTTTTTAATACTTATTATATTAAATCTAAATATCAATCTTTTATTGAAATAATATATTAAGAGTTTTTTATTCAATAAATACTCCTTTTTAATATAATTAGATTTTTTTTGTATATCAATATTTACTTAATACTTTATTTATTATTCGAAGTATATAATTCTCTATATTTAAAAGTGTATTTTTATAAGCTAATCTTTCTATACTTTTAGCTAAAATTAATATAATCTTAAATATAAATATAAGGGAGCTTATTTGATAATAAGTTATTTGAGATTTAATTAATATTAATTGAGAAAAAGCTTCAATTAGATTATAAGGGATTTGAAAGATCCATTAATTTAAATCGAAAAAGAGGGGAATAGATATACAAATTCGAATATCTAATTTCAAAAATATAGTTTCAGAATTAATAAGATATAAATCTATTTCTTGAAATTCGATTTTTATATTTTGAAGAGGAATTGGATTTTTTATATAATTGTTTTAAAAGTTATAAAGATTTAATTTTTTGAAATATATTGATATATATCTTAATAAATCCATTAATTTGATTATTATATAAACGTTTTAGATTATTAAAATAATCAATATCAAATGGTTAAATTAAATAACTTGAATATAATAATAAATATAAATATATAATATTATTCTCTTTATAATATATTTGAAAAGCTATTGATTTATAGTTTTTATACTTATTCAATATTAATATTCGATATTGCTTTTTCTTTAATTCTTAGTATATTTATTAAAGTATTTTAATTATTCTAATCTATTTCATTATTTGTTTATCTATTAGATATAGATTTAATAATCTAGTTTATAGAAAGATTGATTTCGATATATTAATTAAAGAAATGAATTTATTCTTGAATTATTAGAAATAGGGGAATAGTTTTATTCTCTTTATTTCCATATATTATTACTATAGTTCATTCTTAATTGCCTAGCTATATTGATTTGCTTTTATTATATCTCTCAATATTAATAATAATTATTATTATATATATAATCCCTATTATAAAATCTATTTCATTGAAATTGTAAAAATCTTTATTCAAAATATCATATTTTACTCATATATTTACAATTAATTGAAACTATTTTTCAAAAAGTTTAGGATTCTTATAAAAAGTTTTTTGAAAGTTATAAATATAATTAAAATATATTTTTAATTTGATTTAATATTTTATAAATCAATATACCCAAAGCTTCCCAATACATTTTGTATTTCTTGATTTGAAAATATAATTTACTATATTTTCTATATTCTTAAATTTAAATGGAAAATCTTTTAAATCTATATCAAGAATATATTAAATAATCATTTTCTCTTTTAATTCTATAATTTTATAATAATTCATTTGAATTTCTATATATAAAAGTAAATTATTTATTCTATAACTAATTGTTATACAAGATATATTATATAATTAAGCAATCTATTGAATACTTAGTTTTTTGTTTTTTTAAAAAATTTTGATAGCTAAAAATAAATATACTTTTTTATTTATAAATTTCATAATAAATGATTAATAAAACATATATTGAATATAAAGAGTGTAAATTAAGGTGAAAGTGGCCCACTTAGTGATATGGCCTATTCGGTGTTAAACTACGTTATATCTTTTTTGAATTTTCTTTTGTATAATCTTGCTTTATTTATTTTGTATAATTTTCTTTAATTTATTTAATATTTTCTATTATCTTTTCCAAACTTATTATTTTAATATATTCCAAATATTCTTTATTAGATTCAAATTAAATAAATTAAAAGAATAAAATAGATTTTTGATATTGTATATATTCTTAAGCTTTTATATAAAATTATATTTAATAAAATTATAGGAATTATTATTATTTTTTATTAAAAGTTATTTATATATAAAATCTTTTATTTATAATTTCTTAATTGTTTTTATATAAACTAAAAATAATTATTTAATATAATATTCCTGGATTATAATATTATTTTGAGATTTGATATTCTTAGAATATAGTTTTTTAGTTTTTTATATATAAATATATTTTTTATAGAAATTATAACTTTCAATTTTGGAATATATCCTAAACTTAGATTTAGATTTAGATTTATTTATATATTTCTTTTTATTATAATAAAATTCAAGATTTTCAGCTTTTTTTTAAAAAATAATTTATATTTTATAATAGATTTTATTATTCTTTAATAAAAGATATTTTATTATATTTTCTGATTTATATTGAATTTCAGCTTTTTTTAGAATCTCTTTTTTTCTTATAAAAACAGAATTCATATATATTTCATTTATATATATAATATATTTCCAAAATTCTTTTATAATATTATATTTATATATATTATTAAATATAATATATTTCCTATATTATCAATTATTAATATGTTTTTCTGAATAAATAGTTTTATAATATTAATCTTGATTTATAAATCTCTTTAAATTTTTTTATAAAAAATATTGTTTAATCCTTAATTTAAAGTATTCAATTATTATTTTGTAAAATTTGATTTATAATTTATTTCGAAAAAGTGAAATAAGTATTTTATAAATAATCTTATTAATTGATATAGATCCCCCTAGATTCTTTGAAAGCTTATAAATTTGCTTATAAGCTTGTTTTTCTAATATATCTCTTTCTTAAAGCTATTAATAATTCATAAAGCTTAATATATCTAATTAAATAGAAATAGAATATATTCTTTTTTTTATATAATATTAATCAAATTTATCAAAAAAGTATAATTTTTTTAATAAATTATATTTTCTATATAATTCTTTATTAATAAAAATAACTTTATATTTAATTAATTATATATTAAATAGCATTTTGAAATTGAATTGATTATATATATTTTGAATTGTTTATTTTGAGACTATTTTCAAAAAACGCATATCCCGTTGAATCCATGTATCCACTAGTGGTCCACCAGTGAGTATACAAACTTATAAAACACGCGTTTTTGAAAATAGCCTCAAAATAAATAATTCAAAATATATATAATCAATTCAATTTCAAAATACTATTTAATATATAATTAATTAAATATAAGATTATTTCTATTAATAAAGAATTATATAGAGAATATAATTTATTAAAAAAATCATATTTTTTTAATGAATTTGATTAATATTATATAAAAGAAAGTATATACTTTATTTCTATTCAATTAAATATATTAAATTCTATAAATCATTAATAATTTTAAGAAAAAAATATATTAAAAAAGTAAATCTATAAGTAGATTTATAAACTCTCAAAAAATCTAAAGGGATTTATATTAATTAATAAGATTATTTATAAAATACTTATTTTATTCTTTTAAAATAAATATAAATTAAATCTTATAAAATAATAATTGAATACTTCAAATTAAGAATTAAATAATACTTTTTATAAAAAAATTTAAAGAGATTTATAAATGAAGATTAATATTATAAAACTATTTATTTAGAAAAATATATTAATAATTAATAATATAGAAAATATATTATATTTAGTAATATATATAAATATAATATTATAAAAGGATTTTGGAAATATATTATATATATAAACAAAATATATATAGATTCTATTTTTATAAAAAAAAAGAGATTCTAAAAGAAATTAAAATTTAATATAAATTAAAAAATATAATGAAATATTTTTTATTAAAAAGTAATAAAATCTATTATAAAATATAAATCATTTTTGAAAAAAAAACTGAAAATCTTGAATTCTATTATAATAAGAAAGAATATATAAATAAATCTAAATTTGAATCTAAATTTAGAATATATTCCAAAACTAAAAATTGTAATTCCTATAAAAAATATATTTATATATAAAAAGCTAAAAAGCTATATTCTAAGAATATCAAATCTTAAAATAATATTATAATTTAAAAATATTATATTAAATAATTACTTTTAATTTATATAAAAATAATTAAAAGATTTTATATATAAATAACTTTTAATAAAAAATAATAATAATTCTTATAATTTTATATAAAAGTTTATGGATATATATAATATCAAAAATCTATTTTATTCTTCTAATTTATTTGATCTGAATTTAATAAAAAGTATTTAAAATATATTAAAATAATAAGTTTGAAAAAGATAATAAAAAATATTAAATAAATTAAAGAAAATTATATAAAATAAATAAAATAAGATTATATAAAAGGAAATTCAAAAAAAATATATAGAATTATCCAATAAATATAGCATTATAATTAATACAAATAAGAACTATATACAATCAAAATTGTAATAATTATTAATTATTTATTTATAATATTATCTTATTTTGGGTTTTTTGAAGCTATACAGACTGTCCCGTGAGTCCATGCACCCACTGGTGGACATCTTTTTATTTCATAAACCGCTCTATCACCAACACAACAAACCTGACCTATCTTACTTTTTATTTGCAGACTTACCTCTCCCTCACAGTATAATTTCAAGTCTGGCAACATGAATGGGCAAGATTACGAGATTGCAAAAGACATTCCATCACACTCGTCTTCATTGGATTCAGAGAGCAAAAGTCAAAAAGATTCGAAGGGTCGAATTGAGACAGACGAAGGATTCAAAACAATCAGTCCAAAGACTGAAGATATAGAAAGACATGGATCAACCTCTACTGAGCTTTACCAAGATCATTCTTTCGACCACGTTCTGGATGGGTCACCTTGGAGCAATACCAGGCCATCATCAAAGCTGTGTGCCGTTTTTCAGAACATGGCTAATGGATTGGGACGCGGTAATTGGTTTGAAAGATCAAAGGAATTTAAATACAAATTCTATGACACAGCTATACGTCATGTACGGAATCCACTAAGCTTACGAATTTCGGCGCAAAACAGTTGCTCTTTCTGTGCCATATTGATTCGCGATGATGGCGATGAAGAAAAGAAGCGCGGCGCTAAGATTTCAAGATATATTGATGAGTGGAAGGCAAACTTTGGAGAAGCCCCTTTTCCGTTTTCGCAAGTATACATAGAATCTCAATCCCGTGACCACGACAAATGGTCTCTTAATTTGCGCTTTCCAATTGATCCCCACTGGAAGGATCGAGCCTGTGGATTTGAATTCGTAGTGGAGATAAGAAAATCGCTTCATAAATGTGAGTTATTTCATGAGAAGTCATTAGGTACTGTTAGGTTACATAACACTACAGCTAGAACCTCCCAAGACTAGACCAAGCATTTTCAATATCAATATTCTTCATTTTTCTACTTCAAAGCATGGTGGAGTTGCAGAGTGCTTGGGTTAGCCTTATAGATGGGGAGATACGCTATGGAAACGTCTCTATTGCGGGTTTTTGGTTTTTTGAAAAAATTGAACTGACTTACGATTAACCAGATAACGAAGTCTTCGAAGACCTGGATGAAGTTTCTAATACGAGTCAATCAATTCCTCTTATCAAAGAGTGGTTGAGTGCATGTCAGAGATTGCACCCGGAATGTAAATCTCAGAGGCCAGATTTCGTACCAACAAGACTTATAGATCTTCAAGCAGGACGTCCAAAACTTTGTTTGGGAAGTCTGATTGAGGAAAACGATCTTCAATATGCTACCTTGAGCCACTGCTGGGGAGCCCCAGAGAAGAGATACCCGACACTAACGAAATCAACCTTGCTGAATTACTTATCGAGAATAGATATGGACGAGCTTCCGAAGACTTTTCAAGATGCCATTGAAGTTTGTAGGGAGTTGGAAATTAGGTATATCTGGATCGACTCGCTTTGCATCGTAAAAGATGATATTGAAGACTGGACAAGAGAGTCTTTCACCATGGCTAATGTCTATGGCAGCTGTTTGCTGAACATTGCCGCTTCTAGCTCCATCCATGGCAGTCAAGGATGCTTTTTCAATAGAAGTGATGTTCCGAGGTGTCACATCTCTTTGAAAGTTGATGGGAAGATCAATGCTTTATACTATTGTACAAAAGTTAGGACGCATGCTCTAGATGACCTTAATGTTTGCCCATTAGAGAGTTGAGGATGGGTCTTACAAGAGCGCCTTCTATCACCACGGACTATGCACTTTACACGAGAACAAGTGTTTTGGGATTGCTATACCAAGTTTGTTTCAGAAAGTTCACCTTTCGATTTCAATACAGCAGAAAACTCTCGAGGTACAGGAAGCTGGCTGAAGGAGCCGCTTTCAATCAGAAACTGGAACAGAATTGTTGCGAACTATACAGGTCGTTGTTTAACCTACGAAGCAGATAGACTGATTGCACTGGCCGGAATCGCGGAGAAAATACAGCAACAGACGGAAGATAGATACTTTTCGGGAATGTGGTATGTAAATTTGTTGGAGCAACTATGCTGGTATGTTCTTGAGCCCACGATAGACCAGAAAGTCTCACCTCGATGAGCTCCAACATGGTCTTGGGCATCTCTTGCATCGCAATTTGCATTTCTAGGAGGGCTTCCAAACTTCGACGATGTGAAATCGAAAGTATTGCACGTCGAGAAACTGGGTTCTGTATGCCAATTTGGCGATATGTCAAATGTAGCATTATAGTTATCATGCGCTCCACTGTTACCCATTCAAAACATCGAGTCAAAAGCCAAGATCCTGGGCAAGTTATCCATCGACTATTCTAATATTCATTTCGACTGTTTAGAAGATACTTCGTCCTTCGATATAGGCAGCAAGATGCGCAATGTTTATATATTGCGGCTCTTCAGCAAGGAGGGATTGATTTTAAGATGCATCAAAGAAATACAAGGAGTGTATGAAAGAATTGGCCATATCTTATTATTGGAATTTAAAGATTCGGATTTAGGCGACGAAGTATGCCATGCAGAAGAGAGTGCATATGTTCCAAGAGAGAAACACAATTTTGATACCGATAAGCATGTCATACTTTTAGTTTAGTCATCCTTTGACTAGTTGATAACTTTCAAGGGGGAAGTTCAACTGATTGCAAATTGCATCGGTATGGAACCCAATATGTGCTGGTAGAAGCAGGCTTACAGATGACGAAGTTGAGGATCAATGGTGGGGCCTGGACTCGATAGTGGTGACATTTCTTTTGCTGACAATATTTCTGAGACTTCATCATTTCGCGAAGGAAATTTTAGTTCATTTTGTGAATTTTTATAGAGTCTCCCCAATCAAAATTGGAGACAGCTCTTGTGGCGGTGGTGACCTCGTGGCTAATAGCCTACTGTCATCCGGAGCAAATTTCAGGACAATGTTATGACATGTGATGATTTTAGGTGAACGTTCAAAGCAGGCAGGTGTCTACAAAGGAAGTCTTCTTGATTTATAATAAGTGTATGTATTGACCGATACACAATAGAGGTGCAAACTTTCGAAATCGAGACGGAGGCCCCCTTTGCCGCAAGATTCCAGAACCTCGATGCATATCCTAGGCGAGTTGTATCAGAGAACATGCCATCCTTACCACTTACCAAAAACCACTGGCTATATGAATGAAAATAGCAAGAATGATATAAGACTGGAATCTTCAACGCACAATTAAGCGGGCCCCTTGTTATGGTATCTTTTCAGATTACTCTCACGCGAAGAATAAGTATACAATAACAACAAACTAAATTATCACGATTTACTCTCTATCAATAGCGAAACATGAGACTGTAGCAAAAAATTTCTGACTCAATCCCACGAGGTCTGTAATTTTCTAAAGTCAAATTGCGACATATCATGCAAACAACAGAACATATAACCCGCCCCGCCGTTCCGAAATACCGGCTGAAGATGATACCCGCACAATAATGACCGTCTTGGCAACAACCTCAACGGCATGCCTAGATTAAAATTATATTAATACATCCCACTTAATCTATTTTCCCCGGATTTAGGAGAATTCGCACCAATGTTTCCACGGCATTTATATTGAACGTTGAATTTAGCCCCCACTACCCCGGATTTTCATCAATATGTCAGAATTGTCAGTGATTCTTCAAAGATCACAAGATTCAATCGATACTACCACACTAGATGCCAAGATACCTTCATCACTCGTTCTTTATTGAACCTATATACCAAACTAATATATAATTCCCTCAAATTATCTCATCTGCTCATTCACTCTCCAACTCCCTCACCCATTCTTTACCTCCCGATTACTCTCCCTTACTCTACATCACCATGCATCTCCTCTCCACCATCTTCCCCGTTCTTTCCCTGATCCCCGCCGTCCTCTCCCATGGCTACGTCTCCGGAATTGTAGCAAACGGCGTTTACACTTCCGGCTGGCAAATCTCCTACTGGTACGATGTTGTGAACAAGGTTCCTTATCCACAAACTCCTGGATGGTACGAGGAGGCACTGGATATCGGGTTCATTGCGCCTGATCAGTATTCGTATGTTTTTTCCTTTTTCTTTTTTCTGCAATCTCTCGTTTCGTTTTTGGTAAAGGCTAACTTGGACACGATGAAGGACTTCCGATATCATATGCCATAAAAACGCAGTAAATGCAAATGTATCCGCCACTGTTGCTGCCGGTGGAACAGTACAATTTCAATGGACTACCTGGCCACATAACATCGGGCCAGTGTTGACCTATGTGGCTAATTGTGGAGGAAGTTGTGCTACTGTATGTTATTCCGCTTTCGCTTTTGCTCCCCTTTCCACTTTCGTCTTGAAAGTGTCTTGGTTCTTATAAAATACAAACGACCTATGATAGATAAACTATTACAACCAATATCAGTCGGCTAATAAATACTAGGTCAACAAAGCCAATCTCAAATGGGTGAAGATCGATCAATCAGGAATCAATTTCAACACACAAGTCTGGGCCACTGGAGCTTTGATGGCGAATAACAATACCTGGACAACCACTGTACCAAAGACACTTGCTGCTGGTATGTGAACTCACTATTCTCCCCTTCTCCCCCGCTCTTAATTTCCCTCCCACTAACACCTCCATAGGACACTACGTATTCCGCCACGAAATCATTGCGCTCCACGGGGCCACAACAGCAAATGGCGCACAAAACTATCCTTTCTGCGTTAACATTGATGTAACGGGCTCTGGAACTGCGAAGCCTACGGGTGTGGCAGCAACGAGCTTTTACAAGGCGACTGATCCTGGAATTTTGTTCAATCCTTATGTAACGTTGAGCAGCTATCCCATGCCAGGACCGGCTTTGTGGACTGGTTAAATTATGAGGGAAGGATATGGATTGTGGAGATGGGGAAAGTGGATGGATTTTGAATGAGGTGATGCGCGGGGGATTGTCATGTCGGCTTTATCAGGGGGTTTGTAGGAGAATTACTGTCAAATTGAGGGAGAGAGGAACGAAATGGATATTTGTGTTTGTAAATAGTTTGACTATCCATTTGAACTTGTACATACGCGAGTAAATCACGTTTGATGAGACATACCACTCGGTAGTCAGTATTTTTGACTGCAGAACAAATATTGTTGAGACAAAACCTTTTCGAGATGTTTGCAATTGTGTGTACTTGGCAACAATTAAAAAGTGATATTCTCAATGTTAGAGGTTTTCTGTTAGCTACACAGGGTCAATGCAAAGTATAAATCAGGTCTTCAATGAAGATGAACATGGATAATAAGCAAACTGTTGAGAACTTATATTTCAAATCCATCTTTAGTACCAAGTTCTATGTGTATCTCTAAACATGTCTTGGAACACACCCTTCCACATATAGATTAATGTGCAGCCGGATGAAAATGGCTTTGATCTCAGAACACCAAATATTCTGTTTAAAAACCTGATGTTGAAAACTTTTATGTTTTGGATCTCGTTCTAACCATTGAAGAAATATAAGATATTAAACAGTATGAGATAATCTACGCAGAATCAGTTCAGAATGACATCCAAAATAATGCTTCCAACATGGGACATCATACTAAAATTTGACATGAGAAACTCTATGCTTAATAACCAAGTTTATTTCTCTTTGCATACCATCCATCATTCTGGTTTTTCCCGAGTCGCGATTTTCAACCTTCCAAACCCACGTAGGAGTACTAGGTTTCGTGCCATTGATTTTATCTCCCATTCGAATGCCCTGTACAGACTCCCCATTCTCCCCTGTGATCATTTTGTCCAACAGAGATATCCATCTGTCTTGATTTTGAACGAAGGATGAAGTGAGAAATTTCCCATACTCGCATTCGACTTTCACACAGATCAATCTCTCAAATTTCGGCAATGAGATTGTGATAAACGTTTCGAATCCGCCTTGTTCGTAGGAGAACATCTTGCGAAGTGTTAAATGACGGAGAGAAGAATAAAGGAGAGACATCTGGGTTGGGATCTGTGATAATGGCGTAAAGGTGGAACTGAGAGTTGTGTTAGTCGATGATTCTGGGGCACAAATGCCAATGGACAATCTGTGGCTTTAAAAGTGTCTATAAAATGACTCAACATTCCCAGAGTATTCAATTATCCAAAGCGATGAATGGTCAAATGATCTTGAGAAGTGGAAGCTTTTGATTGTCCACCTATATTCTAGACTTTTAAAGGAGAATTTTGGGAGAACTCACGGTATAATCAAAAGTAATTTTCGAAACATCCCACATACTTCCCGATCCGCAAACTCGATAGTTTTCACAATATTATATGTGAATTGGTTGATAGAATGAAAAGTAGTCTTCGCTTCATTATACAGGCTCTGCGTGCCGTACATCTTTAGGGCGCTGAGGAACACAGGTGCTTTAGATGTGGATTTATTTTTCTTCTTAAGAGGTCTGAGAAGAGTGTATTCATATATCATCTCTCGGATTTCAACAGGAAGGGCATTGAACTTGAATTTTGTTTTCCGCATTTTTTCTGTGACATGAATTCGCGAGGTCGAGATAGCGCTGATCTCCTGACGATCTCGAAGAGTCAACAGTTCCGACGACCATGCCTTTTTGGTCCAAAGATTATTAAATCTGGACACTTGATCGAGGTGACCGAATCGACTAAGAGTTTCGACGGGACGGCGAGTAATTTGGACTTGGGGCTGATGAGCTTCGTTCTCAGTCGTACTATCACCGTTGTCCAGAAATCTTGTGTGAGTGGAAAAAACAACAGTCTGGTGAAGTTGGGTGACAAAATTCTCCGAATAATTATTGGTGGCGTCCATTGAATGAGGAGAGGAGATAGCTGGTAGTGGGAGTGTCGTTTTAACGTTGTTTGATGATTTATTATTCATCGCTATTGGCGTTTTATGATCAGAAGAATCACATTGTGCCGCCATTATTGAAGGACTCCGGCCTGCCTGAGGTGACCTATTTCTGTGTAGAGCAGTTCGCGGGGATACCGATTTGTTCTAGATTTGATCTGAAAAGCGTCGGTTGAATTCTGAGGTAAGAAGAGGGGAATTCCAGGTTTATGGAATGTGAGAAGATGATTGCCCTTGTAGATGAAATTATTTATATACACTCGGGTTTTCGAAAATTAATGCTCATTTGTGGAAATTTAAGAAGTTCAAGAATTCCTATTTGAAATGACAGCATCTTTACCTTGGTCAGACCAAGGAGTTAACATAGCCGGACAGTTCTAGCTTCCAAGCCTAGTCATCTTAGACCGTTTCAATCCAGGCTCTTTCGCGACAATAAGGTTTGGTATTTTGCCGAAAATGAAGCGTGAAACGCTGCAATACAGACTTTTAAAGAGTCTTCAGATCAAGAGATCTCTTTGCCAGTCTTCGGATCACTGATGTCTGCCTCATTTTTGGTTTTATCGTGCCAGGTCGGATTACCATCGTCATCAAATTCAGCCCATTCAAAGTAGGTGCAACCTTCTTTCCCGGGAACATTTCCTGCGTGGCACATCCAAAAGTATCGACCTAAATTCTCCTTCTTCCTTTGCACGACTCTCAATACCGTAGGTACACCACACTTGCATTTTGGCGTGAATTTAGGATGTAATGAAGATTTGTAGTCTCGGTAGGTAATATTTATTCGTCTATTTCCCGAAATTGGATGAGGATCAACGGCCTGTGCTGGTGCGATACTATGTTTCCAAGTTTCTTGCATTTCGGCATGCATGATTAACAAGGAATTATGGGGCAGGTGAATAGCTATTTGACCTTCGGCGTCGGAAGACTCCTTGCTTTTCTCTTTCGAGTCTGACTCTTGAGCGACTATTTTTCGAACACGAAACTCACGTGCCACACCTAAAGATATCGATCCTATGACAGCTCGCGGTCCAAGGTAAGTGAGCTGGTCACTATGATACCCCACACTCTCTGCACCACCGTTATAGCAGTTGACGAAAGCTGCATTTGGCTTCCATGTGTCCGATGATTGGTACTTGAGCTTCTGACCATCAGGATACTGTGTTCTGATTCGGGTTGCGACTTCTGAGTTGACAGCATCCTGAACTTTAGGCGAAACTTTTCTCATTTGTGGAGTAAGTTGACGGACATCCTGCAGGTTATCGATTTAGCAATCCGAGACTTCAAATTCTGAGCACTACTCACCGTTAGTAGAGCGCCATTGTAAAGATATTCTGTCTTTTGAGCCCTTTGCTCTTCCAAACTCTCAACATAAAAGCAAGCTGTATGAGGACTTGTGACCACATTATCAAATAATTTAAAGGTCATCCTTTCGAAAGTTGGTGCTTCTTTCAACAATTCCTCAAGTAGCGTATTGGCCTCTTCCGCCGGTAAGAAGTTATGTATTATAGAACAAGGAGTGTGAGCTGCAACATCCTGAGGAGAATATAAATGAAGAGTTCTGCCTTTCCTAGACAAAGATTTAACTCGCTTTGTGGAGTTCTCACTCGAGATGAACTTAGAAAGAGAACTTTGATAACCTACCGTAGCTGATGGCTTCTTGGGTATCGGCAAAGAGGTAGTAGTATCCACAATAGATAGAGAACTTGAGGCCTTCTCAACATCACCATTACTTTCGAGTAACATTTCAAGAAGAACTTGTTGATCGACTTCAGGGTGCAGAGATGATAATAACGCCAGCTTGAACTCTGTTGATTCATCATTAGGAGCACTGAGATCTTCAATGAGGTCAACCGTGTTTGAGTTAAGTGGTGACTGGGAAGAGACAGATAATTTTCGCTTTTTCCTTGATATAAAGGCATCCATAATAGCGACGACCTTTTCTCCAAGGTACAGTGTGTGTTTGATTGAAATGGAGATCCACTGCTAGTTCTCTTTGGCCAACGGCGTCCCAGGATTTAGGCAAACTTCTCACTGGAATTTGCTAATATGACTGGAGTGCAACAATGCCAGGGTTTGCGAGCGTTTGTAGGTGCTAGCAAAAACAATCTCATAAATCCCAACATATATAAATTGGCTTTTCCCTACGGCCGTGGTTGATAAACCCAAAGTTTCAAGCATTTAAGAGAGTCACGTGTAAGATTACTCAGCCGAATAACTCCTCGGCATAAATTGGTGGTGGGATTTCCCTAGCCTGCAATTCAACTAATTACTTGTGACGATTACAGCAGTTCATACAATCGCAAAGTCGAGGTTCGGTGACAATCCCCCCCTTCGTAATAATCATGGAGTTTATTACTCGAGGCTTTAAGGGCTCTGCTGTCAAATACTCTCCCTTCTTCGACAATCGAATCTGTGTAACTGCTTCTGCCAATTATGGGCTGGTAGGAAATGGGAGACTATATAGCTTGATGTTGACTCCGCAAGGTATTCAAGTACAGAAAACGTAGGTAATATTCGGAGGTTGACTCGGATTTTACCAATTCTGTCGTTTTCATAGCTTTTGCTGACTATGGTCCTCTCTCATAATATAGTTTCGATACTCAAGATTCCATTTACGATTTAGCATGGTCCGAATCGAACGAAAACCAAGTCGCTGTCGCATGTGGTGATGGAAGCGTCAAATTATTTGATACCGCAATTCACGAACAATTTCCCGTCGCAAACTTTCATGAACATGGTCGCGAAGTTTTTGCTGTTCATTGGAATTTGGTCTCAAAAGATACATTTGTTTCAAGCTCTTGGGATGGTACAATTAAACTAGTACGAGGATCTCCTGGCTTTGAGTGTAGTTGTGTCATCGACGGTATTGCTAACTCTTCGACTATCAGTGGAACCCAAATCGCGCAAGCTCAGTTCTCACATTACCTACACATTCTTGCACATATAGTGCTGCCTTCTCTCCTCATTCACCGTCGATCATATCATCTGTCTCCTCAGATTCACATTTAAGAATATTTGATCTACGTACCCCTTCCTCGGCTTCCAATCATTTAGTCTCACTTATTCCAATCCATGGTTCCTCACCAAGTGCAGGCTCTCTGGGAGCAGTAGGAAGTAATCGTCAAGTTTCACCTCCAACCGAAGCTCTCACCCATGATTGGAATAAATATCGTGAGGGGGTTATCGCAACGGCTGGTGTGGATCAAGCGATTCGAACTTTTGATCTTCGCAACGTGGGTGGTGGACCTGTCGCCATTTTAAGAGGACATGAATATGCTGTTCGAAAATTGGTCTGGAGTCCCCATCTTAGTGATACCCTCTTGAGTGCCAGTTATGACATGTCCTGTCGCATCTGGACTGATGGTACAATGAATGCCACCATGCCTCGTCAAATCGGTCGCATGGACGCTCACACCGAATTTGTACATGGTGTGGATTGGTGTCTTTTTGGGGAAGGTTGGTGCGCCAGCACTGCTTGGGATGAAAGATTACTGGTCTGGGATGTTCGCTCTGTTATGACCGCATAATTCTTGACACAGTTCTCCTTCCCTTGCTTCTTCTTCGCCTTTCTTTCTTCCACTGAAGTTTAATGGACTTTCCTTTCTTTCTGCAGACTTTGGGGAATCACATGTCCCTGGGAGCGATACGATACCACATGAATGGCGTTTTACCTTTTGGCGTGAGGGATATGAAAATGGAAATTTCTATAGACCAGAGTCTTTGATGTAGAATCTACGCGTGGATATTACGTTCTGGATTGTAGAGAAAAATCTTTGATATTGGGTATCGGGGTATCGGGATACTGGGAAATTAAGAGGAGAGTGCATTGCGCATAGATGGATGTATACATACGTATACACTTTTCCTGCGGGAAGGGTTCAAAGCGATGAAAAACTTGGTATAGATTAATATAATTAAATCATCTTCAGACTGCATATCCAGGGAATATTTAGTCTACATGTTCCTGGTTGCGATTAAAACGATATTGTCTAGATATGACTCGAAGGAAGAAAGCAAGTATATACTTGTAAGGAAATATTTATAAATGGCTACTTGATAATACCCCCCTTAACCATTGCGAAGCCCCTTTACCATATAATCTTATAACGCAACCTCATTCATCATTCATCTTTTGTAAATTCACATCTAATATTCGTCACAAAATCAAAAATAAAAATAGGAATAAAAGCACATACATATACACAGTACCGAAGAATGTTGATAAAATAAAGAGTAGAATTATGCCTATCCATACGACTATCCTATCGATTCACCATCCACTTACTACTATATCATTCAGTAGTGCCTTTCTCCACCTCCCCCGCCCTGAATCTATCCACCCCAACTCTTCACCATAAAAATTTCACTCCCTTTTCTCCATCCCATCCCATACCCTCAAAAGATTCTCCTCATTATCCATCCAACTCGTAAGTTATACATAGGTATGTAGGTAGGTATACAAGGGCGCATTGCGCTGGCTGATCGAACCACAGCTATCGTCGCTCCCAAACAAGAAACGCCTAAGCTCCATCCCCCCCTTTTGCCCATTTTTGTATCCTTCCTATCTATTTGCTATAATTTTCCAACAAGAATCGAAGAATTGTATGTATCGTACAGGCATAAATTTGAGTGTTGTTTCCCCCCAAATCCCTTTCCCGAATCTTGCATATGGCAAATCTCTTTGTGATCTTGTACCGGTCAAAAAGCCGACAAAATAAAGTAAAACAAAATGAGCCGAGACAAGGCAAAATGGAAAGGAGAGAGGAAGAGAAATGAGAGGGAAAGGAAGTGGTGATACACAAGCAAGCGAATTAGTCAAACAAATCAAGTATCAAACCTTGTTTAGAAACTTGAAGATGAACCAAATCCTCCTTTAGAACCACCTCTATCACCACCACCGAATCCTCTTCCGCCGCTTCCACCACTTCTTCCACCATTTCTTCCGCCAAATCCTTTACCGCCTCCACTTCCACCACCTCGGCCACCACCGAATCCTCTTCCTCCACTGGATCCACCACTTCCAAATCCTCTTCCGCCACTAGATCCACCACTGCTTCCAAATCCTCTTCCACCACCACCACCACTGCTCCCAAAGCCTCGTCCTCCACCACTGCTTCCGAATCCTCGTCCTCCACCAAGATCGTCATCATTCTCGCGAGGTTCATGTCCAATGTTAACGCCTGGAATTCTATCAATTCCCAATTTGCGTGCAAGACCAGGGCCAACCATAGGAGGTTTCTCCCAACCCCAACCAAATTTAGTCCAGTTGTTCAAATCTTCCATCATTGCCCTAGGGCTTGCACCCCTCTGACCTTGGCCAAGTGCTCCCATATATGCGTCGACTTTGATTTCACGGTCAACTCTCTTGGTTGCTTGACCGACTTCGTTAAGGATTTCCGCGGTTGTGGCTGGTAATTGAGCATCTTGTTTCATATCGACGAAGGGAGTCTCGAGTGTACGATCGGGTGTGATTGGAAGATTGGATAATGTTCGACGAGCTCCTGGAATTTCAGATTGTGTCAATATGAGCCATCCTTCTCCTTCCTTGCCTCCTCTTCCAGTTCGTCCTACACGATGAATGTATGTATCTCTATCTCTAGGGACACCGATTTGAATGACGTGAGTAACATTGGGGAAATCCATTCCTCTAGCTGTGACATCACTGGATAACATGACAGCAGACTTGGCACGACGGAATCTGTCTGTAACTCTAGTTCTTCTTTCTTGTGTGAGCTTGCCGTGAATAGCAGAAACCTCAATTGAATGAAGGGAATCTATTCCTTTCATAATCTCTCCAGCCAATTGGACGTTTGCGGTTGAGTTAAAGTATACGATAGCCTTGAATGGAGAGGAACCTTCGGTATTAGCCTTTTCAATTCCTTTCTTGCAAATTTCGACCAAGGCTGGCATGACGTTCTCCATTCCAGTAGCAGCGACAATCTTTTGAGGGATTCTTTCGTGTGTGGCTACATCTCCTGCCTTGACGGTTTGGACGAATTGATAATCCGGTTTCAAGATTCTTCTGACGAGACCCATGACCTCTCTTGGAACGGTGGCGGAAAATAATAATGTTTGTCGGTCAACTTCGTTTCGTTTAGGTAAGAGCTCCTGGATGTTATCGATATCCTTAGAGAATCCATCATCCAAAAGTCGATCAGCTTCATCGAGAACCAAAGTTGTTAATCCTGGAGCAGATACTTGACTGTATTCATCGGTCAAAAGATCTTGAAGTCTTCCTGGGGTTCCGACAAGGATATGACAACCCTCACGTTGAACTTTTCTCAGCATCTCTTTCTTGCTAGATCCTCCGACTGCAACTTGTACAATCAAATCTGTATTTCTTGTAATCTTGACTGCTTCGACAGCAATTTGTTCTGCCAATTCACGGGTAGGTGAAATAATGATTGCGCGAATATCGGAAGCTCTTGCTCTGGAATAACGTTGACGAGATGCAAGCTCAGGGCTCTTCTCGAGGATGTTTTGGATAGTAGGAAGTAAGAAACCAATTGTCTTTCCGGTACCAGTTCGTGCTTGTGCAATACTATGATTGGACAGATTAGTATGAGACTCTCAAGTCCAGGTCTTTTTTCCAATAACTCACATATCATGTCCTTGTAAAGCTTGGTTAATAGTTAAAGTTTGGACCTCTGTCATGGTCTCGAGTTTCATAGTTTGGGTGATTTCATTAACAACATTTGGGTGAACCAAACCATATTTGGTGAGTTCATCGAAACGATTAATGACTTTATTTTCTTGAACGACGGCAGCTTCTTGAGTGGCAACACTTTGTAATTGTGAAGCAGAAGATACATGTAACCATCTTGACTCCAAAACTGGCAATGAAGTCTTTTGTGAAATGAGAGAAAGAGTTGAAGGTCTGGTTGAAGGAATTCGAATGCTTGAAGGGACTGCGCGAAGGGCTCTAGATATTGAGGCGGGACCTCTTCTGCAGACGGAAAACATGATTAAATACTGATCCGTATACGGATAAAACTTGAGAAGGTAGTATTAACAATTCAATTGAGCTTATGACTGTTAAATCCAACGGTATAAAAATCAAAGTGGCGATTGAATGAAATTGTCGAAGTCGCTGAAGTCCCCTCTGCAAAAATTAGACATGAAGTTTCTCTTCTACCAGAACTTTTTTTTGACGCTAATGAGTTTATCTTGTGCCGCTAGTATGTAGATAGCTAGATTGCTCAGCACGTGATTGGGCCTTATCGGATGCCAAGCGAAAAACAGATGGGAGGAGAGACGAACAGACCATCTACCCGACTTGAATCTGAAGGCGATAATGAAGTATCTTGATATCCTTTTAGATCAATCTTCCTGTTCAAAATAAGCTACAATGGTCATCCGAAGCTTTCATGCACGGCAGGTCAGAGAAGATGGCGGTAGATCATCGGATTACAAACGTTCGAGCGCAGCGAGCTATGGGGGTTTGGGGGCTCGCCCTCAGAACTTGGATCTCCTCTACTAACACCACCAGAACATACTAAGAATCCTAGTTTATTGGTTTGTATTGATGCATTAAAATATATGAGTGCTTCTATCCTACCTACTCCTAGGACCAGTGATTATCCTATATCCGAAAAAAAACTCCCGTTCTATACATGGGTATCACCATTCATCTATCGTCAAAAATTAACCTCGCCAGATATACTTTGCTTCATAGACGTCTCCTCCTATCTACTTTCTTTTAGACGAAGTACCATTTCTCGCACCCAACATTATCAATCCCTCACTAACACCTTCATGTACACCCCCAGTAACTCCCTCAACAATCCAAGCCGCCGCATCCGTAAGAGCTTGTCCAACTTTCCCATCGCTCATCCCATAAACCGCGCCCGTAACTGCCAAGCTCGATTTTCCGATCGTGTCAGCTGTTATTATACCCTTGGACAGAACCTTTTCTGATATCTTATGAGTTCGATCGTATTGATATGCTGACGAGAGTATTTGTTTCAAATATGGTAAGATAAATTGGAACAATATGAATAGTTGAATGATAATAGCAGCGATGCTTCTTTGAAGTAACGAAGGGGGTTCACCAGTATTTGAATCTTGACTATTTTCACTGGTGTAGGATTCTTCTTGTAGAGACTCTACTATTTCTGTTGGTATAGCACTTTGTAGGCTAATCTTTTCTTCTGTCGAAAGATCAGAGGGAAGAGCTCGGAGTAAGTAGGTCAAGGCGTGGACATAAAGTTGTCTCGCTAAGGAAGTATTGCTAAATTGAGTATTTTGAGAAATCACCGATGATTCCTCGAATGAAAGAGCAAGAAGATTATATCCTATTAAATATCAATTAGTGTCTTTGATCGAATTGAATATCGTAGCAATCGAACCTTGATTTGCAAATTTCCATCCAATGCCTGACTTTGTCTCAGACAATCCTATCGTCTGGAGGAGCTGCCCATTCTTGAGGGGTTGAGGGAAATCCTCGTCGGAAGAGTGCGAATCGTCTATGAAATAGCTATCCGTTTCTCCATCACTAGATATTGAGCTTCGTTCATTGACGAGGGTCATTGTTGACGATGACGATAGGGATCCTGGTGTGCTTGCTCCAGATAAAGTACTTTCAGATTTTCGGCCACTCACAAATCCATATATGTCAACGGTCTTTCGAATTGATGGTATACGGGGCAGCCGTGATTGTACGATATTTGGAAGCATTGAATAAAGCATTGAAACTTCTTTTGAATTTTGAGTAAAGATGGGTGAATATTGTTGGCTCTGCATTATAAATTTCGGATCCTCAAACGATGTGGTTGTGTCTTCTTGTAGATATGACTCTCGAGAAATATTCAGTTTGGAACGACGGGTAGATCGTGAGTACATTATATACATCAAATATCTATTATGGCAGAAAGCAAATGTACGGAAGTAGGTTCTTGGGAAATATGTGTAAAATGTTGCAAGCAAATTTTTTGTTGGACACAAACAAGAATCTCCAGTCGAATATGATGGTCCAGGTCCAGGACGAACGTTTGCGGAATAGTTGTAGGTGAGTTAATTTTCCTTCATAGCCAAGATTAATCTGTACCGTTATCGTAGTTGTTGTATCGAGTGAAATGAATTCATAATGAAATGGGGAAATGAATATTTCTAGGAGACGATAAGAATGTTTGTTGCTATCGCATGAAAGGAAAACGGTTTCTTGCATGTGAAAGTGGTTTAAAATAGGTCAGCAATCACGTGGATGAAACATAACCAATGATAGATCAACGTGTGAAGATATGATTCTCTGGTACGACAACCATGGGAATTTGGAATGATAAGATGATCAAAGGGTATTCCCAATGAATATTGAATATTGCGTAGAAAACAAATTGATAATAACATGAGGAAATATGGCCATGTTGTTAGACAGTGTGTGAAGATTGAATCCAGATACCTGCCTCAAGCCCCTCCAACGACCTTCCACAATTCAACCGAATGCGTCCCCCTGCCCCCGCCTCTCCATTTATGATGAATAGACGTCGATTATTCCGGAACAACATACTGCGGATCTATCGCTCTAGTGTTCGCCTTATAGATGTTGATTACGTCCCACTCAACTCCCTCGAGGCATCTCAAGTTGATTGCATGAATAGTTGGCCATCTTTCCCGTTGTGCTGGTGTCAACGATTCCCAAGTCTTGGGAGATCTAGATACTGCAGCCATGTCCTTTTCAACATCGACAGTAATACCGCAAATTGAGCAGAATCGAAATATGTTATAGCCCTGGCCAAATGAATATTCTGTCAAATTCGATATGCCCGAAATAGATACTTGGTCTCTCGTGGCATAACAGACAGTGATGCCGAGCTATAGTTGATTAGTTTGAAATCAAAATGAACCGGAGATGCAGTACCTACTCGACAACAAATGCTACAGTTGCACTCCTGTATATGTTCGTGGCGCTTGGATAAGGGAGCTTGAGTCTTGAATGCAATAGTTACTGCATCACAATGGCAGCCACCGGTATATAGCTTTTCGTTTTCGAACTTGACCGATGGCAATTCACCAGTGTATTTAGGTGCCACATATTGTGGTTCACGACCAAGACCATCATATCTGGGGAGTGGATGTTAAACTTTATCTCCGCTGCGAGAAATTGCTGGGTGCAACTTACTCATTAACTTTCAGGGACCATTGATCCATATCTTGGAGACAATTGACCTAAGGAACCATCAGTCATTTGCCGTCGTGATATACATGTGCTTGAATTTTTTTCAACTCACATTGATACCAACGTCCCTTCCCGCTGGAGTGTTGTAGCGGAAACCTTGTACATTCGATCCGCATGTTGGACAAAACTAGATCTATAAGCATCATTTTCGTAATTGAAGACGGTAGTATTACCCTGTGAACCATTGTACGTTGTCCAAAATGATACTCTTTCAAAGTCCCCTCTCCCTTGGTAATCTCAAAGCAACTTTCAGCAGGAAACACCCATCGATATCCTTTTTTGAAACAGATGCTGCAGTTGCATTGAGTCACAGTAGTTATTTCAGGCACCTTGATTGTGAATTTGAATGCACCGCAGTGGCAGTTTCCATTGTAGGTTTTGAGTTCTGGTGTGATTTCTGACATGATGGGGTGATGATTTGCAGGTGAAGATAGGAGGAATGCAGCAAGTGAGAGAGTTGACTATACAGATACAAATACTACCTTTGAGGCAGAGCAATGATTTATATCAACTCTGGCTGGATTTGTGTCAACAGAATTTTGTTAAATACCTACTAGGTACCTATGTAGAGGTATATCCCAGCCCCGTATCTGCGAATCATGGCTCTTTGATGTCATATCTCACATCTCCAATCTTACCAAAGTCAGACATAAATTGTCAGAAATTCCTCTTCATGATGGATATATCATATCGTTTAACCCATATTCAAGCCAGAACTTTCCACAAGAGGAACGGCGAAGTCAATCATCTCAATTGTGACTCATGAGCTCACATTTGACTTCTGTTGAGACTACAACTATACGCCGAAGTTTCAAGCCTTCCTTGTTGCAACAAGGGGATGGATATTGAACATTCAACAATGAAGCTCAACAGAAAATATAATCACGATGCGGTGCAAAAGAGAAAAATATGATGAGTAATCGTGATAATGATTATTAATCAATGAAACCATCGGTACCTACCTAGGTAGTTAGATATCCATGGATATCAATATTAATTATCGGCCAGCCCAAAAGGGAAACAAGACCATCGGATCATTTTGTCCAATTTATTAATGCGGCAGTCGTTATTAAGTTAAGAACGAACAGCCCGCCGTATCCTCCGTATTTCATGCATTTAAAAACCTTACTTATCTCGCTTACCTGCTTATTAGTATGTGGAGTCGGGACCTTGTCATGCAAGTGCATCCATCGTATTCTCCCTTTATCCTTTATCCTTCTATTCGTTATGCCCGGGCTCGGGCTCGGGCTCGGTTTTAAGGTTTCGGTTTCGGTTTTAAGGTTTCGGTCTCGGATATTTACCCCAAATGGTACCTACACACACACACACACACTACTCGGACTTACGATGACAACGATGATAATGATCCAACACTCCTCACATTGGACAAATTCCGGCACATACATACTTGAATAATGTTTGTTTGGTGAAAGGAAGTGATCCGGCTTTTCAATGCCTCCTTTGTCTCAGGCTATCTGTTCGTTTGATTTGCTGTCTTCAACTACCTACGTAGATACAGTTTGCCGACAACATTTGTTTAAGGAACAGAAACCCTTGACTCTTGCTATTGATAGGGAATCACCAGATATAACATCAAGAGGAATAGTATACCGATATCTCCTTCCCAGATGCCTATGTCGATAATCATTTGATAATACCCACCCATGCTATCAATGTAGCTATGCCAGACATATTACCTCGACACGGAAATGAGAAGTTCATCGTGGCATCGAGCATTCGCGATATAAACGAGTAGACCGCTTCAAAGAACTATCGATGTCGGCTCGTAAATGAGATCATATCCGTCGAAACGAGGAATTCTCTTAGGTAAGGATGTTGTATACACTATGTCCAAATCCAGAGAATCACTCGCTTCGATAGACTGGCGAAATGCCTCCCCAAGAAACGTCAATCTGGATGTACCTTACGGTCTGTCCGTCGTTGAACCACAAATTGTTATTCATTTCATGACGTTGTCGATCTGAAAGTATCATGTCTACACGACTCAAACCTATCAAGCCCCAGCGATGTCATTTTCATGGCATACATAATATATCGAAGTACAGTATACGCAAAACGGACAATTTTGAAAAGTCCGAGGCTCCAATTTTGTGAGTCTCACACTGCATTTACCACTTCAATCTTCATCCATTCTTGATGCCGCCACCCTAGATATTTTTCTTCCGCTTTCCGCCCTCCGCTCTCTCTGTATGTAGCGAATCCTAGGTGACTACTTAAGGAGGTCTTTGGCCTGATATTAATATCAATAACAAGATCAATTAATTATTCGTCAAACCAAGCGGGTGATCGTCACTCGGTAGTCTATTTTAGCTTTTGAATTAGGCTGTGCGGTCAATCTTTGCCATCCGAGCTACTTATATACAACTTTACCTCCCAGAACGAAACGTCTCTGCAAAATCATTTGTTTAACAACAGTCGACATGAAGGTCATTGTCGTTGGCGCAGGAATCGGTGGTCTCGCGGCTGCTATTGGTCTTCGAAGAGCCGGTCATGAAGTGTTGGTAAGAACAATTTTTCCCCAGCGCATTGTTGATCTGAGAAGTCATATGATCTCTTTTCGAAATATTCTTTCAATACTAATAAATATGCAAGATTTTCGATAAATCCTCTCTATCCCATGAAGTTGGCGCGGCTATCAGTGAGCAATTTCACCCGCCCTATGACCAAATTATATTTAAAATTAACACATTCTAGACGTTCAACCCAATGCAGCTCGAGTCGTCGCTAAGTGGGGTTTTGATTTCAAAAGAGCACGTTTGGTAACCGCTAAATCCATAACCGTTACTTTAGGAGAAGAACTCGTTGATACCGACTTGATAGAGTGGACGAATACGGAAGAGAAATACGGCTACGAGTCTTTCTATAGTCATAGAGTTGATTTACACACGGAACTGAAGTTACTTGCCACAGGAGAAGAAGGAGAGGGAAAACCAGCCGTGATCTATAACAGATGCGAAGTTGTCGATTATGTATTTATATTTCCACACGCTTCAATGAAATATACTAATCTTCATCACAGGACACCGCAAATGGATCGGTAACTCTCGCTGATGGAACCATCAAGACAGCAGACTTGGTTGTCGGTGCTGACGGTATTCATTCCTCAGCAGTAAGAAGAATTGTAGGCTACGAGAACCCAGCAATTCCAACAGGTATCTCTTGTTTCCGAACCTTGATCCCTGTTCAAGAGATTCGAGATGATCCTGAATGCGCATTTTTCATGGAAGAAATGGAAGGGAAACTTCGGATGTTCATTTGGCCCAAACATGATCATCAGAAGGTTGTTTGGTATCCCTGTCGAGAGTATGTCACATACTCACCATCTTTACCACTTTTTTCTTAATAATGACATTGTTTTAGGAATGAAGTACTCAATATCGCAGTTTTTTGTGCTGATAAAGAGGATCTTGTCGCCGCCCAGGGTAAGCTTCACTATCTTCTACTCTTACATCAAGTGTCTCAAGAAACTAAATCAATAATCTTTTAGACTGGAATAATTGTATTCCAACCCAAGTCCTTGTCGATGCAGTCAAAGATTCTCATCCTTCACTTCGGCATTTGTTATCAAAGACAAAAGATGTCAGACTCTGGAAACTCCTTTATAGGGCCCCTCTTCCTTCCTGGCATCAAGGAAAACTCGTCATTCTAGGCGATGCTGCACACCCTATGTTACCTTGTATGTATTCCTCTATTTCACTTCCCTCCTTTTCCCTCATCTCTATCTTTATCCTCGCCCCAATTCTCAATCCTCAACTCCACACATCAACCGCTCACTCTCAATAGTCCAAGGCCAAGCCGGCGCCCAAGCCCTAGAAGACGGTTGTGCCCTCGGCATCCTCTTTTCCAATCTACCTGAAGGAAGTATCACACAAGAGACCATCTCAGCCCGTCTTGCCAGCTTCGAAAAAATAAGAAGAACTCGTGCAAGTGCCACACAAATGCTGTCAAACGGTGGATACTTTCAATCGGAAGCAGATACCAAGAAGGTCCAGAAATATATGGAAGAGGGTCAAACTGCACCTTGTGAGTCCTTTCCAAGTTTTTATTCCCCCCCCCCTCTTCGAACCTTTGAGAATGGATCAGCAGGATGAGGATTAGATAAGAGTCGAACACAAGCTCGCGAATCTGGAAATAGAGCCAAGAATTCAAACCTCTAAATACACATGTGAACGTGGTAATACATTACAATAAACTAACACCACCCGCACCAACAGCAACTCCCGAAGCATATAAAGAATACTTCTACACTCATGATGTCGCAAAAGCTGCCCAGGAGGAATTAGAGAGACTCACTCGATCGGTGGGATTGGCATCGAATTCTAGCTGTGGAAATGAGAAAATGGGAGATATCCCCGGGAAAGCTACTGAGATGGTTTCTGTGAGGAATTGATTTGCATATGTGGAGTTCACTTGTTGTTCTTGTTGTTTGTATATCCAGATTGTGGTGGAAGAGCGAGCGAGCGAGCTGGTATGAAAAGCTAGATGATAGAAATGATGTATACAGTTTGCAGTGTATATAGAATGAAATTGAGGAGTTGGTAGCTTCGTATATGAGGAATTTTCAGCGCATATAAATCGTTCATAAAGGTGGAGTAAAGAAGAGTAACGAGATAGATCATTTATAGAGGATATCATTTTTTGCTTTTCTATTGGTTTATTCATTTCTACCCGGATAACTTGTGACCCATCCACCCACCCAATTAACCCAAATGATTCGAAGCACGAAATTGAGATGTCTTTGACTGTTCTCATCATCTCCATCATTTCTACTTCAAAGGTTTATCTATATAAATACACAGCGATTTATATCACTTTCCCCGATTCATGAGTTTTTGATCTTGATTGTTGGATCTTGAGAATCATAACCCGTGGAATTATTGACATATCTAGATGATGATTTGGAAAAGATATTTATATATACCTATTTCTGCATATATCTACGCATCTCTTTAAATAAATCATTCTGTATAATCTCATCTATTTACTCGTTCTAGTACGCGTGTATTCCAATCCTGTCCGAGATTATGAAATGGGATGAAAGGAAAGGAAAGGCGACGCAATGGTTTAGTCAAACGAGATGTCTATGAGGAGAGGCGAGAGGCGAGAGGCGAGAGGTGCGTGGGGGAAGGGGGGATTATGTAGTTTATTCTAAGGGTTAGTGTACAGAGAGTGATATCGGTATAAGGTTTAGTTATTAATGTAACGTCCAAGAAAGAGGTGTTTATGAACTCTTAATATTTAACATCGAGAGCTTTGAAGTATGAATATGTCTGCATCTTTTATTTCTGGGAAAAAACTCGAATTACATCGAGTGGAGATATTTAGCGAGGGGGGTACTTGAGCTTTGTGGTCATGTTCTTGGGTGGGGAGTAGTTAGAGATAGTGTAACCCCGACCTGGATATAAAATGAAACTACGCGTTTGAAGATAGAGGATAAGTATAGAAAGGAATTCAGGAGTATGAAAAATCAGAAGTGACTGAAAAATAGGAAACTTTTCCGGGTTGAAAGGAGATCAAGTTGGGAGGGATATCATGTTGGGAAGTCGAATACGTAGATTTAGTTTTGTTTCCTGAACTTCAAGGTATGTTTCACTGAGTTCTAGAACATACTTTCCTGTTCAGATACGAATGCTGGTCGTTGAATATTGCGATTCTTCTTGGAAGTGTAATTCTGAATCAGATCACACTTTCAACCTTGAAATGGTTGTGGATGTCGAGATTGCTACATCTTGTGCATGGTGGAAGAAAACTTTAGTCACATGGAAGTAGATATGATGATTTAAAAGTAATTCTTAAAATTTAAGATCCATCGCTCAAATAAACAAAGCAAATCGTATCGCAGCCAGCGATATCATCCTTCCTGGACCTTACCAGACATATTCAACATTCAGTTAGATAACTCTTCCCAACCGTACCGTATACAAGACAAAGTACTATCTTAAAACGATATTACCCCTCCAATCTCTTTTGTGTTCAAATAAATCGGACTCCGAAACAACTTCGATTGTAGGCCATGTCCATAAACGACCTTTGATACCATCGAGAACCAGCCTCGAATGGTACATTTCTCGTTTTTCTTGTTCATCGCTATTCATAAATATGATCAAATCTTCGAAAGTTTCAGTAGCTACGTACATTCGGTCCACTCTGGAGTAAACCAGATACACCTTTTTCACGGCAAGATTTTGGAAAAATGGCATGCCAACGAAGAATTGTGTTGGGTCAAAAAAGCGTGCAGGCCATGCATGCGCCGGATCTTGAGGAAAGTTTGCCTCAAACAACGTTTCGACGTCAATAGCAATGTTTGAGAATTGTTCATGATGAGCTTTGTCTAGTGTTCCGCGTAAAACTTCTGCTGAGGTGGTCATGCGTAAAGGATCTCCTCTCATCCACAAGATATCGTTGTCCACGTTGTAATAAAACCGGCGCGGAATGTTGCACTCTGCTGTAACTTGAGTAGAGATTGTATGAACCTTACTATGGTCATATTTCGTGATTGCAATCTCACGGGATTCACGACAGGTTTCGAAAAGCGCATTTGGGTAACAAGGTGAAGCAACTTGCTTCCTCCAAACCCCTTTGCGGTCGCCATTTGATTCAACTTTAATTCCTTCATATTTCGTTTCTACTTGAATTGCGCGATAATGCGGGATAGCGGCAAATTTCTAAATCGCGCGTCGTAATTCGAGAGGAAGATCAGGGAAGTTGTGGAATGTTTCGACGGGATTAATAAGTCGAGTATCCAAAATTGCCTCAACAGTAGGCATCTTCCACTTTGTTAAATTTGTGCCATCTCGTTCGTTCCTTTCTTTTAGCATTTCCTGGATCCATTCCCTGGAATATCGGGCACTCCATTTTATATTTTCCACCAGGTATTTTACTTCCTGGTCAACTTCATCCCTGCAGTCCCCAGAAGAGTAAACAATGTAAATCTTTTCCACCTCTGTTCTAGAGACAGCATAAAGCGTGCAAAGACTAGGGTCTTGCGGTATGTTTCCCCGAGACATAATGTTGTGATGTTCTTTAATTCCCGCAAAGTCGAGGGCAACGGAGCGAAAAAGATATGGCCCCAGTTCAGTAAATCGTCTCTGCCAGAATAAAACTTCGAGTGTTGTTTCGCTCGGTGGATCATTAGTGATGGATTGGAAAAGTGGATTTCCTCTGACCCATAGAGTGTCCAGATCTGTATTGTAGAATAGAGGACGATCGAGGAAGCTAGAGTATTTATGATACTTCATGGCAATCGACCGCGATTCACGACAGATTCCAAGTAACGGTGTCGGTGAACACTTTGTAGGACTCCAATGTACAAGTTCATCATCGTCATGATTGGGATGAATTTTTCCCTCAGCATCTCGCTCACAAATTGTTTCAATTTCAATGATCCGAGACTGTGGGACAGCAGCAATCTCCCAAATCTTGCGTTGTAGTTCGAGAGGTAGGTTGGAAAAGCAGGTGAAATTGCCAGCATCAATATTAAATGAGCCTTGGCAGTTAGATTGAAGCAAGGCTTGAGGTTGGTCGCCATTTTGGGGCTGATCTTGAGCATCGCATTGACCATGACTACGGGGATGATGTTTTTCTTGAGGGTGGACTTGTGACATGATGGATATTAGGTGGATTATCTGTGTTATTTTCTCCGTTGATATGCAGTTAGTGAGAAATATTGTCTGTACAATAAGATGAATGTATAGAAAGATTTCCTTAGTCTCTTTAATGCAGAAGATGGCTTTTGTTATTGACGATTAAAGTCGATGCTATCTTGGCTGTGTGGAATCAAAATCTTGATAGAATCTGATGGTCTTGTATTGATGTAAGATTGGTGATTGTCAAGAGGGTTGTCGAAAATCTGGGTCGTTTATTTGTGTATTAACTAAGCGGGTGATTTGGTGTTACAGTACCTCGAGTCATTGGAACTAGGTAAGTTCTGAGTGTATCGCTTCCTCACCAATCATCACGTCTCTGAAGTACAGCCTTGCTTTCATGGATTGAAGCATTATTGAATGGAAGGTTTGTATATGCTCTTCCAATCACCAATTCCAAGCTTGATCAGGAATTATCTATAGTTCAATCACTAACCATGTTGTAATAGCCCACCCACAAAGACCACAGAAAAGCCTTCGAGATTCACTATAAATAAGTCAAATGTTTGTGAAAGTTGAATATGTATCCAGAAGTTTGATCATACGGTTCCAATTTTGCTAAAAAAGCCTTAGAGCAGGAAAGCTAAAAGACCTCAGAATAGCCACAAGTTTCTTTAAAAACAATCTTTTTAACTACCTTCAAGACAACCTGAAAGTTAACTGGTAGATGTGTCTATTTATCTAACGTTCAACATGCCTTTCAAGTTCTCAAAAATACACCTCTACGTCTTTGAATCTGCGAAAATTACAGCTTGGGTCGTAGGCGGTATTATTTGTGGTCCCCCAATGGCATCCATTTACGCCGGTAAATGTCTGAGCCTAATAGCCCACTCTGTAATCAAATCTCGCATCAGAGAAACGAAGTCCCGGAAAATGATCAAAACCTCTCGTCCCAAAAACTTCCGCACTTTCAAAATGTTTAAGTTTTTACCCAAAGAACTACAATTGGCCGTCTGGGAGTACGCACTCCATGATGTCAAGCCTCGGACCGTCAAACTCAAATTGTATTGGTGGGATTATAAATTAGGTCGGGCAGAAGTTCAAGACTTTCTTGGCTCTATCCTTACTGCACAACATGAATACAAAGCAAATATTCCGGCTTTGCTTCATGTCTGTCATGATTCACGAGAGATCGCCCAAAGGGAATACAAGCTTAGCTTTGGAAAATTACTATAAGGGCGACCTGTGTACTTTGATATCGAACAGGATATTCTTTGGGTTGTGGGAGGACGGGACCACTGTCGAGGATTTCCACTTCGATTGTTGAGTATGGACGGCTTTCGAAACTTAATCATCACACCTTCACCTGACTATATTCCCATTGATTCTCCAGCTACAACGACTGAACCACTACAACAGTGGCTCGATCGACTGGTTTCAGCCTCAAGAGTGGTCAAAATACGCATCCAGATCGTGCTTGAGGCGGTGGACAGAATAGATAACGACATGGGCAATACGAAAGCTGAGCGTTTATGCGAGGCAGTGCGGAGCCTTGACGTAAAGAATTTTCTTCTTACCGTCGAGGTAGTCCGCAGAGAAAGATTGGATTTTGAGTGCAGATTTTAGTAAGTGTGCTGTTCTCCCGGAGACGTACACTATCACCAACTAACAATTGTCGAAGACGGAAGTAGGTATCATATACTCATTGGTAATTATCACATGAAGGAACATCGGAAACGGAGTTGTCAATAAATGGAGAGATATGATTCGAATCGCAATGATTTTTCACTTGACTGGTCAGGTGCATGGCCATCCCAAAATGTATGATTCTACGGGTTAGCGTTGCTTTACTTCTTTCTAAACAGATTTTCTTACATAAATAAACAGAGATTGAGACTCGCACAATCGTTCAATTCCAGTGCAGATCCAAACATGAAAATTATTGAGTGACTTATTGTCGAGGGTCGTCATGGAGAATCCGACCCATGTTACGAGTGGGTAGGGACTTTTGAGCTGCATCATTCTCATTGTTCAAAGCTACGATAAGTATCTGGCTTATTGACTTGTTTAGAATGGCCAAGGTCTCCAGAGAATCATGACTAGTATCCCCCTCAATGGGTGCGTGGTAATGCAGTGTGAAATCTTACTCTCGATCTTTGAGAGGGGCTCCAAGATCTTGATGGCTAGAGTGCGTGCGGGAGTAGAAGTTATAGTAGATAGGAAAAATATTGAGTACGGAAGTTGACGTAAACATTGAAGATGTGAGGTCAGAGCAATACGAGTGACGTTGATGAAGACTGATGCATCGGAACCTCGGGGTTAGGTCAATCATGGCTTACTAATTAGCTCGCTCACGGGGTTTAACTTTAACCTCCATTTTGAGACAACCTCCTTTGATATCGCTGCAAAATATATTGGGTACCCCATTTTACGAGGGGATCGAAGACATGTATCATCCAAAAATGATTCTATACGAAAGTCTCGATATATCTGGCGTATGTCCAGCCACTCGTGATCTTGAAATGCTTGGGGGGGAAAGCCATAAGCCATAAGCCTTGAAAGCTTGAGGCTTATCTTATGGCTGCTTGGCCATCACACGTACTGTAGATTGGAAGGCGGCGTCAAGTACTGAGAGCTTCAAGCTTCTCGGATTGATGTCTGCAACTCAGACTCACCCTCTGGTCAGCGATCTTTACCCAGATATCTCATCTCGTGTTTCGTTTTACAGTAGGATCTAGATTGCATTGAAATTGAGTAAGCATTGGGAGTGATCGACACATAAAGTCGTTGTGGAGAATCCTTGCAAACGGATAATTCAAGCATGCAAGGGCGTCAAATTTTGTCAGCGAGCGGGAAGTCTCCTAAACTTAAATACCGAGATTTTGGGTATAAGATCTCCGATGTTTCCGGGTGGAATGGAAGTAGTTTAATACTTCAAGCTTCTCTTTTCCTCAGAATGGTGTCAATCACTTTTGTTCTGTCGCTATTACATGCTTTCTCCGTTGCTGCAAATGCAAATGATGCGAATGCTACTATTAGCTGGGCTGTTGCTAGTGTTACAAAATCACTAACTACAAATGTGGATATTTGCGTAAGTATCCCTGTTTAGCATCAGCAGTTCATGGTCTTTTCTCATCACTGATCAATATGAAATTACTAAATCATCTTGCTCGCTTTGATGCTTTGATGGCAAATTTTTAACCTCAACACATAGTGCAAAGCTCTTCAATTGGCATTGGGTTCAAAAGTTTCGTACCCAAGTTCATCAGAATATAGTACATTTTTGAACAATTTCTATTCCCAGCAAGAATCACAACTATCCCCAGGTTGTATTGTATCACCAACATCCACAACGGATGTCTCAATCTCAGTCGGGATTCTGTCTATCCTAGGAAAACTTACAAATTGGAGTCCGTCATGTCAATTCGCTATCAAATCCGGAGGCCATGCACCCGGCGTAAGCCAGGCCAACATTAATCAAGGAGTAACGATAAATTTGAGTCCTCTTAATTTCATAGATGTTAGCACCGACCAGTCTGTGGTTTCAGTGGGTCCAGGAGCAAGATGGGGAGAAGTGTATCTTAAGTTGGATGCTTTACAACTTGCTGTTCCTGGTGGGCGAGTCAACTCAGTTGGCGTTGGAGGATTGACCGTTGGAGGTAAGTTTAGCTAATGGAATTCTTTAACTTCCCAATCAATCAATCAACTCACATACACAGGTGGAATATCCTATTTCTCTCCCAGGAAAGGATTCACATGTGACAATGTCAAGAACTTCGAAATAGTCCTCGCAAGCGGTAAAATTGTCAACGCAAATGCGAATCAGAATTCAGATTTGTATCTGGCTCTGAAAGGCGGCTCCAATAATCTCGGTGTAGTTACCCGAATCGATCTCTATGCTTTTCAACAAGGTAAGTTGTGGGGCGGTAATATTTTGTATCCAGCAACTACCGCAGAACAACAGATCAACGCTTTGGCAGATTTTAGCAGCGACCCAACTTATGATGAGTATGCTTCTTTGATCACGAGTCTTGCATTTCAACCTAATATCGGCTCCGTGGTGGTGAATAGCATTGTATATACTAAGCCGGTCGCAAACCCGGCAGTATACCAGCCCTTTACGGCGATTCAACCTCAATACTCCAACACTTTAAGAATTACAAATTTGACCGACATTGGGAGTGAAGAAGGAGGCACATCTAGTCACTTACGGTTTGTTTATCATTCTTCTTCTAGATTTCCCCTACGGGAGTTTTCTCTAACATATTTGCAGAACATTATTCATAACAACAACATTCAAAGCCAATAAGCAAATGATAAATGCAACTTACAACGCTTGGAACGCCGCTCTTCCATCTATTCAATCACTCTCCAATATTACCTGGTCACTATCATTTGAACCAGCTCCCGCTAACATTCCCGCGAAATCAGCTTCTACAGGTGGAAATGTCCTTGCTGTAACCCCCGCTGATGGTCCACTAATTGTTGCACTTCTTACCGCAACATGGGGGAACATTGCCGATGATACAGTTGTTGATAACACTGCCAAAGCTATGTTCGAAACGATTGATGCGTATGCCAAGGCGTCTGGATTATACAACGACTGGCAGTATCTGAACTATGCGGCGAATTGGCAAGATCCGATTGATGGGTTAGGAGCGGTGAACAAAGCGAAGCTTCAGGCGGCGAGTAGGAAGTATGATCCGCTGGGTGTATTTCAAAAGGGGGTTACGGGAGGGTTCAAACTTTTTGTTTAATTGAAAGACTCGCTGGAATCCTATCGCAGGTTTCGCGGAAATCAAATTTATTTTGGCTATTTGACTTTCTTGAATAACTTTTCTTCACTCGATTAATATACTAGTATTTCAAACCACTCGTCTCCAGAAGCTTTTGGTCGACAAGATTTACGACCCGAAATCACATTATGGACGTACTACATCTGCGATGGAAACTACTGAATAGGAACTCTATATGACCTATAAATATGCTTACTTCTCATAGCATCACAATGCACATTAAGAATAAAGAAGAAAGGAAAACACAAAGTGGTGTGCTATGCCACCAAGAAGCATGTAAGGTAATCATTTTCGTTGTTTAAACAGAAAATTCTCTCTTACTGTACACCCTTATTCAGCAACGCAAGATACTCCCCCGAAGCAAGGCAACTCTCATCGTCAATATTCACTCTATACTTTTCCATCAACTCTTTCACTTTCTTCACCGGGATTCCCTCCAATCTGTACCCATTCACACCCGTTCTCCCATCTCTCCCCGCAATAATTGAATTCAAAATCGCTTCCTCGGTAGCTTCGCTGGCGGCCCGGAAAAGAGTCTCGATACTTTCATTCCTGATAACTTTGATATCGTTAATTTCGATTTTCGAAAGTCCGTTGACTTGTGGCGTGCCGACTGTTTCTTCGGGTTTGTTGCCGGTAGAGAGAGCGAGAATTATATCCCCGGAGTGATTGCGGCCAACGCCATGGCCACCGACTTGGGAAAGTCCCACTGCGCAATGGCGAGCCACGCGGTTGAGTTGGTGAGGAAGAAGTGGTGCGTCGGTACTATTGTTATGTTAGTTGCAGCTCATATATTTCACCCTTATCCCATAGATGGAAACCCACATCAGAATAATAATAATACTCCCCTCCCCAATCTTCCCATTCTTCTCACTCGCCCTCTCCTTCTCCTGCAACTCCTTATACTCTTTCAACAACAACCTTCCGATTGGTACACCCCCAACTATAAAATCCCTCAAATGTCCATAATTACTCTGCACCAACACGCCCACCGTAAATTTCCTCTCCTCCTCCCCACTCTCCCAAGGCACCTCTCCAAAAACCCTCGAACTAGTTCCCGTCCCACCAGGAAACAAATGACAAGTCATACCAGCCCCACCTCCATACTGACCTTCCTGGACCTCTCCCTGCGTCATCGCATTCTCAAACGCGGGTTTTACTTCTTCAAGAGTCAAGGGGGTTTTATACACATCGTTGAGGATGAAATCGGCGGTTTCGCTTACAATCGGTGTACCGTAATTATGAGAGACTTCGTCAATGGGCGATTCTTTTTTTGCAGCGACATCGAGAACGCGCTGCCAGAGAGCTTGGTAGACGGTTCCTAGGGAGAGGGAATTGGTTATTGCGATTGGCTATTTGTGTATTAGATTATTTGTTCGAACGTCTTTGATTTTCTCTATTGACTGGGATAGAAGAAAGACATACGGTATTGGAATATCCCCAATCTTTAATCTGGTAATTTCCAGTTAATTCCCCGTTTCCGTTAAGCGTGTGTAACCCCGCATAACAGGGTATAGTGATATCGTCAGGATGGCGGGGAAAAATAACAGTAACGCCTTTACGGGCATCATCGCCATCATTTCCGACGGTATTCTGACCGACGTAGACTCCTAAATAATGTTAGAATAATCGGTTCGAATTTAGAGAGGGATAATATTCTCGAGGTTCTAGGGTAACGAACCTGGAACATCGAGGATGGAGTTTTTGGGTCCTGGTGGGAGTTGCCCGGGAACATATCCGATGTCTTTACTTGTGAGACGTGTGGTCGACATTTTGCTGACTAGAGAGGACGTTCGTTTGGGAGTTTAGCGGTTGAGATATAGAGATAGATTAGGTTTCAGTGTGGTATTCATAGATATGAGGTGGGTGGATATATATTTTCACATTGGTCAGAGCGGATCGCGGGGTACTCCTATGTAATAGTGACTCACGCCGTGAGATCACTGATGCTAGTGTTGCAGGTACTAATGATTCTTATACCGGTGCTTCATCCATGTCGGATCTAATTGGCTCAATGACTTGATCCGAGCCGGGATAAGCAATTTGTTTGTGGATCGCATCTAATTAGGAAGGTATTCTCTTGAGGTTCCAAAAATGAGTAACATCGTTTGGAGGCATCGATATCAATATCGCAATTTCTTGATAAAGAAATAGGATAGAGTAATACTACAGCCCCTGAGTTTAGCGAAATTAGTTTTCGTTCGCAATAACTCCGGAGTATTCAGAATGTCCGATGATTGTTTCATCAACTCTAATCAGTCAGAGTTATCCTTCTTTAGATGCCCGTCTTTTTTTTCACTATGACTTGACTCTAGATACATTTCAAGATAACTATCGCTCATGATACATAAAGTAAACTGCGTATCGATTCTTGACTGAACATGTAAAAGACCTACAATCTACTGAGAGGCAAGAAAGCCAAGCAGTAAATTTACTGGAATATTCATTGAAAATGCCACTCCTCGAGCTGGATGTGGATTAATATGTATGAAATATGAGTACCATTTAGTAAACGGGAGAATATACAATTATCTCAAAGTCAGAATGAAATTTTGATTTCAGAAAAGGTGACTCGAAGTATTCGAGTGGCTGGATGACGTGCATCAATCCTAGATGCCACAGGTAATTAGCATGTGTCGCAGAAAGGGAGATAATTTTCTTTGTGACTTGAAATATTTTTTCCTATGTACAAAATCTAAATAAATAAGCATAAAAACACTCATGAAGATTCATGAGCTATAACTATTCGGCTGATCTTCCGACCGAAGTTTATCGATCGCTTGTTCATGTACTTTATTTACTTGCTCGGTCGTTAGACCAATTTTCCATGACATATCTATTGAATCTGCAGGTGATGGCAAGTTTGAATCTTCATTGGACGGCCTCGGGTATCTGTCTTTCCTGATGACGTATGGCAAATGTTGTTGCGGGTTTGAATGTAGTTGCCGTTCATAGTCATCATGGTTATTGTTGAATAAATCTCGATGACTGTTCCTTGGCCTCAATTCATGCTTATTTACGTGAAGGTGAGATTGTGATTGCGATTGTCCAGTACTAGAATCCGGGAAGTCTCCATGACTGCTTTCCCGAGTCGTCATTTTGCGGTTGCTAGATCGAGGCCGTGCAGGAGATTTCTGATGGCCATAATCTGACGAAGACAAAGACGGAGGTAAAGGTGGATTCTCTCGCTCTTGGTGAATGTGGTTCTTACGTATAGGCGTTTGAGGCGTTTGAGGCGTGCGAGGTGTGCGAGGCGTGAGAGGCGTACGAGGCGATCGTCCAGGAGGGTTTCTATTTGGAGATTTACTAGGGGCCCTCCCTTTGCCCTCACTTGGCGAATCAATCGTTACTGATGGTCGTGAATGGGAAACATTCTTTGCTAAAGTATCGAGATTTGACGTGGTTTGAGGCTTATGTTGATTAAGAGGCTGGGAAGAATTTTGTGTACGTCGTCGCGGATGTAAAGATTTGACACCGCCGGTCACATCATGTGATGGTTTATGTCCCTGTGATTTAGACTGAGCTCGTTCACGGGTGCCTGAAAGTGATACAGCAGAATCGTTTGGTTTAAGCACTCGGCGCGAACGTGTAGATGTAGATGTATCACTTTCAGAACCATGATTTGATGAGTTATATGCTCTTGATTTAGATGGAGCTCGTTGACTGGTGGGAAGGGAAACAGTAGAATCATGTGGTCCATTTACTTTGTGGGATTTCTGATGAATTCCCGTGCTGCTATGCCCGCGCGGTTCCGATCGTCCCACCTTCTTGTCTTTTAGCGAGCGCAGTACCTTACTGAAATCGAAACCATACTCTTTCTGCCATTCTTCGATCAAGCCTCTCGGCGTGACATCCCTTCTCGATTTGGACTGTGTGCCATTCAACTGTTGCTTATTGATGCACTTTTCAATATATTTCAATATTTTACTTAACTTTGAATTATATAGATTAGTTTCCGACTCCAAACCGCGAAGACGATCAAGGCGCTGACAAATCCGATAATCCAGTGGGGGTCTTCGTATTATCATGACTTCCTTATTCGACTTGTAGACCGGGACATCTTTAGCAGTTGCTTCAAACATTCTCTTTCGGACAGCTGACTTCAAAGCATAAGGAGACCACGAAAAATCTGCGTGCCACTTCTTTTCCTTGCATGCAATTTGTAGCTGCTTTAAATTCGATTCGCCCCAGGGCTCCTCGGGGTTATAGATGAATCTTATCTGAGAGCTGGATCTTGGCTCTGACAAATGCTGGTTAACGTCGAGTAAACCTTGAAGGATAATAATATCGATTTTGACGCGTTGATTGGGGAGATTCTCTTTATTCCACTTATCGATGTCATTTTCGATACATTTGATTCGGTCCTCCACCGAATAAGATCTCTTATTTACGTGACGGGGCTGAACGGATTCTTGATTTCGATGTTCAATTCTATGTGGTTGTGGTAACGGAGCCCTTTTTGATTGTTGCGGATCCTGTGGACGGCTTCGTGAAGATCCATCATTCGGCACTTCACTCCGATAGCTTGTGTGAGTCTTATCGCTCTTTGATGACTTTTGTGTGTAGCTGTTATGGGTCTCTTGGCGGGAACCCTTTATTTTGCGTCTGATAAAGTCCAGCAACCCCATACCGAGATGTGAGGGCTATTTCAAGTTAGTATATCGCGGTTCATGCGATCATCAAGTCATAATGCAGTAAAATATTACCTCAATCTACTCAAGACGACAACACATCATGATTCCCGTATGGGAACAGAAGAAGCCTTTTTACCAGTGAAATAAAGAGAGAAATGAAAAGAAATAAAAGAAAATTGGGCCAAGGAGTTTGGTTAGTACTTCTAAACTCAACTTATGCAACTAGAATAAATCGCCCTAGGAAAGAAAACAGGACCTGGAAAGTCTCGCCACGAGATAGAGAAAAGAACGTTGTAAGTATAGAACAAGCTATGCAAACCTTGAAATCAAACGAAAGTTGATGTTGGAAAATGTTAGGAATCCAACAGAGAGAATCCTCCGTTGTATTAATATTTGACTGCGGAAAAGAACTGCTCGAAATCACGATCAGGCCTTCATGACCGCCACCCTAAACGAGGAAAACTTCTTGCATAAAGACCGGTAAGGCGACCATGGCAAAGAGAGTCCGAAGGCAATAACGAATGATGATGTATATTCTTGAAGGTTAAGGCAGGCTGTAGCCAACATGGCCGGCCACCACTGTCCACCGCTGTCTCCGTGTTCGATAGTTTGGCGTCTCAAATACTTTCCGAATAAACAGATTAGGCGCCCTAATATCCGCAGTAACTGAGAACCGAATTGGCTCTCGGTTGAAGGAAGTCTAAATAACAATTGGAAACATATATCGATAATAGGTGACGATACGGTTCAGATAGGCGCCAGGAAGCATCTTGAACATGTAGTTGAACACCACAATTCAGAGAATCAAGTTGTATTTAAGTACGATATAACGATAATCAGTGTAAGTTCTCAAGATAATGATACAAACGACGAGCTTATAGCCGTAAAGTTCATGAAGATACCATCGTAATCATGTCGTTGTTGTTGTTGTTGTTGTTGTTGTTGTTGTTGTTGTTGATGATATGGGTGAAGTTGGTTTGTTTCGCTTGAGGTTAACCGATTTCCCCACTATGTGCACGTCCCTACTACGTGCACGACTTTGGAAATATCAACATTATGGCTTCAAACATCGATGATATGCCTTTAGAGGCTCGTATAGAGCTTGCATTAGATCATTTGAAAGGGGTTCAAGCTCCTAAATACACCCAGACAGCTAATTTCTTCAAAATTGATCGATCCACGCTCTCCCGGCGGCATAGAGGTAAAACCACCTCGAGAAAACAGTTCCTCTCCGATACGAAACAAGCGCTTTCTAGTGATCAGGAGGAGGTTTTAATTGATCAAATCAACAAGCTGACACAGAGATCTATCCCTCCTACAAGCCGCATAGTCAGAAACCTTGCAGAAGAGATCCTAGGCAGAGAGGTGGGAAAGAACTGGACTAGCAATTTTGTCAAGAGGCATTCAACACGTCTTAAAAGTCGGTATCTCCGTTGCATTGATAATTTGCGTGTGAAAGCCGATAATGTTGCTATATTTGATTACTTTTATGATCTGGTTTGAGCTATTTTCTATTGTTGTTGATCTTTATTACCTAAAACGCTCTTGCTAATACCCCTCTTTTTTTAATTTAGTTGATAAAAGTGACCATAAAATACGATATACGGCCGAGAGATATATACAATTGGGACGAGAAGGGCTTTATGATCGGTATGGGGAGGACTATGAAGAGGATAATGAGTGCTAGCGCCTATAATAGAGGCAGAGTGACAAAAGCTAGGCAAGATGGATCAAGAGAGTTTATTACTCTACTGGCAGCTATATGTGCTGATGGGACAGCTCTCCCTCCCGCTCTTATTTATAAAGGAGACTCAGGGGATCTACAAAATACATGGGTTCAGGATGTAGGGGAGAAGGATAAAGCCTATTTTGGAGCCTCAAGCAATGGGTGGTCGTCGAATGCTTTTGGCCTATATTGGCTTATAAACGTATTCGACCCTGCTACACGTCGAAAAGCAGGTGGAAGATATCGTCTACTTATTGTCGATGGTCACTCTAGTCATGTCAATATGGAATTCCTTTCAAAATGCGATGAATTAAAGATTATTGTCTTAATTCTCCCCCCTCATTCTACACATCGACTACAGCCTCTCGACGTTGGAACCTTCGGTGCCCTTTCAACGAATTACAGTACATTATTGAATGATTTGATGCACAATAGCGGGGGAATTGTTGGTATGACAAAGCGCATGTTTTGGGGCATATTTAAAAAGGCTTGGGAGCTCACTTGTACGAGGCATAATATCTTACGATCCTTCGAAAAAACGGGCATATATCCTATGAATAGGAGTCTTACGATCGACTGTATTGCTCCGGAAGCTCCTTCTACGCCACCTACATCATTTAAAACTCGCAGGGATGCTCTTGCTACACCGTATACGTCAAAAGCGATGCGTAGAATGAAATTAGAATTTCGTCGCGCTCCCACCCATGAGATCACTTTAAAGCTTTTTAAGGCTGCAACTACATTAGGAGCTGAAGCTTCTATACAGGGGCATAGATCTAAAGGTTTAGAAGAGGCTCTAAAGCTTGAAAAAAGGAAAAGAGCTCGTTCAAAGCGTTTAAATCTCATTGGAGAGGAGGGGAATGGTGCGTTTTTATGGTCACCCTCTGCTATTATTAAAGCTAGAGCGTATCAAGAAGATAAAGCACTTAAAGAGGAGCAAGAGAAGGAAGCTAAGCTTCAAATAAAAGCTGAAAAGAAAGCTGAGAAGGAACGGAAGGAGATTGAGACGAAAGAGAGAGTATTGCAGAGGGAGGTTGATCGTCAGATTGCACGTGATGCGAAAGAGGAGGTTAAAAAGACTCTAAAATCAACGAAATCTCCAATCAAAAGAGATAAAAAGTTCCCCAAAGCTTCTTCTACTATAGATCTAACATCAACAAAGACTATAGAGCTCTCTGATGCTGTAGAGGCTAATAATTCGAAGGAGAAGGAGGAGGAGGTCATATTGCGATCTAGTAGAGGGCGAGCACTACGAGTTCCATCGAAATTCAAAATCTGAAGATTTTATTATGTTTTTAGATAGTATTATATCTTGTCATTTATCAATTAAATTGCTAGCTCTTTATCTTATAAATTGGAATTGTTATTAATTTTTAAAGTGATTCAAAATGGGTGATCAAGATCGTGCATATAGCAGGGACGTGCACGTAGTAGGGAAATCGGTTATCGACGGAGGATCGGCATATAAATGCCGACCAGATCATTACATAAGCATAGATTTGTTTCTCACGAACCCAGTCCAGTGACCAAAGCATCCTGGCTCCCTGGGCACCACAACTCACAGCTCACGGTCGACCAGGTAGAAATTTTGTATGGTCGACCGAATTCCCGAGAACCAAAATAAAGCGATTTCTCTTCTCATTAGATTCTTTTTTTTTGGATAGGATAGATGTGTATACTTTCTATTTCAATGACGAGACAGAGAGCTAAGGAAAGGGTCGTGGCGAGTGGATGCTATAAGCTGACGGAGATACACCCCGGACGACGGAGGTTCATTAATTATGTTAGATGGCAATTCTCACATCCTTCGATCATTTCCAGCCAGCCTTTTCTTCCTGCTCTGAACTTCTTCGCACTGATGCAAGTTCACCACAATCAAATCCCTTCCCCCCTTCAACATGGTTAAGATTCCAGAAATCTATCAAGCAAATACGAGCTTCGGCAAAAACAATGACAATTCTCAAGGTCTCATATGTGTATTTGCCGGAGCAACAAGCAAAATCGGTGCTTCTACTCTCGAGGCACTAGCAGAGATGTTGCAATCCCCCACTTTTTACGTGCTGGGGAGATCAGCGACGAGATTCGCTACTCAACGCGAGAAGCTCCTCAGTCTAAACCCTCAAATGAAGATCGTGTTTCTCGAAGTCGAAACATCATTGATTGCTGATATCGATGACGCCTGTAAGCAGATCTTGGATGTTGAAGAGAGGGTGGACTATCTGTATATGAGCCAAGGGTGCATTCCCTTGAATGTACCACAATGTATGCATCCTCATCAACTCTTTTCTTCGATGCTATCTGTATCTAACATTCTCTAGACACGAAAGAAGGTCTGGAAATAACTTTCGCCCTGTCGTTCTATACACGGATGCGACTCCTGACTAACCTTCTTCCGTTGCTTCGCTGTTCCCCACATCCACGTGTTTTGAGCGTTCTTAATGCGGGGCAAGAGCTGAAAATGCAAGATGAAGATATCGGTCTTCAAAACCCTGAAAACTTCGGCCCTCGCGTAGCTATTAACCACACTACCACGATGATGACGCTAGGGTTGGAATATTTGTCACAGAGTGACGCAAACCGAAAAATCACTTTTATACACTCATTTCCTGGGTTGGTAGCTAGCGATAACTTTGCTCGACTGGCTGCACCAGACTCTTTTGGTCTGTTAGGGAAGATGTTGGTGCCGCTCATTGGCACTTTCTTCAGTGTGATACAGAAAATCTTTGGTATCTCAACAGCAGATTGTGGTGCCAGGCAGGCATTCCTATTGACAAGCGATAGGTTTGAGAGAGGCAAGACAGGGAGGATAGATGACAACAGCGAGGTCATTACTTCTTCGAACGATGCATTAGAATACTACCGAGAAAAGGGTTGGCGAGAAAAGGTCTTTGCGCACACTTTACAAGTCTTTGAGAAAGCGACAAGTACTGGATAGTTAGTAATCCCTGTGTATTGTTCTCTCCTCGCTAGCCTCATCAGACCTCATTGGTGTAACACATCCAGCGCAAGTCTTGGCTTCTCCACGAGCTTACAATACAGTTACACTATAACCAAAGTTTCGGTTTTGCGACGAGTTGCACAAAATGTGAATTGCTCTGCATTTTTAATCATAGATATTTCCCAATATATAAAGACACTCTCGAGACGAATATTAGATTTCAGAAATGATCAAAAACTCTAAACTTGTCGCAGATATTCGTGAAAAGAGACAGAAAAAAGCTTGCCCAAACGCGAGGTTTGTATTCGTTACTTTTAGATTAGCCAATTGATTCATCAATTGCTAAGATTCTAATACAGAAAGTCACAACATACAGCTTCCTGCACTTAGCTAGCTATCCGTTCTATCCCCACCATGGCACCGCAGAAACTCCCCGCCCAGACAAAAATGAGCGTGGAAAGCTCTCTCAAGTAAAAAAACCCCATTGCTCGATTCTTCAAATCTCTTCCCCTTGGTCATAAATTACACTCTATCAAATCACCGCGCAACCAACAATACGATGTCTAATTGCCTCATCATCATAACAGAAAACTCCCAGCAGAAAACACAACGCCAATGCTATCACACTATCTCCATAGTCCCAGTACCGCCATAGAGCGTCTGGCGAGCAATTTGCCCGCATCTTCCAGTAAGAGGAGTGAGCATAAGATGGAAGGAGTCTTGAAAGATCTGCTGGGTGTGCTTCGGGAATCGCATAAGTAAGAATAGCGATGATGAAGATTGGAAGGGTGAAGCACAAACTAGAGAGTGGGAGGAGAGTTTATGAGGTACGGGCATGGGAAAATGGAATGTATACTATGACCAGTACATACTAAAAGTGAAATCCAGCACCACTATTTGGAGCTCCTTCGATGTTCGTTTCTCTGATAGATGTAGAACTGAGAGATAGAGGAAAACTCACCGTCAAGGAGACGAAGCGGTAGATGCTTGGGATCGTAGGATGTAATTTGGTTCATTGCAGTGGTTCTATCACTTTTTCTCAGAGGTCATAGCTAGCGGACACATGAGAATATTTTCAAACAATGTTTTTGCTGTTGTATTATTTATCAATCTTTAGTGTAAATATTCCATCTTGCAAGCTGCTTTTTGTTACTAAGAAAATGTTCATACCCGTCGTGTGGAAATTTCTGCCGTTGGCCCTACGACACTGCCTGGAGATACTGCTGAATCAAGCCTCCTCACTATGAGGTGCTGTTTTCTCTTCATCTGTGTTATGTTCTTGGTCTTGGTAGTCGCTAAAGATGGGGTCTTGTTGTAATTGCAAATACTGATTTTGATCCGGATCAAAGAAATTGTGAAGGCTGGACGAACTAAAAGGATCTTCGCTTGAGGCATGTACTTGTTGATTTTGAGTTATATTTGTTTGCGCCCCAGGAGTTTGTAAATGATGTTGGGTCAGAATTGGCGCGTTCATCGTAGTTTCGCGTCCTTCGATTATGGATCCAGCAACCTCCGTCAGATTACCCCGACTAAAGTCATCATCAAGTGAATAGCCTTCATAGAAGCCAGAGTCACTGGAAGGCTCCATCATGAAATCAGGCAGCGAGGAATCGAAAGGCATCATCGTAATGTTATCATGACCGAGTGGATTTCGTCCAAGAGGTGGTTGTTGATACGGGTCATTCTGAGAAGTCTTGGGATGCTGTCACTCTGGAAATTGGGAAGACCTCGAGATCTTTCTAATAGTGACCATCCCGGAAGATTCCGTCTGATGCTTGTTGATGATGTTTAATACAGCATTAATTGCGTCTTGACTTTGAACATGTTGGGGAAGTTCGTTCCGGAGGGTGGAATCCCGAAGTCGCGAAAGAGCACAAGACTCGTCATATTGCCTTTTGTTTATGTTTTCCTCGTGCCCTGTACTCAGAAATCAGGTAGTGTTTCAATTGTCTGCGCTATAATTCACTTATATGGTGTTAGCATGTTTGCATCATCGGTGTTTGGAAATAGTATTCTGTACACCGCTGCCCAATACTGCGCCTTGTCCGAGTGGTTCTTCTTCTCGGTTCGTCTTTTGAGCTTATCACGCTGAGGTTCATCAAAGCCATCTGCGTAGTCCCGTTGAAAAATCGCGGCGCATATTGGAATGTTGTAATGCTTTTGGAGCTCAATCTCGCCATTACAAATCAAATGACATTTTCGAAATATCTTTAGTGAATGTGCCTTGTACAAGTGCTGTCTAACTCAAAGTTAGCATGTCGAATTGATGACAAGTAACGTGTCCTACTTCAGTCTATTGATATCTGGGTAGGCAGGAGGCCCACGGCAAGCTCTACTGGATCCGTATCTTCCCAGATCATTCTTAAAGTATGGGCAAGCAAGGTTTAGCCCAAGATCACTCATAGCAGGATTTGTTGAAAAAGTGGGCTCTAACGCAGGCTGTTTGTTGGGTTCATCGCCAAAGCCACCATTTCCACCAGAACCGCCACTTTGAAAGTCCTGATGTGATCTTTTCTTACGTCCATTGCCGGAGTTTTCAGAAGTACCTTTATTGAAACTACCAGAACTTGACTGTCCGTTGGCCTCCGACCCTTGCGTACACGTGCGTAGTCTAATTGCTAGATTTCCCAGAATTGAGCTACCGACCCGATCAGGCCAAGAAGCGAATTGGGGCGCATTAGTCAATACAAATGGTTTCTTGGGTGGTTCACCCACTCTAGCGCCATACTCCAGTAGAACCTTGATTGTTTCGTGTCGACCCTTGTATATAGCATAGTATAGCGGCGTCTGCCCCTTAGATCTATCAATAATATTCGGATCGGCACCACGGGCAAGAAGTAGAAATGCAATAGCTGTATAACCATACCCAGCAGCAAGATGAAGGGCCGTACATCCCCAATACTGATCTATCGAGTCAACATGAGCGCCTTTCTCCAGTAGAAATTTTACAAGCGAGATATGTCCTCTTGCTGCCGCGATAGAAAGTAAAGAAGTGCCGGACCAAGAACCCGCTTTTTCTACAAGTATATTGACTATTTCAACATTGCCTTGTAAAGCTGCCGATTCCAGTGGAGAGAGACCATAACGATTGTCCCGAGTAGTGATGCTTGCTCCTGCTTCCAGGAGAAGTTGAAGAACAGATACGTGATTATTCTCAGCGGCCAGGGATAAGGCGGTACGCCCATACGCGTCTCTGGTATCAAAGCTCTGTACTTCTCCGAGTTCTTTGATAGTTTGAACAAGATTGTAAATTCCAAAAGCAGCGGAAACATGGAGAGCTGTCCATCTGTCAAGCATGTACTTCAAGGAACTCCTTGAGCCTACATGCTTTTGATATTGGACAATCCAAAATCTCAGAAATTTTGGGGACAGCGAATCCAAACGTTTGAAAAGAGGCCGATATGATACGCCAGAGCGATCAGCTGCTCTTGCATGTTCAAGCCAGTGAACTACCGTATATTGCAAGAAGCCAGAGTTGTCGAGGTCAAAATTTACACCCGAGTTGTCGTCGAGAGATCTAATTGCCAAATAGGTGACGCATACTTCGGCAATAGAAATGTGCGTGTTGTTAAAGTATTTGGCATCAGAATACCCTAGCTGAGAAGTCTCCGAGGCAGTTCTTGATATCAAAAATTCTCGAGCACTTAGATGAACAAGGGAAACAATTCCATCCGGTCCTTCAACCTCTAATAGTCCATGACATGATGCGATTAGAACATCAATACTAGCTCGGTATGGCGATAGTGATTCATCTTGAGTAATATACCACGAACTTTGACCTGATGCTAGTATTGATAGACTTCCAAAATAACTGTCAATTCCCTTAGCGAGAACGGCCGTCTAGCAAACACAACCCAACCTAGAAGTCTCAGTGCAGCCCCTGACTCCTCTCGAAGTACACATTCGTAAATGGCGCTGTAGACATCATCTAAGCTTGTAGGAAGTCGGGAAGTTGACATTTTGGTGTCATTCTCCTCGTAATGTGTAAAATCTCGTAGATTATGTATAACAAGTTTGAACCAAAGAAAAGTACCAGATGCTCGCTTTAATAATGTATCGGATACCTGCTTCTGATTGGCGAGATCTGGAAGTTTTGTTAACATCTTGAAGGAAACGAATTGTTGTAAGTCTGTTTGATTTTCATTCTCTAGCACGATTTTATGATGTGGTAAATCGGAGAGCGCTTCTTCGTACATCAAACCAGGCCGACATGTAATAAATAACTTGATTAAATTTTCCAAGACAATCGAATTGAGGAAATACAAAAGAGAAATAACGGAAGATATCTCCCCTTTGGGGCATTCAGCTAGGGCGTCAATGATGATATATAACCGATGGGCTTTGGCGGTTGCTTCTAAACATGTTGCCAGAAATTCCTCCGTGAGTACGGCTTGAGAAATCCACCCTCTCTAGCTATTGCGGGGCTCTTCGACTTTGTGATGATGATTTCGCTTCTGGTCAAGCAAATAAATCAGATCTGCCAAGGGACTCGAATCTTTTGACATGATTTGAAAGATCAAAGAGCGCAGGAGGTCATTCGCGGAAGTATCAGGGGATCCGTAATGAAAAAAATGATCGAGGAAAATCGTGGGCCGGTCTTCCAAAGAGTGGTTTTTGAAATCTTTGATAAAGTTGGCAGCGAGTGTTGATTTGCCAGCACCAGGGTTTCCTTCGATCCACAATACAGAATTTTGGTCACTCGATAGCCATGACCTGAACTCTTGATTTTCCAAAAGCCACTTGCCGGATCCGGGAGCTGCGGAGATCGCAATTTGTGACCTTTGTGTTGCCAGCCAACGAAGTATTTCTGTCAAAGTTATACAATATTCAACAAATCAATCCGGATTTACCCACCTTGCTGATGTTTTTGCAAGTTCAGTACGCACTCTGAGCTTGGGTTGAGGATTATTTTGAGTCTTGCTAGCACTCGCTTGAAGTTTGGTTCACCAACACTTGTGAACTTGCAGATTATCTTAAGATACATATTAGACTGCATGATACTAGAACAACCATTCGGAGAGCTCTGGATCTTGCTTGATGATTTGAATGAAGCAGAGCGCTATTAGAAGAACTATTCAATGACGATGTACCGTCAATCACCTGTTTGGTTAATCAAGATATTTCCCTTAAGGCCTTTTGCTGTCTACTTACTATTCCAAAGTTCGCGACAGGTAACTCCTCAAAAAAGGAATAACTGTTGAGTTTAAAGGACTGCTGAAGCCGGAGGTGCTCAAAGTCCTCTTGAACTTGTCTCAGCTGTGCAGACGCATCTTCTAGATTGTGCTGAAATTGAGATTCGCATACAAAACCTTCACTGGTTCCCTGAATTTTTTTCAAACCCGAGAAATACCGGAGCATGTTGAAGATACCCTTGTGATCTGTATGATAAGGTGTAGCAAAGAAGAGTATTGCAGCAGTAGAACGCTTGATGGAGAAGAAATCGGCTCGAGTCCCTGTTGACGCGGTAATCAAGGCTTTCTGAACGACAAGACCCCCAAAACTATGGGCAACGAATACTATAGGTCGCAATGGAGCCTAACATGGTTTGAAGCATTAGCTACACAATGATTAGATTTGACATAGTGTACAGGCAATTATAAGAGAAGCTTCGTAGGTATTTAGAAAGATAGATCGCACAACGCGAGATAGAAATAGACTAGCCTCTTGGTGTGGGTCTCGAAAGGCTGTGAGAGATTCGAGCAAGCTTTCAGCATACGTTGAGATGATAGATCCTCTCGAGTTGACAAGAGAAATTGCGTCGCTTTGGTAGACAAAATTGAAAATTCTGGCGGTGGGTAAGCTTTTAGGAAGAAGATCATACAGCCAGAGCCTTTCTGGTCCCTTCTCATTGTCCCAAGACCTAGCAGTGGTCGCGCCTCCAAGTCCGTGTACGAACACTATATCGGCGATACCATGGGCTTGACTCCCAAATTCGTCGCCTGGATGGATTAGACTCAAGCCTGAAATTTCTGCCATTGGAGATTAAGGAAGAACCTACGTAACTGTCAGGTAGTTTTCAGTAAAAGTCTCGCGCGCGAACGAAATTGGGTGAAATACTTATATAATATCAATTGAGCATGCGAAAAGCGCAACAAGTGAAACAATTGTTGGGGGTAAAAGATAAACTTGATGCGATTGTGATCTTAATTACTCGTGAAAAATAACATTGCCACCATGAGTTTTGCGAGTTTCGCATAACTCTTCCAGTGCAATAGTACGAATGGATCTTGCCATGTACGCCCTGCTGGGGCTGCAAGCGCCAGGGAACACAATTTCAATGAGACATGGGATGTTGAAGGGACGGGATCGAGAATATATCTACTCGTATACCAGGTTTAATTGGCTGCAACAATTCGGTATCCTGATGCACTACGAGGCAAATTCAGAGGCAGACTGCTGCTATCTCACAGCCACAAAAGAGGGCTGGATGAATAAAAAGCACATGGATATTCAGACCATGCCATACCAAAGATTATCCAATAGGAAAAAGATACAATTATTGAATATAGATACGGTGATAAACAAGATGTCTGGCCGAGGGGTGAACAAGATGCAGCCATCCATTAGTCTGCCCAGTTGGCCCGTGTGAAATAAAACATCTCGTGACTTTTACGAATAGTTGGAGGAAGGGATGAGTGAGAATGCCCCCATTCATTTCTTGGGCCTGTATACTACGAGTTGGTTCTACTTCTGTTTGATTACTCACTCCATCACCGTGTAGTTCGCAAACATCAACACTTGTTAAAATATGATATAAAATCATGGTCTGACTGTGTATTTATATGTATTGAATCAATTCATTCGTTTATTCAAGCACTAATCCCGGGAGTATCATACCAGCTATCCATCCGTCCAACGCGCTATCCATAAAAACAGGCATACTCATACAATACATGAGCCCAAATGTGCTCGAACAAGAAGACCCGCGACCCTTTCATCCGCCATGCCATGCAATGCCATGCAACGTATATAACGATCCATTCCCATCCCATATGAACCTAGCCTAGTCAAGCTTTCGTAATCATTACTACAACTCAGTCCTGTTTCCGTTCCCGTTTTCCTTAAACTCTCTACCACCCAATCCAGACTCGACCAAGCCTTAACCAACCACACCTTTCAAACTCAAACTCTCCAAAAACCCCCCCAAATCCTCCTTCTTGACCTCCACCACACAATGTTCAAAGCTATCAATCCTCACCCTCGCATTCGTCTCTTCCACCACCTCCTGAAACGCATTTCCGAATTTGTTCCTCCCGAACCCCTTTCCTCTCTCCTGTTCATCTTCATCTTCGTCTTCTTCCTCTTCTTCTGATTCTGATTCCGAAGATTCTTCTTCCGTTTCGTCATCTTCTTCATCATCTTCTTCTTGACCCCGCTCCGCTCGCGCTGCTTGTTTTGCCGCACGTTTGTCTTCGCGGATTTTGTCTTTATTTTTCCTCTTCAAGGCTCTTGCTGCTTCCTTTTCTTCCTTCTTCTTCGCCTTTTCCCTCGCAGCTTTCTTATCGCCGAATCCCCATCCACCTATTCCACCTCCTCCACCGCCAGTACCAACAACCACATAAACACCCCTGGCTTCGTTCAAACCCGCTACAACCAACGGGGTACCTCTCCCACCATTTCCCAGCTTTCCTTTACTTTCTCTTTCTTGTTCCGCAATTGCTTCACCGATCCAGAGCGCGAGTTTGGTAAGCGCAGCTGGATGAGTGAAGAGTTGGACATCTGGACCATCTTTTACTACTGCCATGCGGAACGCACGTAGATGTTTTATCTGTCGTTTTTCGATTAGTGACGTTCCTGTGCGGAGAATTGCGCGGTGGAGATGCTGAGCTATGGGAAGGGCGAGCTTGAGTTCCTCGATTCTATTTTGGCGGTGTAATTAGCATTGGAATCTTGTCTCCTCGCATTCAGGGATAATGGAGGAATTGACAAAACAATAAGGGGAAAACTTACTTCTCGAGGGCATCATAAGCATCCCAAAATCTTCCAACCCATTCCTCACCCTCTAAAGCACCATCTTCGTCGCTAGTCTCCTTGGTCTCTCGACTTCGATCCCAAGCACCATTCTCTGGAGTAGTGACTGCCTTCTTTCCAACCTCCAAGATAGATCCCACCACAACACCAACATCCTGAGCACTAAGTGTCGCTTTCCAACCCCAACTTCTGACGAAACCCCATCCTTCCTTTGAGCCTCCACGATCTCTTCCATCTGTGTCTGCACTAGGGACAAGATCGTCTAGCCCATAAAGTTCCGAGTATTTTAGTAATTTTGTTCGAAGCCCGCGTTTAAGTTCCATATCCATATGAGTATAACTTTGCTTGCATTGAACAAGACTTACTCCCATCTTTGCTAGTAATTTGTGTAGTCGTTTTCGCCCACTATCTGACCAAATGTGTAGCCTGGCTGACAAGTATGGAGAATGCAACATGCTATCATATAAACTCCAATGTCTAATAAGGAGAAATTTTGGCTCTGGGGATAGACGAATACTTGTATCTGTTGGACTTCGCGCTGTTGTCGGTATTATACCACTGTTTTCTGGTGACATATTTCGATTCGAATTAAAAGCCGAATCAGAAAGTTCTGGAGGATTCAGACGTCGCACTTCGTCTCGCAGAAGCTGTCGTGTACGCGATCCTCGGGAGCCTAGCCACCCCGACGGCGATGACTTTTCTGTAGTTACTGCGATTCCGATTGCAGATCGACCATATAATTCTTGGGAGCTGACCCCAACTATTGTCATCCAAAGGAGATCATTGTCTTCTCTTCCTAACTCTGATGCTAGGGAATACATCATTGAGGATATGGGTTCGGAATATGATGCACCAAGATTATAATATGTTTGGAGAACCATTTCATTCTTTCGACGCAATTTCCGTAATCTTCGCCGCAATGCTCTTGGGGAGGGTGGTTTAGGGAGTTGTGCTGGCGAAGGAGATACAGAGCGTGAATGTGAATCTGAGAATATTGTTGGGTCGTTTAGTGATAGAAGTCCACGTTGAGGAGCACGGGTTGGAAATTCTGGAATTGGACTTGACTAGTATTATTGTTAGCAGGTATAGACTATTGAATTCTAGGATACCTACTGAGTTGCTTCTCCGCCTCTGCCGTGGTCTATCATCCTCGACGTCAGTATCATCTTCCTCATCTCGATCCGACCAAGACTTTCTCTTTTTCCCTGGCAACTTAATTGGAGGATCATCATTGGCATCACTTTCGCCTTCCGTTTCACTGCCGTCACTATCATCTTCATTGTCTTCCATCTCAGGCATTTCCACCAGTGCCAAGTATGCGTCCTTCTCTGCTTTCATATCTTCTTCAATATCCCCGTCGTCGAAGACAATGATTCCTCCTTTGCCTGGCTTATAATTCCTTGCAATCATTCCACCAACTACACCCTTAGGTGGCTCGGATATGATTTCCCCGCCCTCTACCTCATGCGATATCATCGGGAAACCTCCAAAAACATTCCCTAAATTCCAAGGTCGTCTTGCATCCACAACCCAGACCTCGACACCACCATAACTAGCCTCGTCTGCCTCCGAATCAAAACCCAACAACGCACCCAGATCAACTAAGCCTCCAACACCTAGACAAACCACAACACCCCCACTACCTCCATGGTTTTCCATCATGGGTTGTATAACATTCTTCCCCGCTTTCTCCAAATCCCCATATCCAGCAATTGGCTGTATCTTGTGAGGGATATAATCGCGTTTAAGCAGTTGGGTAAGGATTCGACATCCGCATAGGGCGTCAGGTTCGAGAGCAACTAATATCAGGACTGGCGGAGATAAAGGATGATGAGTTTTTTGAAGGTGGAGATATAGTGTGGCAAGTTGTGAGCGTGGTAAATACATGCTGAAAGACGAAAAACGCGTTAAATAATGTGCCAATTATGGCAGATTATATTACACCTCTGCCGAAGTTAAATTCCAAGTCTGCGGTTGGTCTTCAAGTGGAGTTAGGGACGCGTCTCGATATTCGGAACTGGGTGGAATTATTGTGCGGAAGACGACATTGAAACTTTGTGGATCTTAGATTTGGTACCAGAATCGAATTCTCGTATATTCAGATATCAAAATAGAATGTATTATCATGAATTATATTGGCTGTGAAAAAAACTGTGGGCGTTCTGAAATGTATGATGTAGTCGTAATTGAATTATGAGAAAGTCGCGATTTCACCTGGACGCGCTTTCGCTAAATTTCATGCAAGGTTGATTATTCTTTTACATCCAACCGCTCAACTCAATTCATTCCGTCTCAACTCTCAGACAACATGCTTTCACTTCATGCAGTCATCAGCAGCAGCAGTACCATCATCTCTATCTAACATGATACTCTTTCGTATATATATGAGAAAGAATTGTCCATTCACTTAATCAAAAGAATATAGGGTGAATTGTTTGATACAATCGTCGCAATTCGTCGCTCGTCGTACTCAGAATATCATAAACAATGGTCTGAAAAGGAGAGAGACTTGCCTATTACTCCATTCACAACTATGGTTTTGAGAATCGCAAACTTCGAACGACAGACATCGTGGGTAAAGATTGAATGATTTGCTTGTTCTGGACAAATTATCTGAATTCATCACGGTACGCAATGAGTAATGATGTACAGTTTATTTTCCACTTCGACTCTGATCATTTCTACTTATTACCACAATTATTCTTCATGTAATGAGGGTATTGTGAAGACAATTGCCCTCTCATCCGACTGTCTGCTCCTCTAATGCTCTGTTGTTCCCACTGCCATTGAACAGTTGAAATCCGGAATTACGAAACTTTCCTTCGCTCTTGAGATTATATATCCGAGGACTTTCTTCTTGCTTCTCTTGTTTCTTCTTTTCGAACCTCTCGCGGAGTTTTCCCATCTTGATTTCATCTTCTCTCAACCATTCCTCGGAGTGACCTTCGACCTTTCGTCCTCCACTCGACGCAGCGTCTGCGTTGATCCAATCTACCAATTCACGAACATACTCAGGCTCTCGTCCTTCATTTAAAGCATGAAAAGCTCTCCCAAACCCCTTTTCTATTACCCTAAGTCTATATTCTTCTCTCATTTCTTCCTCGCGTGGTAAGTATGCTTTGCCAGCGAATACAGCTGCGAGTGCAATGGCTTGGAACTCGAATAAGGAAAAGGTCGATACGTAATATGCTGTACCGACAAATGCCAGTGTTGGATCTGGTATATAGAATATGTCTTTGTGGAGATTGTGGACTTGCGTTCCGTCAGTTACGAGGACTGTTTCATTTGCTTCGGCCGGGGATATCAAATCGTTATGATACGAATGAAGAAACGGATATGAAATATGATATCCTGTGCAAACTATCACTTTATCAATATCACTAAGCGTTGTCCCATCTTTCAAGTGAGCGACCCCTCGACCTTCATTACTTGTCTCAAACTCAAAAGACACGCATTCTCCAACTCTTTTTGCGCTTGGAGGTAAAAAGCTAAGTGGAAGGTCAAATTGACCACCTCGGGTGGATTGATAAACCGTCTTGGCTACGCCGTTGATCTCCCTAGCAATGTCTGTGGAGGATACACTCCCCCCAATGAAAAGAACATTCTAACAAAAGTCAGTCGAGAGTAGTGCTATTGAGCGGTATCACTTACCTGATCTGCAAGCTCTTGGGGTCTCCTGTATGCTTTTGAGTGCATAACCCTTTCAGGATGATTTTTCTTCCATTCCTTCAATCCTATGATGTCAGGCACTCTGTTGGCGTGATAATGTCCACTCGCCACAACTACTTTGTCAAATGCCTGCCACGAGTCAGTATTCGCTTGCAGATGCTCACTCGGCAATTTACCTCTTCATGTTCCAAGAACTCCACATTTCCGTCATGAGTTTTGTTTAACAGCTTTGATCTCACAATCCATCTCCCGTTTACTTTCCTGATCGTTTCCACTCTTGTATTGTACTTGAGGAAACGTTCTAGGTGGAATCTTTTGGCATAATCGCTCAGATATTCACCAACAACCTCCACATTGACGAAATCACCTGTGCCCTCCTTCCACGGGTGGTCTTTCATTTCTTGGAGTTTAGTTGAGATGTTTGTTGTCAGACCAAAATATGCAGGACCTGGTGGTGCGTGCTTCAATTTGAGCATTTCATCCTGGGGAAATTCTGATTGCGATGTGACATCCTCGCAATCTGAATCCGCCTCGGGGTAGAGGCCTGCAACCGATGGTAAAACTGATGGATATCTATATTCAAGTGGTTTTCTTTCATCGTATGCCCTTGGTCCTCGTATCAACATCAGTCTCTTCCTTGCGGGCCCCAAAAACAATGGTAGAAACATAACTCACCAAACGCCTCCGGGTTTTGAAGATCGTTCATAAATCGTTACGTCGAGTCCATAATCTATGAGATGTCTCGCAGCCGCTAGTCCACTGACACCCGCACCGATCACAGCAACTCTTTCAAACTTCAGGCCCATGTTACGTTTGTATGCTTCCAGGTCGAATTGAATCCAATCCCACATTCAAATTATACTAGGAAAATATATTTGACGAAGTTTCGTGTTATCTACGCGGGGACCATTGATTATTGTACGAAAAACTAACCTCACGCCGTTATTAGAATACGAATTCAAATCCTTTTACATGCAATCATGCATTGATATCTTTATGCTTTACACTTATCCTTGGTGGGATTCTGAGATATTGTGTGATGCCTGCAGCCATTTCGCCATATTTTGCTTCCACACACTGATTGGCCAATAATATCAGGCATTTTGGAAACACCGCCCGCAAGGGTAATAATATGTTTGACGTGATTGCAGGCTTTCATAACATATCACGGATACAACGGGATCTACAAATGTTTCAAGAATATCCATATATTTGGTGATTATTTTAGAAAACAGCTAGCAAGTGAAAAGTCACATGTATATCACATGATTCTTGGCACAACGACGATACTATGTTTACCAAAAGGGCGGAACTCGATTCACTTCTCCATTTCAAACAGCTAAAAGCGATGAATGACTATATATTTGAGGTCACGGTGTGGTGCTCGACCAGCCTCGCATCAAAGGGTTTCAATCTGAAAGGGTCTCTCTTGAACCACTACAGCTTTGCTATTTGGCTCATCACTCTCAACAATATTTCTCAAGTTTTGAAAATCTGCGATTTTCATTATGCTATTAGACTGGGTTCAAGTGGTAATGTGAAAAATGCGATGTCGATGATGAACGGAGATCAAAAGGAATTCTTGTGATACCAAGCCATATTCACTACTTCATCGTTTCATCTCATTTTCTCAACAATTTTTCACAGATCTCTTCTTTTCAATGCATCGTCTGCCATCGTCACAAACAAATCATCAGAAGGTCTCATTGTGCCGCCACAACGTCAAGTGTGATCTTTAGCTGAGTCTCTCATCCACTGGTCTCTCGGGCATTTCAAGAGCCATCATCCATGGGATTTGGCAGCCGTAATTTGCAATCATCAATACTGCTACAGCGGTACACTCACGATATCTTATACCGTAACAAAGATTCAACACCGCACTTCATTTTTGGCGGAATTATTAAAGTACCCAGCCACCACAATTTCTCACAGAACATCATATTCATCTCCGCCTCGCGATCGCATTCCCATTAAGCACAGTGCTTACCCTCAATCGCAAGATGAGTTCTACAGTGTATTCATCATTCATTGAAGACTCGGACCTCAGTGGTGTAAGTTATTCTTAAACCATCGCATACTTCCGTATTCTAATCAGATTCTCATCTATAGTCTGCAGTGATGCTACTCATTTGCGCGGTGATTGGTACAGTATGTTTCTTCTCCATATGGGAAAGACGCAATCTGCTATATTTTCACTTTTAGGCGTTGTAAACATGAGAGAGTCGGGGTTGGGTAGAAAAGGGGATCAAGGTGGAATGGAGTCGACTTACAGGACATGATGGATAAAATGTTTTGGGGTGAACGTCATCTTGCTTGGGCTCTGCGTTTATGATGCGGAGTTCTTTGCTTTGAGATTTCTGGATTATTTCTCGGGATCTGTCAAGTATCATGGTTGTCAGGCGTCCATGGTATTAAGACGATGCCAATCACCAATACACAAGGTCATAGTTGGTTGATGTGTTCTTTCATTTTCCATTGGGATGCACAAGGGAGGATCCTTTCCGTCTATCTGTGAGACAACAACCTATTTAGCTAAGAGGCAAAGTTAACAAGTTTCTCTTCATATCACTCCCACTGTCAAGGACTTGCAGAAAGAAATTTGTGAGCAATGATGATCCTTATTGTGCTTGTAGCAGTGATTATGTTTGATATCAATTCTGGTGACTCAGATACACGAAAAAGGAATATATCGAGTAACCTATTTCCTCTCACTTATATTATCCCTCGTCAACAGAATTGGTCATCCAGCAGTATATATTATACATTGCAAAAGCTGACAACGACGAAAATGCTTAAAAGCTGTTCCACTCACGTTGTGAAGGTGGATATTGTCAGTAAATACCACAACCTTCAAGATCATGTTAATCTGATGAATTCCCAGAATGAAAGAGGTTTCCTGTAGTTCGTTGCTATTCTTTCTTCTACAACTCTTTATTATCAGCATCTGGTCCTCATAAGACGCCTTCTTCTCATCCTTCAATATCTTCCACTATATACATCCTTTATTGAATCAAACAGAGACAGAAGATTGCATCATGTGTATTCTGGTTATGCCATGAGATAAAAACCAATACTTGTCAATGGGTTCAGTGAAGAATTATATTGTAATACTACACAATCTCAATCCAAGAGGTATGTCCTTTTGAATTCTTTTCAGTTTTCTTTGCAATCTTCACTCTTCTCCTTCGAAGATAGGATAGACCAGGAAGTCACTGGTCTGTCCGAAGGTGAAGCTATCGCGTCGCGTCAACAACAATTATTCCGTTCCGAAGCCATCTTCTTCCCATAATAATGTCGACTCAGTTTCCTTTCAACAAATCAACTTCGAACAATAACAGCTTTTTTCCATCCATTGATCAATAAGATAGATCGATAGCAATTAACATCGACAAAGTCGAAGTAACCATGGAGGAAGAAGAGACAACAGCTACAAACAAGGAGGAGAAACAGTTGATTCGAATTCATGATGATTACAAGAATCCTGGTGCTGTTGCTGAATGGGAAGACTTTGTAAGTAAACCCAAGAATCCAATCCAGAATTCAACTATTTTTTCTCCCGTCCCAGAAACTTATACTGATTCGTGATGTTTTATCATAGTTAAAGTCGGCTCACTACAGTGCAGTTCTTCCTGCAGGATATCTTGAAGTTCACAAACTACAAGATGATCCGAAATTCTGCATTCAAACTTTCCTCGACCCCTTGGAGATGGAAGCTCGTTGCGCAACTCTCATCACACAATTCCATGCTTTCAAGGGTATTCCTCAGCAAACTCGATTACGTGTCTCCGATCTTGCTTATTACAATCTCGTACATGACACTGCCGAGATCGAAATTTGGCGTGGAATTCTCAACTTTCGTCAACCCGATGCGACACACCTCAAAGCTGCTCCTCAATCCCAGCAAAGCGGAGACAGCTGCATGGAAGACCATCTTGTTAGGGCAAGCTGGCATCCGGTATTTGGCCAATTAGTCCGTCCTTTTCCTCGAGAGCCAAGTCTTAGGAGCTGGGGATCGGAAGGTGATCTTGCTGCTTTTCGCTGCGAGGGTACTTCTGCAAGACTCACTCGTGCACCCACTTTTGGTAGTAGCACTGCTTCAGACCGCGAATGGGTCTCGAATGTCCTGAATAGTTACCTCAATGTTTCGGACGAGTGGATCGTTTACGATGAGGCTGATGCATCTTCTGTCGGTCGTTCACAGAGCGTTATTAGCAATTGCTCTGCCCTTATCAACCATGATCATGAGTGCACCGCTCCCTCTAATCTCTTTCCTGCTTCGCCCGTCATTACCTTTGGTCCTGCTCCAGCTGTAACAGGTATTGAGTATACTGGCCCTAATCCCTCGGCAACACTCAACCAACTTCTCAATGACCATGCAGATGCACCTATCGCCAGCGAGGAGGGAGACTTGGAGAGTGCTGGCCGTCGTAGAGTCGAGCGCCCCTACCTCATCGTAAGTTCCTACCATTATACCACTCCACTGTCACATTTTCATTCATTGCTAATTCTATATTCCTTACAGATCTTCGTAATCGTCATGATCTGCTTCGTTGCTGGCTCGATTGCTGCTATTATTGGAGCATTTGTTTTCGCTGCTAGAAGAGGTATCCTCTAATTTTTGTCATTAGATTGATGATGGATTACGGCAATGAGATGACATTATGTAGTGGTTTAGATGAAGGCCAGGATTTATAAAGTATTTAGCTGATAGTTATCGGCTGGTTGCTGCTTCTTGTTTCTTTAGGTCTAGTTAAGGAATGGGTTCAATAAGCTGGTTAATTAGGATGGTTCTTTTTAATTCATGTATTTCGGTTGTTATATGGCAAATTAATAATTCGCAATTATGACTTTAGAATGCCTTATTGATGATTGGCTGCTAGGTGAATGTGCTATCTACGATGTGTGTGATATTGTTTGAATGTCCAAAATAAGATGCATTGATAAATTCGAACAATCACAAGCACCCATCTGGTCACATTCGGTCAGACATCAGCAATGTCAGGTTTGACTCATGAACTGAAAATAATAATCTCATATTTCCTCCATGAGATAACCCAGTTGTCTGACTTCCATTTGAAAATCGTGAAAGTCTGCTACTCATGTTCTTTCTGTCACTTTGAAGAATGATAGAACTCATCGCATGCTTTCTTCGACCACAGTTTCAAAGGACCGAGTACAGACTTAAGGATTTCAGATATTTCTTTTAAATCTTTCAAACAGTATATCTCAAAAGTCTCAAGATTCCCAGATCTCTCTGATCATTATGAACGAACCTCCCAGTAGCCCCAGTTTATACTTGCTAAATTTCCAAATCTAGTATAGAGATCATCGAGGAACTATCTAAACTTTCGATCAATGTACTATATATATTATTACCACATAAAATATTTCAAGGATTTATCTCATTAATCATAGTCAGCACCCATGTATATTTGAGTCACAGCGTTATAAATCTTCATTTCCAGGAATTTCGAAAGAAAAAATCATCTCCAATTCAAAGTAATCAGGAACTAAGATTACCGTGTAGTTCTAATAATATTTGGTTGATGTCACTGCATGATGGAAGGGGATTGAAATGTAGATGACTTCTCTAAATCTCACAAAGTTTCTCTTCACATTCTGGGGAATATTAACAAATGCTCGCTGTTGAAGTTCTTCTTTGAAAATATGAAACTGACTATTAATAGAATCGTTATAGACATCAACCCGAAACTCCGCCAGAATCCTTAACTCCTTATTTGCAAAAACCTAACCAATCAAAATCGATTATCTTTCATTGTTCATTGCTCATCCAATCCATATGTTCATTCCAACCGCATCTCACAATTTCCAATCCCACTTTCTCTCACTCAAGCCTGACCTCCCGCTGCCCCTCCATTACCCTTCTTCTTCCCCCTCTTACTCCTCCTCTTCTTTGGTACTCCTGCATTTATATTTCCACCGTTACCCTCATCTAAATTGAATTCTCCTTCCAATGGCGTCTGTACCGCGCTACTTTCACCACTTTCCAACTGGAGTTCTCTCTCTTCAAGAGGTGTTTGAACCGGACTGCTTTCTTTACTCAAAATATCGATTCTTTCGTGATCAAGTGGTGTCACAGCTTCAAAGTGACTTTCTTGTTCGTATTGAGGCTGTTTTCCAATTGATCTATTCTCAGCGGGTTGAGGAAGAGAAGTACTGAAACGGTCTTGGTATGTCGGGATATTGAAACCTTCTTGTTGAGAAGGTGTTGAAGATGAGGATTCACCACTATCAAATCGACTCAAAAGATCCTTGACGTGACTGCTTCTCTTTTCATTTCCGTGTTCTGGAACTTCCTCATGAGACTCTCGAGCTGGATGCGTACCCTGTAGACCGAATCTAGATCCTTGCGAAGCCCCCAAAGAGCGCACTGGCTCATCATATCTATTCGCCGAATAACCATACTCATTTCCAAAATCTGGAACTCTGTTTGATCTCGCAACAGAACCCGTGATCTTAGTAGGGAAAAGACCGAAATTAAATCCCTGTGAAGAACCCGTAGATCTTCCTCGCCCAGACTCATCATGTCCATATCTAGAATAACTGCTCTGTTTTCTAAATTCAGGGCTGTTACTTCTACGCATACTATCTGATGATCTTTGGCTTGCGATTGGTAGTCGCGATGGTGCGGGAGATCGCATTGACTCATTGTATGAAGGATATCTCGGTTCGGGGCTATCGCGCATTGTTTCAACACGTTCGGCTCCTCTAATTGGTAACCCGAAATTCATACCTTGGGAAACAGGACGTGATTCATCATACGTAGGGAATGTTTCGGTGGACATCTTTGTTGTTAAAACTGTTGATGGAGTTGTCGGAATGGTATGTTGATGTGCCGATTGATATGTGGGCGTTATCGGCTGATCTTGTTGAGGCTCAGGCTCGTTGTAGTGGACTTCCTGAGTTGGATAGGACTCCGAAAGGTATTTTTGAGAATAGCTTGGGCTAGAGTATGTAGGCATTGATCTCAAATGTTGGTTGTCATCTTGCTCATTGAAGGAAGTACGTGTTTCGTGTGGAACTTCTTCATGACTTGAGTATCTTGGTTGTGGTATAGATCTACTAAAGCTGGTTCCTTGGAAGGGATAAGAGCCCCTGGATTCATAGCGTGAAGTCTCTGGTCCCAGCTGAGATGACTCCATATCATCCTCCGAGTCGGAGTAAGTTTGTGTATTTAGAGCAGGCTCCTCATATTCATAGCCATAGCCTGTGTACCTTTGCTCTGCTGAAGTTTCAGGTTCTTTGAACTGGGCCTCGTGAGCTGAGTTAGTTTCGTCAACGAAGTGGCTATTTTCTGACTCTTGTTCTGGTTGTAATTGCCCGAAAGACACGTATTGGCTGACTGTTGCTCTTGGCCTGTCTCTCTCTTGCTCGTCATGCTCTGTAGTGATCGCTGGCTCATTCTCCTGGGAATAAATGGATTCGTTATCCTCAACTTTCAAGTCATCCTTGACCCTGGTAGCAAAATTATTCTCCAATACTTGTTCACGATCAGCCACAATTGGAACTTCTCTAAAGTCTGGCTCATCCGCGAACTCTAATTCACCCTCATTTGAAACATGGGAACTGTTTTTAACAGCTCTATTCTCGATTGAAAAAACATCATCGAAGGGTTGATTCTGATCACTTTCAGGTTCAATTTCATGTTGAGCTGCAAAGTGTTGGACAGCGGGATAGTCCTCCTCTAGGATAGCTTGCTTTTCCTGAAACGATGGACTGGGGAGAGGAATCTCGGAAGTGATTTCATCTTGGCTTGGCTCGCTGTCATACTGGTTTTCTTCGATGGCTGGAGCTTCTCCGTGATTTGACTTAGTTGATTGAAATCCTGCCGAAGGCTCTAATCCTCTTACTTCGTCATTGGTAGTATCATATGGTTCATCCCATTCGTTATCATCGGTCGTTTCAGATTTAGGACTTTCAGGAACCCTAAGATCAGCTCCTAATTCCTTGTGGCCTTCAATTTTTTCTTGGTCTTCTTGGTCGAATTCACGCTCCACGGAGTGACCATCTTCATCAGCTTCGGAATCGATGTCTTTTGAGTTTTCTTCCGGAACTGGCTCCGATTCAACAATCTTAAGATGCTCTACCGATGTAGTTCCATTCTTTATTTCCTCACTTCCAGTTTCCACATGTTGGGTGCTTTCGTGAATGGAATCCAATTCAGAGAGCAAACTTTCTTCAGCAGCGTAGTCTTCGAGTGTCATTACGTCTCTCGGGGATTCCTGTTCAGATTCCACAAAATACTGCTCATGGTTGGGTTCTCCTTTCAGTCTTGGTTCATCTGATGTTCCTTCCCCAAAAACTGATTCCGATTCAAGTTTGATGGGCAAAGATTCATTTTCCTCGTTGTCTAACGAAGGCGCAGCATCATCACTCAACTGTGTTGTCTCGAAGCTTTCCGTCTCGGGTTCCATATGAGTTTCGGAAGGTAGTGCTTCCATGCCTAATACCTGATCCTCTTGTCCAGATGAATCTGCTCCTTGGTTAGGTGCACTTTCGTTGCTGTTGATCTCATTCTCAGGCTGCTCGGCTACTGACGGAATCTCAAAATCTGTTTTTTCATCCTCGGAAGCGATTACTGGATTGTTTTCTTGTACATTTTTATCCTCCGCAATCTGGCTCTGACTTTCGATAACATCCTCGTGGATGGCTGGGGTAATTCCGTCGACGTGGTGCAAATCGTCTTCGGGTAAAATATCGGTAGACTTTACCTCTTGAGTCTCGAATTCTGCAGGAATAGTATCCTCTCCGAGATCGCTAGATGATGCGACATGTCTTTCTGAATTCTGTCCCGTACTAATGTCGACATCGATCACAGGAACCTTTTGCTCTTCCTCCGGCTCAGTTAAATCAGCCTGGGCTTTTCCATCTTCAATTCGTTCCCTAGAAGTTTGCTGGTATTCGGCTTGTGGTTGTGCTTCCGCGACATGAGTTGGCTCTTCGGTATCCCTTTTAACATCTAGTTCCTCGGTTTGATCCTCATGAATTGTTTCCGTCTTCACAGGAGCATTTCTTCTTTCCTCCTCCTCAGCCTCAGCTAGAATCTTAGCCATCTCCGCATTCATGGCAGCGATTTCCTCACGGGCTTTGATATCTTCAGGATCTTCATAGACAACTGACTTTGATTTTGGTTGATTTCCAAGAACTAAATCTGGGCTGGGTGTCTCGGCAATCTGTTGATCGATTTCTATTGGGTTTCCAGCATCTCTGATATCTTCAGAAGCTTCATGAATCACATTTTCGTATGTTGGTTTGTTTTCAGGGACCGATTCTTCGTGGTAACTGTCAAGCATCTCTCTCTCAGTCGGTAGAGATTGGTCGCTATCGTTGGCTAAGATCTGGCCTTCTTCGTTTGATCCTAACCCATCAGAAACATTCTCGTTCACAAATTCTGGCTCAGGACTGCCTTCTAATGGAGCTTCATTGACAATTTCCTCTTCGGCAAGAAAACCAAGTTGGCTCTCAGGGATTGATCTTTCGACAGGTACCTCAACAACATGTTGCTCTGCTGGTTCAAGAGGTTTATAGTCATCAGTAACCTTCTGAGCTTCCTCACTTGGTTCTGGCTCAACAGGACTTTGATTTTCAACGGCCGGCTCTTCAACAGTTTCTTGCAGTGATATTTCCGTGATATGAGTTTCATCGCCTGCTTGTAGCTTTTCACTATCCATACCTGCAGCTTCCTGTTCATTAGCAGGAGGTTGCACGGACTTCTCTTCACTCTCAACTGGGATCTGCGTTTGATTATTTGACTCAATCGCCGGTATCTCGGTTTCAATGATTGAATCTGGACTTTGTTCTTGAGAAACTTCGATGGTTGTCTCTTCAATCTCGAGAGGTGTATGCTCACTGGCGGATCCCTGGCCTTCTGGTTCGAGAGTCTCTTCTCCGTCATCGACAGATGGAGCGAAATATTCCAGGTTTCCATGTTCCTCGGGAGTTTCTTCTCTGTCGATTGAAGGTCCGTCTTGATTGTTCAACTCTGTGGTATTTTCTTCAGTCTCAACAGGTAATTGTGGGAATCCTTCCTCATGTGGAGGCTCAACGGCTTCTGTAGATTTGCTAGAAACATCCTCAGTGGCATTTTCGGTAGCCGGAATTTCCACTGGTTCTTGTTCGCTTACAGTAGGATGTTGATCATGTGAGTTTGAATCAGGAACAGACTTCTCTGTTTCGACAACCGGCTCGGAATCATTTTCTTCCTGGACGGCTTGTGGAAGGTCTCCTACAGCTTGTTCGAATAGTTCCTCGCTATGAGGTTCCCCATCTTTCAGTTCCAAGTCTTTCACCTCAATTCCAACAGGCTCTTCGTCTTGGTCGTTCATATCCGAAACGGGTACCTCAGTCTCGATAGGAGCGTCGGGATTGCTTTGATCATGAGGTAGCTCGATATTTTCCTCCGTCTGGTCCGGTGTCTGTTCATTCTTAGGCTCCACAACTTCTGTTTCCAGATCCTTTGCACCAATCTCGACAGGAACTTTATTCATATCGTTCAAATCTAGAAGTGTTGTTTCGATATCCGCAGCTGGTCCCGAAGACTTATCCTCTTTCGAAGTGTCAACAGCACTTTCCGCGTCTCCGGTAGAAATATCATCATCCTTAGGTTCCAAATCTCCCTCTTTTAAATTGATTTCATTACTGTCAACAGGATGTTCTTCAGCCAATTTGTCTACCTCCCCTTGTTCATCAACCGTTTTCTCTTCTTTGGACGGCTCAATGACTTCAGACTCTGTAGAAATTTCCAAGCCATCTGCGGGTGCTTCATCACTTGCTTCGGGTGCTTGAGTCAGTGCCTCAACATCGTGATCTGTAGGAACGGGTGTTTCTTCGATTTCGACAGGCAGATCAGCGGGATCAGATACGGTGGCCTGCTTAGACTCCGGAACAGGGTTGTTTTCTTCTAGAAAAGAAGCATCCTCCGAGTGTGCCAGAGGGGTATCAATCAAGACTTCTGGTGTAGGGGTTTCAGTGGGCGTGTCATCCAAACTTGGCTCACTGGATTCCTTGATTTCGGGGAGCTTTTCTTCTTCTTCCGCCGGAGGTGTTTGTTGCAAGTCTGTAGTCAAGTTTTCATCTGACTCCTGTAAAATAGATTTATCGACAGGTCTTTCGATTGTCAGCTTAAGCCATTATACTAGAGTATCAGAAATGTCTTACTTATCTTCTACGGCCTCTAGAACTTCCTCGTTAGGGCTCACATTGTCATCTGCATTGTCTGCAACAATGTCTTTCGTTGGCCTATTATCATATTAGTATCGACACAATTGTGGTTGTATCAATTTGACCAGTCCAAAGCTATCAACTTACTGCTCTTCCTCCATGGCAACAGACGTTGTCTCTTCAGTGAATCTCAATTGCGCGTCAGTATCTTGTACATAGCTCCTAATTTATTCTCAAACAATCAACTTACTTCGAATCTTCATCGCCTACATCTTCATTTTGCTGTATTTCAGCTCTCTCACTGTCACTAGATGCTTCCTTCTCAGACCTATGATGATGTTGTGTTAGCCCACCTCCTTTGATGTCCTACTTTAGATATCGAAAACAAATCTTTCGATCGTCACTCAATCACCAGTGGCCCAAATCAGACGAAAAGAAGCTTACCCTTCCACCGCAACAGTCTCTTCCTCACTAGGTATCTTCTCAACGGCAAGCGCTCCTTCGGGATCAGATTCGTCCTTGGATGGTTCTGCGACATCGCCATCTTCAGGTCTACATTGACGAATCTTTAGGTCAATTCCCCTCAATTATGTTTTGTGAAATTTCAAGGATCCTTCTGACTTACATCGGTTTTTTTTCCGCATCGAGTACTTGAGGCGCTTCGTCTTCGGGACTTTGAGGTTCTTAGTACTGTGCAATGCGAAATGAATTCTGATGTAACTTACGTATCTTGGGACAAATCCGATTGTTCAACTGAATTTGGTGTGACACCATCAACATCTACTTCCTTCTCAAGAGATTCGGGCTCCTCATTATTGTTGCTTGCTGAAAGCTCAACTTCTTGGTTGAGTGACTAGAGAAAATCGGTTAGTGACATGGGCAATCATGTTTGTAACAGGGAGGATTACAGAATCCTCGGAGGTTGCTACGGGCTCAGGTTCCTCTTTAGGGAGTTTCTCTTCGCCAGAAAGATCTTCGCCAGTCTGTTGGGATTCAATGGCTGTTGCATCTTCCGTTTTCCCCATAGTCTATAGATATTGTTAGTTCACGCCACCGCCCTGCGATACATGAGTCTTACAGCTGGCTCCGGTATTTCTTCTGTTTCAATCGGCTCTTCAACGATAGCATCTAGCGTTGGAGGTTCTGCTACGATAGGTGTCGGTTCTTCAGTTGTAACTTCCTTCTCAACCTGAGTTACAAAGAGTTAGCTGCTTGCTTTATGGTAGAACTTTGATTTCACGTCATTGAATGAGAGATTAAATTTGCGGTATCTTACAGCTTCTGGCTCTGGTTCCTGGTCTACTGGTGTAGGATCTGGACCTTCGTCGATATCGATCTAAACACAATATTAGACGAGCTTCCTTAAAACACTCAGTCATCGATCAAGACTCACCGATTTTTCAGGATCTACCAAGGTAACTTCTGGTTCCAGCTCTGGCTCTACAAGCGTTTCCTCACTGAAGGTCCTTTCGTTGTCCGCCTGAAGTTTTCATTAGTGAAATATTCTACTTCGACATACTTATCAACGGGGACGTAGGATTGATGATGGACTCACAGGAAATTCTGGCTTCAACTGTGCTTCCGGTCCCGGCATAATTTCTCCATCGACCTTTTAGATCGTCAATAATTATACCATCTGACTTTCCAAAAAGCTGAGACTTACTGGAAGTTCCGGTTTATGTTCCGTAGACTCTACAGCCACATCCTCCACCACCTGAAGTTTGTGTCAGCACCTCACGATATCTTCAATTACTATTAGCACCATGACTTACATGTGATTCTGATTCTGATGCTAGCGATTCTTCCTCAATAACCTTAAGTTCTTCGGCCTGTGTGATCTTATCAGCATTTCTTCTCTCTTGAAACAGAAACGTGGGTGACCTACCGGAGCTTCTAGTACTCCTTCATTTCGTTCAACTACATCGATTACCTCACCATTCTTATCTTCCACTTCATCCATAGCTTTCATGACCCCCACCCCGGCAATCCCACCCAAAGCAAGTCCTGCAATTGTTCCCTTCAGCCCATCGTGATTTTCCTTAACCAAATCACCATGTTCTTTGATCAAGTCTCCGTGTTTCAACAGACTTTCCTCGTGTTTGTTGGAACTTTCATCTACAAGTTTCCTCAATCCGTCAATATTACTTGTTAATTCATTGTACTGTGATCCGGTGTCTTCTTTCAGACCTTCCAACAAACCTGTATGTGTACTTATGACCTCATCAATACCATGGATAGGAGCAATTGCTTCCTTAATTTCGCTCAAGACTGTCGTGTGCGAAGTATGCGACTCGTTAGATGCCGCGGTTGCTTCCTTGATTTCATTCAAAATTGTCGTGTGTAAAGTATGCGAATCATTAGATGCAGTTGTTCCGTCTCTAATTTCGCTCAAGGCTGTTGCAAGCGAGGTATGCGACTCATTAGATGCTGTCGTTGCGTCCTTAATTTCGCTCAAAGTGGTCGTGTGAGAGGCATGAGTATCTTTCATTTCTCCCAATGTTGAAGTTTGAGATTCGAGCGTCGTGATGATACTTGTAAGCTGGGTATCTAGTGCGCTTGTATCCAACACCAGTGGGGATGTTTGTTCAGAGGCAGCATCTGGCGATGACTGTGTTGAATTCATGGATTTTAGGTCTTCCAGAGCAGCAGCGTGAGAAGTGTGAGAGTCATTAGATGTATTGATAGCGTCTTTGAGTTCACTAAGAGTAGCTGTGTGCGTGAGAATTGCGTCATTTGAGTTGGTGGCTGTATCTCGTATCTCTGCTAGTGTGCTGGTATGAGTATCATGAGATTCATTAGAGGCGTTCATTGCATGCTTGAGATCGACCAAAGTAGCAATTTGCGTGGCGTGTGCGGTGCTCAAGGAAGCTGCTGCATCTCTGATGACTCCTAATGTAGAAGTATGAGTGCCATGGGATTCATTCGAAGCATTGGCTGCATCCCTGATTTCTCCAAGAAGTGCCGCATGAGTCGCGTGAGAATCATTTGAGGCACTAGTTGCGTCCTTGATCTCACTCAGAGTCGTGGTATGCAAGCCATGTGCTTCCATTCCAGCATTAGTAGTATCCTTAATCTCTCCCAAAACCACTTTTTGACCTTCAAGCGTCGCAATAACCGCACTAATCTGGGTCTCTAATCCACTCAAGTCTATAGTAGCAATTGGTGCTTGGGCTGCTTCTTCGGAATCAATTGGCTTGTTCTTGTTTTGTTCAGATGAAATAGAAGTATTCACTGCTGTCTGGAGTTCAAGCAGTGATCTGTTCAACTTCTCTTGTGAATCATTACAAGTATGTAACGCAGTAAGTATCTCATCACTGACATCTGATTCCTTGAGAGTATTGAAAGCTGCAGAATTACCGTCCTGCAACTCATGCAATGCTGTCAAGATCTCATCACTAACATCCGCGTTCTTGATTTCTGTGAGTAGATTAGTGTGGTGATTAAGGGTATTCAATATCTTCGGTAAAGAATCATCGGCAATCTCGGGGGGATTTGTGGCATTAGTAGTAATATTAGATTTGAGCTCATCCAGAATCTCTGTATGTGCAGTCAATGTACTCTTGATAGCGATGATGTGTGGTTCCAACAGATTGTCTACTACCATTGCATCCATATCGTTTTTGGCAAGGGCTTCGGACTTCATCTCTTGCAGAATGCCCATGTGAGCATCAAGTGCACTCTTAATCGCCGTAATATGTGGTTCAAATGAATCAATGCCAACGTTATCTCTTGATGTCGAAGGCGGAGCAGAATCATTGTTCTTTGATTTGATTTCATCCAAAGCTTCTGTGTGTGAATCTAGCATGCGTGTCAGGGAACTAAAGTGGCCGTCAAACGCTGCTGTGTTCAGCTCCGTTTGTCCCGTGGTAGGTGTGAACTCCTTCGCCTTAATTTCTTCCAATGCTGCAGTGTGTGATTCCAACATGGTAGTGATAGAACCAAAATGTTTCTCGAGGATTTCGATGGTATTTTCTGCAGGTGTAGAAGCATTGGAAGGATCATCTTTCGACTTAATATCATCCAATGCGGCTGTGTGTGCTGCTAATATACCGGTGATTGAACCGAAATGTGTGTCGAAGGTATCCATGTTGATTGCTGCGGGTACTCCACTAGACTGAATATCCTTTGATACAATCTCATCTAAAACTGCACGGTGAGCATCCAGAGTCGAAGTGATTGGACTTAAATCAACGCTGTTTGTAGTGTCCTTAGCCTTGATATCCTCCAAGGTTATGGTATGAGCTTCTAATAAGGTAGTTATAGGGCTGAAATCAGTAGGTGCTGGTTCTTTTGATTTGATCTCATCCAATGCCGCTGTATGTGCTTCTAACAAGGCAATTATTGGATTGAGATCAATGCGGTTTGCAGTATCCTTGGCCTTGATTTCATCCAAAGTAGCAGTATGAGCCTCTAGCAAGGTAGTTATTGGACTGAAATCTGGACTAGCTCCTGTGTCTTTCGGTTTGATCTCTTCCAGCGCTGCCGCATGGGTTTCGAGCATTGAGATAATTGGACCGTTATCAGCAGGGGTTAAATCTCTCGATTTAATGTCCTCCAAGGCTGCAGTGTGAGCTTCAAGCACCGAGATAATTGGACTGAAATCAGCAGGTGCTAAATCTCTCGATTTAATCTCATCCAATACCGCTTTGTGTGCTTCCAAGGAAGCAGTAATGGAACCAAAATGGCTATCAAAAGCACTAGCGTCAATTCCTCCGGATCCAGAAACCTCCTTTGTCTTAATCTCTTCCAGAATAGCAGCGTGCATATCCAACTTTTCGATCACAGTTCCTATATCCTTCTCCAAGCCTCCCAAATCAACATTTGCACTTGCGGTTGGAGATTCAGAAGGTGGAGTTGGCAGGGCCTTGATACTTTCTAATGCAGCTGCGTGTGAAACATGTGACTCGTTCGATTTTTGAACTTCCGTGAGAATTGCTGTGCTTGCTTCTATTAAGCTGTCCAACTTTTTCTCAAAGGGTCCTAGATCGATTGCGGTGGATTGTTCTGGTGGCGTAGTGATACTTTTGAGGCTTTCTAGAGCAGCTGTATGAAGAACATGCGAGTCGTTACACTTTTGAACTTCCGCCAATATGGATGCACTTGTGTCCAATTCCTTCATGCTCTCAAGCGCAGCCGTATGCTTCCCATGTGTCTCATTAGATTTCTGTACTTCAATCAAGATCGTTTGAAGTGTTTCCGCGTCTGCTGATGTTGGAGCTGGTTGGGTTGATTGATCCACAGGTGGTGTATTTCTCTCTTTGAGCTCTCCCAAAATTGTGGCATGTGCCTCGTGTGCCTCATTTGATTTATGTATACCAGCCAATATTTCAGTACTGTTATCTGCTTCTTTGATCTCGCCCAATGTCTCTTTCTGAGCGTCGAGTGTTGACTGTAGAGCATTGATTTGTTCCTTCAATAGCCCCAAGTTATCATTATGTGATGAAGTTCCTGTTTCCAAGCTATCCTTCAGGGCTTCTAGTTTAGAAGAAATAGCTTGAAGAAGCTCAGCATCACCCCCACTACCATTGGAAGCCACAGCCCTCGTCTCTGGAGTGGGTGTTTCTCCAGTCAAATGATCATTGATCGCCTTTACCTTTATTCCTAGATCCGGACCAATTCGAGTGATGACTACCCTGACATTTTCCTGCAATTGATCTATTTGCGTTTGGATCACCGAAGTCTTCGTATCATTCTTGTCTGAGCTTTCTTTCAAACTATCCAAGCGTTCGTTCGATGCCAATAAATTATTTATCTCCGCTATTCCTTCTACCACCTTCCCCAGTTTATGATTATTCAAGTCCAACGAGTCCGATATTTCGGTTAGTTTTCCGGCAGTGTATGTGAGGCCTCGGTTGAAGAGGGGTCTTGATTCCTGATTGGAAGTTGAAACAGGTGTACCAGTCCCAGAAGCCGAATTATCTGGTATGGGCAGTGGTCCCTCATCAGCTACCGGGTGTGAAGTCAGGGCTCCGTGGGTACTGAGTCTTGCTTGACCTGGAGCTGTTGCACCTTCTTCATCTGCCATTGACTCCAACTTCAATAAAACATGATCCACGCTGTTGTTGGTCCTCTTCAAGAGTAGCTCATGCTGTAGAACTGCATTAACAACTGGCTCAATTGTATCCAAAGCGGTTTTAATTTCGGGCTTGAGCAATTTGGCTATGTGTGAAGCAAGTCCAGCCTGGAAAACATCTCCAGAGATAGCTTCATCAATTATCCGTCGAAGGAGTTCCGGGTCTGTTGGACTACCACCGGAAAAGCTCGCGTGTTTATAACTGGTAGAATCCTGAGATTTCTTTCCTTCGAATGAAGCCCGTATCCGATGCGATAGGGGAGGTCGCGAATTGGTCGGCATCCTTCTTGTACCCTCTCCTCGTGATTTTTCTTTCCTGAGACTACCAGAAGTACCAGCGGAAGGTTGAAGATTAACTGGCATTGGAAAAATTAAACAAATAGTAAAACGAACGAAATAGACTTAAAGATGAACACTTGAGACGATGTACGTTCAAGAAATAATAATATTAGAGAGCTGCCTTACTACTAATCTTACCTCTTTACCATGTCCCCAGTCCGCATATATATCAATTTGGGCACTTGAAATATATAAAACATGGTTGTATAGCACAAATGGTTGTTAATTCATGCGTAGTTTAACGTTGAGCTGAATACTAAGTGGTTGAAAGGAGGTGAGAGAAGTAAGAGCAAATAATGTGTTGTTTTCGAGTGGAGTCGAATCAATGAATGATGTTTCTTTAGGCGCTCTCGCTTTACCCAAGTTACCTTTGCAGTGCTCTTGGTACTTCACCGGGAACTGGGGTGCAGCCCAATGCCGGCCTTCTCCCCTCGAGCGATCATCCCTTCATCTGATGCCGTACACGTATTACTATTAAGGTTGCGATTAGACGTTGGCAAAATGTATTGTTATGAAAAGTTCGGATTAAGAAAAACTTGATTGATCAATGAAAGCAGTCAATAAATCAAAGAGCGATGAGGGGTATCCAGTAGTTCCAAAAATGACCTCTAAATTCCTAAGTAGACGATTAGGTCTGTTTATCTAATTCTGATGGAGGGGAGGAAGGGAGGGGTTACGTTTGTAGGAAAAATTCCCAGCCATTGGCAGCTAAAGCAACTTCAAATTGTTCCAAAGACCTAACATCGTCACGACAGCTAAGGTGTAGATGTAAAATGACTGATTACCCAAATAGAAAATACGAAGTAGGACTTGCATGTCATTTTAGCTTCCGTTGCTGTTGCTTGTTGTTCGGCTGGTGAAGAATAAATAAATGAATGGCAATCAAGCTCCAACCTTGTTTTGTGCTTCGCTGGAAGAGGTATCTGCAAAGTATTCATTCATTGATACTCTCATAGGGCTTACCAAGGGTATCTTAGTTGGGAATCTGATACAAGGTTAACAAATTACTTCTTCCACTCTGGAATAGGATCTTGTCTCGAACTTGTGTGGGATGGTTCAGGGGTTATCGTCTAAACCAAAACGTCTAATTGAATTCAATGCCTCCTTCCACAAATATCTTTTCCACTTCGTCATGACCGAGACCTTTGCCATGTGTTCATCAAATCTTCATAAATTTGATGAATACCTGCAGAGGATTACTTACGGGTAGTCTTGGGTAGTAAGACCACGAATATATCCGGATTACAACATAAGATGATATCCAATACTTTTCATCATTCTCACTATCATGCTCGTAAATCACAATCGTTCATACTATCATATGACCCTTCTTTCCACCCTGAGTATTCTCCGATATTATCAGACTATTATTCTCAGGAAAGTACAACACAGCATGTCAGATGTTGATATGTACGGTACCACAACACGAAAAATGTTCAACCAAGATACATATTTCCACTGCCCCGAATGTCCCTTCCCCCCCCCCTCCTATCCGAAACTCGGTAATATCTTATGCCGATGGCCGACCAACTTGATTTTGGCTTGATTTTGGCCTGCCTCGGCTTAAATATGGAAAGCGCGGTACTAGTATAGCTCCCTCTTGACGATCACAAGCTTCATTTCATAACATTCCCCTCCAATAAACATTCCTTTCGCAGATAGATTTTCTCACAATCCCTCAAATTTTCCTTCCTTACCCTTCTCCCAACCATGTCTCCCACTTCTACCTCAACAGGCGCTCAAATAAATCAAAAGATTGACACCATCAACCCTAATCTGCCCCACGTCCCTGAATCTAAAGCCGAATTAAAACAAGACGCCGAAATTGTTGTTCAAAAATCATTCGCAGGTTTACGGTCACTGGCTGCTGGGGGTTTCGGTGGTGTTTGTGCAGTTATTGTCGGTCATCCTTTTGATTTGGTCAAAGTCCGTCTACAAACTGCGGAAAGAGGGGTTTATAAAGGTGCTATTGATGTGGTTACGAAATCTGTCGCGAAGGATGGTCTCGCGAGGGGTTTATATGCGGGTGTGAGTGCGCCGCTGGTGGGTGTCACTCCTATGTGTATGTTTTCTCTTCTTTCTTCCTTTTACATTGGTTATTCTTATCTTTGCTTCCATTTCAAAATTCATTGACCACACAACTAATCTTTCTGCTCAACAGTCGCTGTGTCTTTCTGGGGTTTCGATGTCGGCAAGAACCTTGTGCGCAACTTTACCTCCACTGCCCCTCACGAACCCCTCACAATCGCTCAAATTAGTACAGCTGGTTTCTTCTCTGCCATCCCACAAACTATCATTACCGCCCCATTTGAACGTGTCAAGGTTCTCCTACAAATCCAAGGTCAAAAAGAACTTGCGCCGGGGGAAAAACCAAAATACAATGGTGGTGTCGATGTCGTGAAGCAACTGTATAGAGAAGGTGGTATCAAATCAGTCTTCCGAGGATCAGCTGCTACACTAGCAAGAGATGGACCTGGAAGTGCCGCATATTTTGCTACTTACGAATACATTAAGCGTCGTCTAACTCCTATAGACCCTATCACTGGAAAACCGGGGAAGGACATGAGTTTATTGGCAATCACTGGAGCGGGAGCATGCGCAGGTGTAGCAATGTGGATTCCAGTCTTCCCAGTTGATACAGTCAAATCGAGGCTACAGACTATGGAAGGGAAACCAACTGTTGGGGGCGTCATAAAAGGATTATATAGAAATGGAGGATTGAAGGCCTTCTTCCCTGGATTTGGACCAGCATTGGCGAGAGCTGTACCTGCTAACGCGGCAACATTCTTGGGTGTTGAATTGGCGCATCAAGCTATGAACAAGGTGTTCGACTGAGAGGTCCGGAAATACAACCAGTACTCTGAGGGTGGAAAAGCAAACAAAGAGGGGTGACACCGTCGAGGAAAGAGAATAGGGATGAGGGAGGTACTTTGCTACTGCCACGTTGGTAGGGATAGATTTCTTTAATTCTGGCTGGAGGGAAAAGAATTTATAGACTTGAGATACCATACAATTGAACTTATTAAGGAGATCATACCTAGATATGTTCAAACGTTTTCTGGATTTTGATAAGTGAATAGAATTCACATCACATGCATCACTCACTCGACATTCAAATATCGCAGTATAATGAGAATGAATGGAATGGTCGTTGTCGCCTTGTAATTCCGAATTATCTTATATATCTCATGCATACTACCTACTATCGCATTGTAAATATCGTTGATAGTCACGCTTATCGTATGATTGAAATTCAAATTGATTACAAATCATTTAATTTATTTATTCGTCTTCACTCTCACTCCCATCAAAACTATCAACGACATTCCAATGAGTCTTACTCGGCCGCAGTGATTTTACAATTCTCTGGTAAGCTCTTCTAACCTCATAATGTTTTCTCCTGTAACATATGTGCTTATACAGAACCCTCTCTAGGCCAAATCTTGACCATGTTTCTAAACACCTTCGTCCTATGCGATTCCATCCTTGAAACCTGAACGAGTTTTATGCGTAACTTATATATCCTCTTAATATACATGTTCACTGTATTTGCTATATCCATATTGAAGACTCACCGATGACCCGAACCCTTGCTCAAAGGTCCTTCATTCGAAGAAGAGCCCCGAATACAAATATTGGCCATTGCGTACCATTTATCCTGAGAGACTCCAGAAACGCTTTTCGATATGTGCCGAGATCGCCATATTCTATTGGCAGAAATGCGGTGGCCCCAGGGAAATCTGAGTATTCCTTGAGGAACTTGAGGAAAGATGAAGAATCGAATACTTCGTCTACAAATACAAACTACGTTCCCATGAGGGAATGGCAGAAATCGAAAGTATGGAACAAAATATTCAGTCCATACTATGACCCCAAAAAGTTTCAACCTTTGCGCCTACTAAGTACTCCTGTGCCGCTCTGGGATATTGCGCCTGGCTGTCTTCTGTTTCTTCCCGGCGTAAGCAAGCTGGACCCTCGGGCCCGCGCAGAACTCGAAAGATATGGCAACATTGGCATGGCTGGCCATCCTGTCGTGGTTTTGGCAGTCGATATGAAAGGTGTAAACGAAGCTTCTGTTGCAGTGGCACTAATCAGATCCTACTCTCAACATAAAGATGAGTGTCGATATCTTGGGTTGGACTGGTTTGATACTAAACACTTCGAGATACAACAGAGGGGCAACCACGACTTACCTCCACGGCTCGAGCACAATATAAAAATCGTACGGCTATACAAAACTCCTTGTTCAAATGCATCGAATTCAGTGCGACAGTTTGTTCAAACAAGCGCCATAATCACTGTTCCTTTCCAATCGTTATTAACGGAAACCAGATGGGACCCATTAACTCATTGGTGGCCTTCATCCTGTCTTAATGGTTGGGGTAGACGTATCATAAAGGAAGATTTTATGCACATCGCTGATAACATTGGTTTCACTCCAGATCCATGGGTTAGCAGTGGTCCATACATGTGGAAGGATTTTGTCCAGAAGACTGGGATCAACACATTTGGTCTTGATATTGAGGATCCCGTGCTATACGACGAGAAAGCCTTTTACCAGCAAATGTGGGAGGAGGGACGAGAGAAGTATAACAAGCACTTCAAATTACCTTCAAATTACTCTTCGAGCGCCAATGATTATTCGCCTTTGGGGTGGGCTTTCGATCGTATGCCCCATACAGGGCTCATACGCAGGAGAGTTCACGCTGTAAGGTCTTCGACTTATAAAAGATTTCGCCTCGATATTCCAGCTACACTCCATACCTCCCATCCCTCTACTCAAGTTTAACTCCAATAGTCTCCATCTTGCTCTTACACCCAGCCGTGGGGAACTCACGAATGTATCATAACTGTACAACTTTCAGAAACTGTCTCTTAACACATCGCATCTATTATTTTGTCGTCTCATCTTTCGTTTCCAAGAACCACTTCGGTTGGATGTGTCGCGGAACAAATGTGAAGGTGTGATGTATGTGGTAATTTCCATTTGTTACTCAATCTCATTGCCGAATGCATTGCCAAAAACTTCTCATTACATTTGCTTAGCCATGCATTATATTGCTGATACTTTGTCGAGATTGACGCTGTATTTTCAGTTCTGTGGTTGCCATGAGCGAATTTGAAAGGTACGTGGCTTATGGTACAGGTGTGTATTTCACGCTGTCCCGATCTCTTCATCTTGGCACTTTTCTCTTGTTTCCTTGCCTCTTCAGCCCTGTCTACCATTTTTTGGGCTTTCAAAATTCTTTAGAAGTTCGCCTATATTATTAGATGAATGGTGACGAGTCCCATTGCATCGGGCTTATCCTATAGTGTACAATATTGTTGAAGTCAATTTCTATACTACGGGTACATCGCTGTTCCCCGTCTCATTCTATAATCCAGTGATCAGTTCAAGAGCACAAACATAACTCTAAGCCAATCTACAACAGTATGAAACAAAGAGGCGGATAGAAAAAGTGAGACGACATGTTTATATCATAATGGTCTTGAATATACTACTGTACTTCCTCGATCTTTGCACGTCATGTTTGTTTTCGGCTTGAGATAAAAATATACCTAAGAGATGTATCACGTCCGCAAGCAGTTTTTGAATGCAAATTTAAATCGAGTGAGCCATAATATCCCCTGAATAAACTATGCAATGAGGCATACTAGTTAAAAACTCAGAACCGGGATTTCAAATTCATTCTAACTACATATCGGAAACGTTGCAGTATCAGATGACCACAAGCCAGTGCCGAGATTTTGCAAAGTAATGATCTATCAGATGCCGATGGTGCTTATATGTTTATCGGATGTACATTATATTCGTCTGTCATTCCTGGACTTGAAAGCGCTTGTTTTGGGTCGTGGAAACTTTCATACTGTCAGGTCTATAGGGGTCTCAGCCTCAAATCCTACCAAAGTGGGCGGGAGCGGGAGGAGGCACTTTGTATTTATCAGAGAGCTGCAGAAGACGAGGAATTTGTTATACACATGTAAACATACGAATTTGTACTATCAGATGAATATTTTTTCCGTCAGGAACTTGTATGCTTGTCCTTCATCGTATCATATTGGTAGCTATTTGTGGTTTCAAATTGATCTTATGTGAGCACTTTTGTGTTTTAGAGTTGATACTGGAATCGATGTTGGATGAAGATTGGAGATGCATTGTTCAGTTATATGTTTTTTATATGGAGGTTGAATGATGTTTCTTATAAGGTTGTGATTTAATAATTCCAATTTTATCTGCAATACTGTATGCATATACTGTTTAGATGAACAGGCTATGAAGATCACAATGTGCATGCATTATATGACAAAAGAGGGGCCGTAGTAGAGCCTTTCAAAATTCGAATGTTGAAAACTGCTGTAGACGACGCGGATTCTATCACTGACTCTGCGATTGGAAGTCATTTCCGTTCAATTTTGTGAAGAGGAGATGGCTTAAGTCAAGAGTTCAAATGCAGAAAGAAGCATATAGCAATGAAAATCTTTTTTTATCTTTCATCCGTACAAGCCACCGCAAACCACCACAAACTACACTTACTCACACTGCCGCATACACCATTCAACAAACAAGCCCCCAGGAATGAGATCTCACACTCCCTCAAAACTCCATCTAATCCTTCCAAAACCTCACTGCATAATCACACAACTCACTACTCCCCTCGAACGTACTTTCCCTCACCGCACTTCCCGTATGCGGCGCGTTGACCATCCAATTGCTGCGCATAAAGATACCCACATGATGAACTTTATTCACACAATCACCATTTGTGCCCCAGAAGATAAAATCGCCTGCTTTGGCCTGGGCGCGAGGAATGCGTTTTCCGAGGGATGAGTGATATTGGAGTTGAGCTGTGCGAGCTGGGGGTGGAGTGTTAGTTCAGAGGGGGGACCGAGAATTAAGAGAGGACGTACGAATGGTATATCCTTCTGCTTTGCAGATCGCGTATTGTGTTAGTCCTGTTTTTGTATCGTTAGTTCATCTTACAGATCTTCACATACAGATAACGTGAGAATTCTCAATTCACATACCCGAACAATCAAACCCTCCGTTTGATTCCCCTTTACATCCGCCCCCGCCAAAAACATACGTCACCCCCTCCTTCGCAACCGCCGCCTGCACCACATATTTCCCACTCGCGCTCCCCTTCTCCGCATCTTCTTTATCGATCGTATCGCGATCCTTCACACAACATTGCACCCCGTTATTTCCGGGACAGAAACCCGCGATGAATGATCCGCCAACACAACCATCAGCAGTATTGAGACAGAGTCCTGCAGCGCCGGTAGAGGGCTGACAGGTTTTGGAGATGCAGCATTGTGTGGTGCTTGGGCCGGGACAGTAGCCTGCGATGTTGAAGCCGTTGGTGGTGCAGGTGGAGGTGGATTGACAGGTTCCGGTTCCTTCCTAGTGGGGGTTAGTTGAGTGTTGGGGAATGGATGGGGGAATGGTATTTGTGTGGGTGTTTGGGATGGTGTTTGGGGAGGAAGGTTGTGAGGGAGGAGATGATAAGGTGGACGTACAGGTGCAGTGCAAGACGTGCCTTTTTCCTCCAGAACTGGGACGGCCAAGACGGGAGAAGAAAGATAAAGGAATGTGATGAGAGACCTGAGTTGGACTTGAAAAAGCATTTTGGATGAATGTTTACCCTTGGAGAGAGTACAAGTAGTATTAAAAAAACAGATGAACAAATGAATGAATGATTGAGAAAAAAAGAATAGTGAACAAAATCTTCCCTACTCAACTTATGATAATCACGAAGAGCTATATATCCTCATCCCCATCCTCATCTACACCCTCGCCCTCGCCCTCAACCACACTTAAACCTCTATACAATCTCAAGATATCCCTCACCCTCCTCAAAGGATGCAAAAACACTCAGCCTCGCGCACGCGGTACGCCATCATCATATCGCACAAAGAATCTTACCTAGTAAATACTCCTCGAAATTTCCACAACGGATGGAGTATCCCAAGTTCCAAAACAGCTGTGATTATTTATCTTATGTAGAAGGTGGGTAGGTGGTACAGCTTAGAATTTAGAGCTTTGTTAAGTTTGTTAAGTATATATATGTGTATGTATGTAATCTTACCTTATGTAGGTATCTATGTAATAATCCCCAGTCTATCTTAAGTACACGCCCAAGAATTCTTAATCCGATTTAACCCAATTCAATTCATTCCATCTCCATCTCCATGCCCCAAAAATCCAAATCCTCAAAATTCAACACACAATGCCCTTTTCCCCCTCCCCCTTACCGACTATACAGACCAACTACTATACTCAATCCACAACATAACCATATACATAAATCAAAACACCCAATCTCTCTGTGTCTGAAAAAGTACCCCTAAATCTTCAAAGCTCACTGCTACGTCCCCGCCTGCGATCCTACCGACCCCAGATTTCACAATTCCCGCTACATACCACACGCCACGTACCACATAATACTAATACGAATGATAATATTCAGCTGCCAAGACCAATGAAATTACAGATAGGCACCCGTGAATCCTTCGTTCCCTATGTCCAGTGACCGCTGTCTTCACCGACCGAATGTAATGCGGTATATGTATAGAGTACTAAACCAGCTGTGCTAAACATCTCATTGAAATCTGGAAAATTTCGACGGACATGTGGCATTACTCAACCATAAAAAAAGAAAAGAAGAAAAAAAGAACCGTGTGTGCAATTTGATTTAATTTATCTATTTAAGAATTCCTCAACTATTCCTTTCTTCCAGGCTCGTGAATATACACGTCATGTGAGATTAATAACGCCATTTTACATCCATCCCAACCCAACCCGTCGTCCATCGATCGATAAATCAACCTACTCATTTTAGATTCTTCCTCTCAATATCTAAGCGATACCACCTTCCTGTCCTTCGATTCCACCCATACCACCCATTTGTACTTCCGATCCACCAGTCTCCTCGCCCTTCTCAATTTTTTCGGCTTTAACATCCACACCTCTATTAGCTACCTGCTCTACACCCGCAACCAAGGTATCGTAAGGTCCCTCTCTAATTTGTACATCTCCATCTCTCTGGTCGCCTTTCTTTACTGCTGTGGCAGCCGCACCCTCTAATCCACCATCAACATCAGCCTTGATCTCTCCATTCTCAACCTTGAATCCTGGAGCTACCTCCGTCTTGCTTTCTCCTTCCTTCTTGAGCTCCGCTTCCCTCTGAGCTCCCACTGAATTATTAACCAAAGGCGTGGTATCATTGAAAATTCTCAATAACATGGCACTTCTGTCCTCCTTTGCCAACATCAAATTAAGCGAATGCATACTTCTCCACAAAGGAAGAACCATTCTCTCGGTGAAAGCATCTTCGCCTTCACCTGGTTCAATTCTCAAAACACAACATCCCATTCCGATATCTCTTACTCGTTCTCCAATCTCTCCAAGTTCCTTCCACGAATCGCCTGATACTTTAGGAAACATCTCAATTAAGAGAGTTCGAAGAGTCTCTTTCTTGGACAAATTGACAACTCTTCCTTCTCCAACATAACCTTGAAGAATTGGCATACCTTCAGATTGAATACGCCATCTGCAAACACCTTCGCCTTGTACATCTTGTTTCATGAACATCTTGACACCAGCATGGACGAACTTTATTCCCTTTCCTTCATTCTCGCTCAAGATATCTCTAATCAACGCAGTTGTGTAGTAAATGGTCTTGGCTGGTTCACCAGTTGCATTTCTAACCAAGAATCTGTCTCTTGGGAACTTCTCACTCAACTTGTAGAACGATTCAATATCTTGAACTTGAGGATGGTCACCAGGAATATATTTGAATGCCTCTTCAAATGCTTGATTCTGGCCGTACTTGTTAAGAAGTTTCTTTGGTGGAGCATCGGCTCGTAGATCGCCTGGACGAGTTGTGAGGTCTAGCTCTGCACCTGGTGGTGGTGGGTAATGTTCTGTACGACCCTCGGTGGGTGCATGGATTTCGGTATCTTCCGTTTTTAATTTCTTGTTCTCAATAGCGGCATCCATTTCGGTGTCTTCGATCTCTGAGGCAGGACGCTTAGAACCAATGATGTGTGTTGCATCAGACCCAGTTTGTTCCTGGTTTTGACGTGCTGCGGGTGTGAGTTCATCGAGAGTAGATGTGGTGGGATGAGTAAGTTCATCAGCTGCCTCAATTTTCGGTGCGACAGTCTCACCATCCTTTGGAGGAGGAGCAGACTCGATCTCATCAACAATTGCTGTGATGGGAGGTTTTGGTGCAATCTTTTTATTTTCCGATTCTGGCTTTGCCTTGAATTCTGCTTGTTTCTCCAAAATTGTGATGAAGAAACCACCAGTATCTTGCAAATGTGCGTAAACGCGCATGCATTGATCCAAAGGAACACTTGACATAGATTCATCAGTTGGTGGAAACATCCCCTCAACCAATCTACCAGTCCAGTCATCTTGTCCATTTTCCGCAATGAATTTTTGTAATTCAGCCCAGGATTTCCAAACACGACCTTTCTTATCCATGACGGTCCAAGTCCTCAAACCTGGTCTTCTCTTGAGTAAAGGTAATTGATCATCGCTAGATACCAATTTGACCTTCTCGGGTCCACCACATCTTTCAATGGCAGAAGCAACGACTGCCTCGTTCTCAATAGGATTCATACTACATGTAGAGTAGACAACACGTCCACCAACCTTGAGCATTTGAAGAGCTCTAACCAAAATGCGAACCTGTGTGACGTAAAGTCCAAGTGCATTACCAGGATTCCAATCCTTCCACAAATTGACATTCTTTCTGGTTGTACCATCTCCAGAGCAAGGTACATCGGCCAAAATTCGATCGAATTTGAGGTATCGGTTGGTCGCGGGGTTTTCTGGCGTAGGTGGAAGTTTGATTGATGGAAACATAGTAGCATCATGATTGGTGACGATAAGATTGGGGGATGAAAGTCGTTTAAGTTGATGAATCAACATGTGACTTCTTTTGTAGTCGGCATCATTGGCGATCAATAAACCTGTAGCTCTTCCATCATCACTTGGATCAAGCTCCAATTCTGCGTCTGCGCTTCCGTCTCCTTTCAAGACTGCTTGAACTCTGGTTTCCTCTCCATGGTGTACCATTTCCAACAACTGAGCTGCCTTGCTTCCTGGCGCAGCACACATATCCAAAACTGTCATTCCAGGTTTCAAGTCCATAACCAAAGGTGGAATCATGCTGACAATCTCCTGTCTACTAATATTTCCGACGCTGGTTTCTGAAACCAAGAATTTCTGGAATTTGGCAAAGGGGGGAGATTTTCGGATGACAGTTTTCGATGTCTTCATCGACCATGCGAGCTCATCGGGATACCATGGAACTGGCATCGGAGGTTCAACTGGACTGCCATCGAATTGCTTGATTTCCGAAATTTCGGGAATGTACCGTTCTTTTAATTGCTTTTGAACCGCAATTGCATGACTATAAATTGTTAGAAAAGGGTAGCAGGCCAAAAGTACTGGTTTAAAGAAGTTATAATCAAAGCAATCGAGTAACATACCCTTTTGACCCCGCAAATCGAAAACTATTTGGTAATTCTCTCTTCAACGCTCCCCAGAACTCTTCTTTCTCTGCCTCTTCCAAATTCAAAAGTTCGTTGTAATATCTCTCGAATTTTTCGTTGGATTTTGGAACTTTCTCAAAGCTGCATCGAGTGTCGACTTGATTGTCTCTTGATCTTCCACCATTTCTACCACCTCGTCCTCCTCTGCCGCCACGACCTCCCTGTTAAACATTAGATATTTTGATTATGTCAATTGAAAAATGAAAGTTGAAAGCTTACCTTTCCACGTTGACCCATTTTCAATTAATTGGGTTGATTGAAAATTGGATTTATGGAAATTATTGAATTTGCGCAAAATCAAGCCATGTCTTTCAGTCGCAAATGATGATAAAAATTAAATGCTGCAGGTCTACCGGAACAACTGATAATCCGAACATCCGAGATCACCCCTAGTGACGAACCAATTATATACTTGGATATTATTCACAGGAACTCTTTGGTCATCTAAGTAGTAAAGTTGATAATTCCTTGGTATTTGGTCAGAAGATAGATAGACAGATACTTGTCATGGTATTTGAGGCTGTCTTGCAATCAAACTCATATTCAAACAAGTTCTTCATCTTACATTCACATATTTTGGCTCCATCTAATCACAGAGCAATTCATACAGTCAATTCATCTCATCCTGAACCAGAGAGTCCAGAATCAGGACTATATCATAACAACAATTTTACACTATGGTAGAATCACCCAATATAGCAAAACTTACATGAACAAGATAACAAGAAATCCATTTAAAAATACAGAGCAAACATGGATCTTCCTATCAAATCACGTTCTCAACACTTTTCAACGCTCTATCACAATCGATAAAGAGAACCAAAGAAGAAAGAAGAGGGAGGGGGCAGTGGTACTGGTGAACTAGAAGATTAGTGTCCATACATAATCAACTATCTCTTTTCGACGTGGTTTCAAGAAGAATCATGACCTGGACAGAGGTGAGGACTGCACTTTGGATGTGACTGAAGCGGAAATAAGTGGTCAACAATTATTTACAGACTGGTGAATCATTAAGACTAGAAGACGAGAGTGAGAGCAGGGAAATCTCAACGAGGTTGAGGGTTTTAGGATGTTTGTATCTCACACCTCCAGAGAATCTATAACAGAGACAATATTGATAATAAGCCCTTAGTCCAGCTCGGGGATGGCTAGAAGGGAAGTTCTTATAAGCTTGTCAAAGAGTGAGCCTAATTTCTTAAAACTGTAGTATAGATCTTATTGTAAAGCTCTGAAACTATCAGAAATATACAGAACAAGAAATTTAATAACAAATTTCGTGTCCAAAGGTGATGCCCCCAGGAAAGCCAAAATAGACAATCTCATCCTCAATCTCTCTTCCATCCTATTACGCCTTCCCCAAATATGCAATTTTCCCAATAAACTCCCTAGTTATTAACACCAAATCATCTTTCCAGCTCCATTATACGCACAATCTGTAACTGGCATAACGGCCAGCAGTTTCCGACTTTCTGATGATCTTGACGACCTGTCCTCTTCTCAATCCTAGATACTTCGCGACTGGATCGGCAGCTTGAATACGTGGAAGTTGAGTATCCTTCAATCTATATCTTGACAACAGCTTGGCCCGCTCTTCTCTACTCAATAAAACATGCTTGGGAACCAACTCATGATGTGTAATATTGACGAGTAAATCTTGCTCGACAAAAGTCTCGATTCTGGTTTCGGATGCGACAGCGGGAATAATCTTTTGAGCGGGACCTGATGGTGCAACAGGTGCGATGAGAATTCCAGCCGAGAAGTTGTGTTGAGAAAGATGCTGAGCGAATGTTCGCATTTGTTTAATGCCAATGGAAACATCAGTTACCATGAGAAACTCAACCCAAATAGTACCAATTTCTGAGGTAGTTGGGTTTGGGTTCTCTGCGGTTGGCGCAACAGCGTATTTGGCAATCATAGCTTCACTTGGGGTCGCGGAGAAATTCATTTGGCGACGACTAAAGAGATGAATCGTTAGTCATAAGATTAGAGAAGGCATTTCATGCCAGGCGGAGATAGAAAAGCCAGTATGTGTCGAGAAAATTTACTGAGATGAGAAAGAAAAGGGCGCATACTCAACACTTCCATCATTACTGGTGAACTTGCTCTTAAATGTATCAAAGCTCATGTTGACTTCCTCTTCAGCGAGAAGATAACCCCGATCCTGGACCATCTCGTGTACAGTTCTATAACATCTCCAAAGCTTTGCGGCCTCCCTATCAATTCCATCTCGTTGCTTTTGCGCGCGATCTTCGTCGTCAGCCATTTTGAAGATTTAGTTAATGGGATGAAGAAGAAAGAAGGATTAAATTGCAAGGTCCCAAGATGATCGCGCAAAGAAGAAGAATCTCGTCCTACAAGAACTCCTGGAATGAGACAGAAGGGGATTGTGGGAAGTTGATTGTGGATTGACTTGTTGATGGAAGTTCAGATTCAGTCAAGGGCCCTTTGTAAATATTTTGACGCTAGTGGCTCAAAAAAAGTTCAAGCAGAGATGAACTGCGAATGTTTGGGAAAGTCACATGATGCCTGAGGCTGATTGAGGCTGATTTACACCGACTTACCGACTTGCCGAGTGGCTTGTTAGACTCTAGTTAGTAACTGTACTGTCTAGATTGTCTCAACTAATCTTTGAACTTTGATCAGTCGAGATTGAGTCTTACTTGCTGATGGAATTGGTTATGTGATTCCTTTGGGTGATTTTCTAGAGTATTGAAGTCGATATCCAGAAGGCGTCTTCTTCTTCTTCTTCTTCTTCTTCTTCTGGTATCAGTTCACTCAATTTACCCATTTCTTCCCCTTGACAAGACCCAGATTCCGTTGACTATTTGCTCAGTAGGTATACATCCTCGAGTTATTAGCTTTGTCTGGTAGACAAGCTTGAAGACGTCAATCAGGCAATCAGACAATAAGACCTAGACAACCAGACAATAAGACCTAGACAACCAGACAACTATTACCTTCAAGGTCACCGTACTGTCCTCAATTGCTTCTATGCTTATCCGAAGGAGCTGTACAAGGTAGGATAATACTAATTCCTGACTAATCCTTCCCCCAATCTGACTTCACAGTTAATGCAATACACACATACAATCAATAATACAGCCAATACAGCTAATACAGCCAATAGAACCCCGAGAGCCAATTAAAAGCTTACCTGTCATCCCACAACTTAAAAAAAAGAATAATTTACTAATATAAATCTTTCCCTTAACCTTGTCGAACTAATAACTTATAAACTGTCTACCGGAATACCCTCTACCTTTTTCTTATATTTATACTTAGTTTCTATAAGTACAGATAAATTACTGTGTCCTTTTCCTCAAAGCGTCATATTCTTTTTTTTCTTTTGATGTCAAGTTAATTGAGCATTTACTTGTTCATTACATTTCCAGTAGCTTGTCAAAATCCCACCAAAAAAAATATGGCTGATACCAAATCCTCTCCTGCTGCGACCAAGGTCGATGAGGGAGCCAAGAAAGAAGTTCAAACCAGACCAGTCAAGCCAGATGAGGCTGCATTCAAGGCAAAGTTAGCTCAAGCCGAGAAAGATCATAAGTTGAGTCAAGAAAAGGCTGTAAGTAAAAAATCTACACTGTTTCTTTGGGCGCATCGGCATACTGCATTGCATTGTTCATTACCAGATATCTAACATGAGTTCATGCAGGCTGCCGCAAAAGCAAAATTGGACGTTGCGCAACCAAATAAGAACAAGGACTCTCCAGCTGCTAAACGAAGAAACGATTTAATCAGTCAATTGAAGGAAATCAAGGAACAACAAGGTGCTGGAAAGGCTGGTCGTTTACAAGTTTTTGATCAAATCAAGAAGATTGATGAGCAAATCAAGGCCAAGGTTAACGAACAGAAGGTTGCCAAGGGAAAGGTTGGATTCAAGAATGTCGATGAATTGGACAGAGAAATCGACAGATTACAAAAGCAAGTTGATGCTGCTACCATGAAGATTGTTGATGAGCGCAAGACTCTTACCGAAATCTCCAACCTTCGCAAGCAACGTAAGGGATTTGCTGGATTCGATGATACTGAAAAGTCAATTGAAGCATTAAAGGCCAAGAGAAAGAATCTCCAGGACTCCCTCGACGATCCAGAAAGCAAGGCATTATCCGAGAAATACTCAAAGCTTCAAGGTGAATTGGATATCTTGAAGGCCGAGCAAGACGATGCTTTCAAGAACTTTGGTACCCTCAAGGCCGAGAAGGATAGACTCCAAGCTGAGCAACAAGAGAAATGGCTCGCTTTGAGACAGATCAAGGATGATCACTACCAAGCCGTTCGAGCTGCTAGTAACTACGATTACAACCAACGTCAAAAGGCTCGCGAGAGATCAAAGCTTGAGTGGGAGAAGAAACAAACTGAGGCAAAGAAGGAACGTGCTCAAAAGATGCTCGCAGAGGCCAGTGACCCTGCCTACCTTGACGAAATTAGAAACGCCGAATCAGTTCTCCGATATCTCGACCCAACTTACACCACAACCAAGGCACCTTTACAAGCTCCTTCTGGTCTTGAAGCCGCCACTGGACGTACTGTTGATGATTCTGGACTCAAGGGAACTAGAGTCTTGAAGAAGGAAGACCGCGAGGAAGATTTCATGAAGGGAACCGGAGGCAAGAAGGGAAAGAAGGGTAACAAGAAAAATGCTGCAGCTACTTCTACCCCTGCCCCAACAAAATACAGTTGCCCACCAGCTGTTATGGAGGATCTCACTAAGATGGGAATTGACCCACCTTTCAGCGCTGCTGACGTTCCAGCTGTTACCGAGAAAGTCAAGGCCAAGTTGGCTCACTGGAAAGAGGACCAAGCTGCTCAAACCAAGCGAGTAAGTTTTCTTTCACTAACCACTTTACATTAAACTAACGACCGCACTAGAACATCGAGAAAGCTCAAAAGGAAGTTGAGAAACTTGAAGCCGAAGAATCAGGAGCTGCCACTCCAGCTTCAGAAACCCCAGCTACTAACGGACATGGTCATGGCGAAACTAAGGCTACTGCTGGTGCAGATGAGGGTGGATCTGTAGCAAACCAAGTCGAATTGATCAAGGAGGGTGAAAAAGATGCAGCTGCTGATGCAACTGCTGCCGCTAAGGAGGATGCTGAGGAAACTTCTTAGATTACCTACTTATCGTATTATATCACTGCACGTAAATGTATGAGGGGTGGCAAGGGGTTAGGGTCTGGAGGGGGCAAGGAAACGTACACAGGTCCGATCTAATGAACTTGATGGCCTAATGCATGGATGAATGAGTGGATGAATGGTTAAGGATAGACGGAAGTTGTTGATACGAAGCAAACCTAAAATTCGTTACATCAATATTTTAATCTTTTCCTCATTACCTTGCTTACATAATTCTTTGCTCTGATTTGTTGTTGTTTGTTTCTTATTCAATTTAATGTCTAATTTATATCTATATGCATCTATATCTAAATACCTGGTACATAATCAAACTCGAACTCTAACTCCAGTTGCAACAATCATATAAGATCTCATGAGATAGAATAAGATAAAATAGACTGGAATTCGGTAAAGTAAGTAAGTATGTGTATAAACAATATACTATATCGTGCTACACAGTACAATATTATCATTCTACTCTCTCGTGACTTTTGCTTTCTTACTTTCTTGCTTTCTTTAGAGGTCACCTGATGAGCGGGAATCTAGACTGGGATTTACGTTGGATGCAGAGCTAAATATACAGAGAAGAAGGGTTGTTGGAAATTTAGTTGAGGGATGAGGAAGGGAGGGAAGGGGGAGGTAGGAAGTAGGAAGTAAGGATCAGACAAAAAGAGTAAGAGGACGAGAATGAGACAGATGGAGAGATTTTTATTTTGTCTTGCTGTCTTTTCGTTTTGGTGTTGTATAGTTGGTTGGATGACTGCACAGGAGTGAAAAGAAAAGTTGAAAGCATAAGGAGATTGGGAGATGGGAGATGGGGATGTGAAGGAATGTGGGCTGGCTGGATGAGTATGCAACGGATGGAAGAATGGATGGATGGAACTATCTATGGATATGGCTATAAGAGTGGATATGAATGTGGATATGAATATAGATGTGTGTATGATTAATACAAAAAGCTTGTTGTTGACGGCAGTTGATCTGATCTAGGGAGTCGGACTATGCGATATGTCTCCAATTTTGTGTTTGTGTTTTATGTGTGATAGTATAGAGCAAGAGTCAAGTGCGTGAGAGAGGCTTGAGAAGAAAGAATAGATAAGAAAGTAGAGAGGAAAGAGGGGATGATATACAGAAGGATAGAGAATCTATCTGCGAAAAAAAACTTGACATCGATCAACGGATAATTAGTCCACAAATTATGGAAATTAGGGTAGAAGAGAATAGGAGTTACAGATCTATGGGTGGAGAAATCATACTATGTAGGTGAGAAGTTGTTGATGTGTTTTATCTACTCTGGGGTGGTAAGGTAAGGCAAGAATTTCTACTTCATTTTTAATAGCTGAGAGTTGTTTATCGGTAGCTAGGTAGGTAGACAAGTAGCTCAACGAGCTGCTACCAACAAGATCCACGAGACCTTGAACACTCTGAGACACAGCCAGAAGAAGAGATGAACTAAACGAAGCAAGTGATAGAGTACAATGTACATAATATCAATCATGCTTTCTGCTTCCTGCTTCCTGCAGCATAGAACTCCACGGGCCCATGCCTAGCTACCTGTCGAAAAGTACTCGTGAGAATACTAAGAACTAAATAATGATGATGTGTTCCCCAAGCTGTTTCAAATAGATTAGCGTTGCCGATTGATAGACAACCCTGTGGAGGTGATCCGGAGAAGTGGATCTAGGATGGAAAGTACATTATTGATGAATGGAGAACGGTGGTAGGATTGACTGGAGCAAAAAGAATAGAGGTAAGAATGGTGGTGTATCTAATTTATGCTGTATTGATGTTTGTCACCTATGAGGGTAGTAGTAAAGAGTCGCCATCTGTGACGTGGCTATTCCGTGATGCGTTCGCGCGTGAGCTGGAGTTACTTTCGCTGTGTAGAATTCGGGAGTGGTTCGACTATCAAAGTATTGGACTATGTATTCGCACGAGAATCTGACACTGCCAGCCAGTACAATATTACTTTTAACAATTCTCATCATTGGTAATATGTACAGGTACGAATGAATGAACGAATACACAAACTAATCCAATCCCACAAGCTTCCTTCCGAATCCATAAAATATCAATCCATCAAGCCAATACGAAATGCATATGAAATGCAAACCACCAAAAAACCGACAAAGATCCACCCTATCCGACCAAGCTCCAAAAGCAGACAGATAACATAACCATGACTGACGCTAATATGCTGGATAGATAGATGATATAATGCCTCGCCTAGAAAGAGATAGATAATTTGCTGCAACTAGATAGAAATGAATGCACCAAAGCAGAAAAGCCAGACCCGTACCGATGTTTTCGTCGTAAGTTTCATAGAAGGTTCGTGGAGACGTATCGCGTCATGTTATGTTGTAGTCGTAATGATTGTGAGAAGTGTGAAATCGTGATGAGATGAGTTGAGATGAGTTGAGATGAGTTGAGATGAGTTGAGATGAGTTGTATAATCTGATGGGTGATGAGATAAAATGATATAATTGTATTGAGGTGTAATGTAATATCCAACAGAGTGTATTCCGAATTGGTGAGATGGTATGTACAAATGAGATAAACAGACTTGATAACCTGAGGATAATAAGACGTTGAGATAAACTTTCGACTAAAATTCAGGAATCCATGATGATCATCCGCTTGAAACCAGGAGATGATGCCAGAGTGGCTATGCTAGCTAGGCCTGACTTTTGGCCTCGATAACTTCAGCTGTGCCTGGCATCATTAATCCCTACCCATGGAATTGTGGTAGTCATACACGCACAGCCGAAGTCATCTGTTCTTTCTTCAATCTTGTTTTCTCTCCTCCTTTTGAAAGCTAATCATCATCAATCTCAATAAGGATTAACATATGCATATCCTGGCGTAGGAGCATATGCAGGAGCTGCCCTCGAGTTTCTATGTGGATTATGTGCAGGCGCCATGTGTGGACCTCCTGGTGGCGGCGGTGCAGTCATCGGTCTATTTCTTCCTTCAGCCCTCATACTATCTCTTCTCTGTCTCTCGACATGTCTTTCTCTGTCATTAGCTGGCGTGCCAATCCTCCTCTGTTCTCTCCTCCTATCTCTTTCCCTTTCTTCTCCTCCATCTGATACAGCAGGTGTTGATCCTCTTGGTGGACCAGGTTCACTTAATCTGACTTTCCTTCCGCCGCCACCACCCAATGCTGATAAAGGTGGGTCACGAACACCAGGTTCTTCATCGCTGGGTAAAGTTAATTCAACTAAACTGAAGAAATACTCGAGGACTTCCGGGTAGCGTTGTACGCTTGCGCGCCAATCTTCATCAATGCCGCGTTTGAGCTCTGAATCGGCTGCTGCGATTTCAGATGGGTGTGGACGTGCGTTGTAGTAGTAAGCTGCTCGTTCAGTTATGCGGTGGATTTGGGCGGCATGTTCGTCTTTACGGCGAGTGGTGAGAACACTGAAGTAGGAGAGGATGTAATCTTGTGCGTGGCCACGGACCCATGTTCTATTTGGAGGATGAGTTAATGGGTGAACCAGAGGTGAATCATTGATCCATATGGATGTTGTGGGAAGACGATGATGTAGGGCATGAACCGGAGGGGTATGAGATGATGGACGAGGGGTGAAGGAGACAAGAGACGGTACCTTATATCGTTATAAACACTAGTCATCATTCTCTGTTCAGCCTGCCTCACAGCGACGGTAAGGCCATTGGCTTCGCACTCGCATTTTGCGATAGCTGGCTGAGAACATATGGCGCAATCGGGATCCATGATCTTGAGGTTCTTGTTGTTTCTGGCGTTCTTGATTAACATTATGAAGGGGTATCATCTGGTTTGGGTGAGGGGCAATAGACAAGTAAAGGGATCAATGTTCAAGTGAAGATAAGTGAAAGGAAACAGATGAGCGAGGGGGATTGAGGCTCAAAGAGGAGAAGGTATATGTGTATGGATGAAGAAAGAAAGAGGAGTAAATGTTTGGTATCAGAGAAATGGGAGGCAATTGAAAGAATGGACGGGGGAAGATGATCCCATGGTATATGATGGGTTGAGAATATGGGGACGAACAGTGTTGTATCCTACTGTATGTATGTGTGTATGTATGTAGGTATTGTAATAGGTATAGGTCGCTTGACTGACAAGACGGAAGTCGAGATCTTGGGGGAATGGGGATACCTATCCAAATATCGTATCCTCTGGCTCGCTGGCTTGCTTTGCAGTGCAGTTCGTGTGGGGTAAGTGTAGGGAAAATGATATTCGAATCAATTGAAGTGATCTCAAAGTTAAACTAACCTTTGTAAGTGTATTCCCCTCTAGAGCTCCCCTCTTCAATTTGATGCAGCGAGTCCGGATCGTAGTGTACGATCTGAAACGATACTATATTATGCTATGCTTGCTTGCTGGCTCCGGAACTGCAGATTTCCACGGTAGAAAGATCACGCTACGCAAATTTCTGCAACATTCAAAATGAAAAGATTAGAATAATAAAAATGTGAGGTGTTAGGGAAACCAAAACAAAAAAGAGGCCCCACGCTTAACAGTTCTGCTATCGTGAAATCGTAAGATCAGGTAGTAGATGTGTACGACGGGGGAAAGGGTAAGGTATGTGGCATGTATGTACTGAGTGACGGACGGGAGATAGGAAAGGTGGTTATGATTAGATGTGATGGGATAGGAAGAGACGGGTAGTTGGCATGAAAGAACGGGAGTTCTTTTTAGAATTTAGAATTCAGACGACAAGAGACTTTACCGAGATTTGACAACAAAAGATGCTAAACGGGAAGGGCGAGGGTGGAAGAGGAAGCGGAGGAGCAGGAGGAGATTTAGAAAGGGAAAAAAGTGAGATGTCGTTATTAGAGTGATGTGCAAGCTTGTCTGCAAGTTCGGCGTGTCGGTTGATGGTTGTGGTCGTGCGTGTGGTTTCTATTTTTTTGGGTGGGGAAAATTTTGGGTGAGAATCGTGAGGTGCATGAAGACCATGAAGAAAGATATGAAAAAGAGAACTAATTTGCTATCTAGCTACCTGATTTCTTCGTATGGAACCGTATGTATACCTGATACTGATTTAGGTCTACGACATACCGAGCATAATAAACATAATACCACTTACACAAAGAAACACCGTTTGTCCTTTTAACTACCTGATCACCTACCATCTACCTGGAAAAAGATTAACTTGCACCACTTCACACAATCGACGCCCCCAGAAACTACCAACGCAGAGTGGCATATGTGGATCATACGCGAGAGGCGACTCAGGCGAGAGGATACCTTCAAACCTTCAAACCTTCAAAACCCAAGATAAAGTAAGGCATTGATTTGACGATTTGACTACATTTGGTTGATTACATACCAACCCCATACCAACTCCGGGAAAAGAATGCTAGATAAATCATCCTGATTAGTAGTAGGTTGAATCATATATAGTAAGTGCCCTTCAAATAAGCATATCCGTAGGTCAGTAAGGGATCCAAGTGTTAACATTTCAGCGGAGTGTGCAAGTTGTCGTGGCTCGAATGCTTTGATGTGACTTGCATCTCGTGGTTAGAGAACCAGAGGCGAAATGCATGGGTCGTTGGTCATGAATCATGACGAGATATCCGATTGCCAGTGTCATCAAGTAGGTACTTTGTATATAGATAGTAGATAATAGATAATGCCTCGAAAATGGGTACAGTCAACGCGGAGAGTTAATGTAGCTAGATGAGGTAAGCATCAGAGTAAATACTGCTTTTCTTTGCCTTGGGACTTCGGAGGTTCTGGACCAGAAAAGATTATGAGGCTATCTTGAATTCGTAGCATAGCCAATAGAAGATGAAGATATGATTTGGCTGCATATATGCAACCCAAGTCTTTTTCATTCCTTCCCTCAAAAACTAAGGCTTTTGGGCGCAGATCAAAAATTGGGTGGTTGGTAAAAAGATGGAGGGCTTCTGGAAGTCACATCTACACTCGTGCTCTACAGACTACTCACCGCTTGTTCGCAGGACCGCAGAATTGCGTCGAGAGAGGGGAAGTCGAAGGTGGGGGATAAGAGAAAAGTTGAAGCTTGAATCCTTAGATAGTACAATCGTGTGCTTGTACCGGTATGTTAGAGGTATTTTATATTTCCGAGGTACTGTACGTCAAGAATGGTTGCTGTGAAGATACTAGGTATATATCATCAGACGATGTCAAACGAAATCATTTTGATAGTTTCAATACTACCGAGATCGAATTAAAGGGGCTCAAAAATGAAAGTACCGGTATGTATTTTCTGAAGATTCACTCATTTCACGCTTCCTCAATAGATATCGGAAAGTCTGAAATATTTACCGGTAAGTTGGTGTTACGGTGACCGAAAATTTCATTATTTGCATCACAATATCAAAAAAGATCTCCAGCTTGCACAGCTGCAAACATATATCTGCGACCCAGTGATAGACATCGTTCATTATGCCTCCACGTTGTTCAACTGTGCAAGGCACGTTGACGCCATTTCTGTACCCATTCCTATTTTCGAAGACATCTAGGTTGATGCACCGAAATCCTCGAATATACATCAACGCAGTCCGGAGACAAAGTACCTTATCTGAAGAACTCGCCGCCGAATCTCCGGCCGAAGAATTTGACCGATTGAATCCTCCTCCCTCTGATTATTCTCGAACAATATTCGCGGATAAAGCAAAGATAGATGTCTTTGCAGGGGCTGGTGGACATGGATGTATTTCTTTTCTGCGAGAGAAGTACATAGCTGCGGGACCTGCGAACGGAGGCGATGGGGGTACTGGTGGAAACATTTATATACAGGCTGTGAGGGGAGAAACAAGTCTACATAAACTTGCAAGAAGGAGGAATTTAAAAGCTGGCAGGGGAAAAAATGGTCAAGGAAAAACGAAAGGTGGAGAGAGGGGCACTGATATTATCATTGAAGTTCCTGTAGGTACTATTGTGCGCGAGTTAGATCGGCATGATCCTGCAGCCATTGAGGAGGATAGGATAAAGATGGAGGCAGGCAAATTGGATGGGCATGATTTAGATGGACCTTATAAATGGGATCGAGAAAGATGGTTACTATACCCAGCTATTACACCTGAAGAGATCGCTACTGCCGAGTTCCCTTCATTACCCAAGGCAAGGAAGTCAAATTTAGCTGCCGCACAAGTGAAGGGTCCTATTTCCTTAGATCTTTCCATGCCTATGGAACGACCCTTGCTCTTGGCCGCAGGTGCTGTAGGAGGTTTGGGAAATCCACATTTTGTCACAAAACAAGTACCAAGACCAAAATTCGCGACCAAAGGTGAATCTGGACTACGAATTACATTGGAGCTCGAACTTAAACTTCTCGCCGATGTTGGACTCGTGGGGCTCCCTAATGCTGGAAAGAGCACTTTACTACGAGCTATGAGCAACAGCCGAACAAGAGTCGGAGACTGGGAGTTCACCACATTGGAGCCGAATATTGGTACTGTAATTATTGATGACAATAAGGGAAGACCTTTGGCTCAATCACATTACGAAACTGGAGAACCAAGAACAAATTTTACCATTGCAGATATTCCTGGTTTGGTCGAAGATGCCCATTTGGATCGAGGTCTTGGTATAAGTTTCCTTCGACATGTTGAACGAGCTCGAGTTCTCGCGTTCGTTGTGGATCTTGGGAGAGGCAATGCTGTCGAAGCTTTGAAAGGCCTATGGAGAGAACTGGCTGAATATGAACGGATGAAGATTGAAGAGGAGAAAGAGAAGGCCAATCCAGTTGTGGAATGGACCCCCTTCACCTCTGTCGAAGATGCAGTGGCAAATCGATCCGAAACAATCGTGGTTAACAGTGGACCTACCTTTGAGAACCCCCTCGCACCTAATCTCCCGTCAATTTCCAACAAACCTTGGTTCGTCGTTGCTAGCAAAGCAGATTTGCCTGGTACTCAGGACAACTTTCAACAGTTGAAATCGTACTTGAGAGAAGTCGCAGCGGGAAATGAGGAACATCCTTCAAGACAGCAGAATCCATGGAAAGGAAAAGTACAGGCCATCCCAATCAGTGCAATTAACGGACATGGCGTTGAGAAGATTACCGAATGGACTGTCGGTCTTCTTGATGGATGAAGTATTTACGGATAGAGGCATGTATAATATCATGATGCACATTAATGATCAGTTCATGTACAAAATTCTATTGATTCCCATTATCTATTCTCACATCAATATCAACTTGATCATATACATCTGTTTCTGTCCGCATGCATCTTTGACGTTTGACATAGTGGGGTATATCTAACGGCTACTTTCATTTGAAATTCATCACAAGTGGCTTATGGTCTGATCCCAAGCGGGGTTTAAGTTCCAGTTATGCTTCCATCTGTATTTTTGTCACTCACATCGGGAAATTTCCACGGTTGGGATGAGACATTGGAGCGGTAGTGATGCTGTGGCCCGTTCCCGTGACACCATCTTCTTCAACTTCAACGAACCTTTCGATTCCCAATATAAGATGGATTGATTTGTACAAGTGTTGGCGGGAGGAAAGAACATCCTTCCTAAATTCCTGTCTCAGATCTCAAAGTCTAAATCTCCCGTCGGTGGCGTTCTTACCTCTCGAGATCTATTTTCGAATCGATCATTCGAAGCTATCCATGCACGAAACGCTGGACAGAACTTTGTTATTCCAACGAAATTCTCCGCAAGACTAGACGGTCTGTAACCATTATGAGTACCAAATCAATCGAATATAGTAAGGACTACTCTTATGGTGAAACAGTGAATATGTGGTTGAAGTATCTCAAAGGTGAGTTGTGATGACATTCACCATTGATAGCTACCTTATTGAGAAAGGATGAACACATAATGGGCTTAAAGGGCTGCCTGGAAAAAGGTGTGTCAAAAGTCAAGTTCCTTTTGTTTACTCCGATATCGTCATCGTCCTTGTTGGTTAAATATAAAAGTCCCTTTCGGTCCTATCTTCGGATAATATTTTCCTCCCACAAACAATACAGCTCTCGACCTACCTCATCAACTTAAGCCTCTTTTCTCTACATTCAAATAAACCTTTAAACAATCTTGTACTTTCAAAAAATCATCAAGCCACTTCAAAATCAGTACAATCCCTTCTGTTCTTCTCTTGCAAGTTTAGCATATACTGTCATCTTTCAAGATGTCTGCAACTATCGCAGTCCTTCCTGAATCTTCCTCCCCATTTGATCCTCAAGCTCTTGCACAAAAGTACATTGTCGAGCGAGAGAAGCGTATTCGCGAGGATGGACTCACTCAGTACAAGGAACCTACTGGCAACTTTGCTCGGTTCCAAGATGATGCCCTCATTGAAGAAATTTCCCCACGTGAGCCAATCACCGATTCTGCTGAGGTACTGATTATTGGTGGTGGTTATGGTGGTTTGCTGGCTGCTGCCCGCCTTTCTCAAAAAGGCGTAACCAATTTCCGCATTCTTGAAAAGGGTGGCGGCTATGGTGGAACTTGGTATTGGAACCAGTATCCAGGTTTGTTTTATCCTCATGAGCTAAAACCTCAATTACCACACCTCCATAATTATTGATATTTACTAATTGTCAATTTGCAGGTGCTCAATGTGACATTGAATCCTACATTTACCTTCCCTTGCTCGAAGAGCTTGGCTACGTCCCAACTGAGAAGTATGCTCGTACAATTGAAATCCATAAGCACATTGAGATGCTCGTCACACGTTACAATCTTAAGGAAAAGACAATCTTTCAAACCGAAGCAAAATCAATGACTTGGGATGAGGATATTCTTTCTTGGAAGACCGAGACAAACCGTGGTGATCATTTCACCTCCAAGTTCGCTATCACTGCTACAGGTATCCTCCACAAGATCAAGCTTCCAGGTCTTGAAGGCATGGAGCTTTTTGCTGGAAATTCTTTTCATACATCTAGATGGGATTATGGCGTTACCGGCGGTGACGTCAATGGTAATCTCAGCAAGTTGGCTGATAAGCGTGTTGGTGTCATTGGCACTGGTGCAACCGCAGTCCAAATGCTTCCTCATCTCGCTAAAGCCTCAAAGCACGTCTACGTCTTTCAGAGAACACCATCCACAATCAATGTTCGAAACAACAAGCCTACTCCACCAAACTTCTGTCAAAATCTCAAGCCTGGATGGCAACAAGATCGGATGGAGAACTTCAATGATCGGATTTCCAATTGTCGTCAAAAGGAAGATCTTGTTAACGATGGTTGGACTCTCAACCCTGCTACGTCTATCTTGGGCAAGGCAGATGCTTGTACTGATCAAGTGAAATTGGGTCAGATGATGATGATGGCAGACTTTCAACTCATGGAGCGTATTCGAGCTCGTGTCGATGAACTCGTTGAGGATAAGGAGACTGCCGAGAAGCTTAAGCCATGGTACTCATCCATGTGCAAGCGTCCCTGCTTCCACGATGAATACCTCTCTCTCTTCAACCGCAAGAATGTTCAACTCGTCGACACAAATGGGAAGGGTGTTGATCGTGTCTCTCAAGCTGGCGTTATCGTAGACGGTGTCGAACATCCTGTTGATGTTCTCATCTATTCTACCGGGTTCGAAGTTACGACCGCTTATCAACGCCGCTCGGGTATCACTGTTACCGGACGCAATGGTCTCATCCTTGATAACAAGTGGAAGAAGGGTCCCTCCACCTTCCATGGATTCCAAGCCCACGGTTTCCCAAACTATTTCTTCTTCGGCACAACTCAATCTGGTGTTTCTGCAAACTTCATGTATACACTCACTAATCAGTCGATGCATACCGCCTATATCATCTCCGAATGCAAGAAGAAGGATATCAAGGCTGTTGAAGCTAGTGAGGAAGCCGAAGGTCAATGGGTCAACGATATCTTGCAAGGAAGTGCACCTATGTTGCAATATTTCACTCAGTGCACACCAGGTTATTTCAATGGTGAAGGAATGGTTGGCAAGCATCCAGAGGTTAGTGGACAAACTGCTGTTTATGGACAGGGTGCTAGTGCGTGGGGAAAGTTGTTGGAGGATTGGCGTGCTGATGGTAAGATGGAGGGACTTGATAAGATGTATTGAGGGATGAGTTTCTTTCTCTGATCTTTTAGCTGAAAAGCTTCACCTCTTATGAAAAATGCTTCTTGTCATGGCTGTTGGCAATGGAGATGAAAAGTTTCTCTAAATCATGGAGCTGGTACGGGTATGGTTTTACTTTGAACTGTGCCTAGTTTATTTCAACAACTTCATTTTCATCGTTGTGAATCAGATAGTTTAGTTATTTGGTCTGTCATTCATGGTATGGTCTATTATGTAACGGATGGCTTCTGATAATACAAAACATAAATTCTCATACAACTTCACTGCTATTCGAGCTGAGTCGATACTTGTATCCAATGTATCTCGTCTCAAACAACTTCTCTTTAGTATTACGAGTGACAATTTATAATCACATCATGCTATCGTTTTCATCTCATCCCACAATCGTATATACAGCACCAACACCTCCTAACCATAGTTCATTTCAGACAAGAAAACATTTACCATTCACACTCAAGTATACTTGAATCACATCCTCAATCTCCCTCCGAAAGCTCAATGTCGCGACCCCCAAAGAACGTGCCCCTCTAACATCTTACCATCATGCCATTATGACCAGTGCTAAGCATCTACATCCCATTTGGGCCATTCTCCCCCTCAGAGTATTTACCATACCCTGCAAGAAAGCATATGGCAGACTAGATGCCCCCGAAAATAAATCAGATACTTACAAGATCCAGAATAAAGATTATCCCAAGATTTCCCCATCTCTCAGACTCAGATTGCAGATCTCGATGAATATCCTTATATCGAATCGTGCTAAACTCCATATATCCCATTGACGATTGAAAAAAGTTCAAAGCTACATATTAGGAAAGGTGTCTGTATTTGTAATCAATCTCAAGTAGTTGATTTATAATCAACTCTTACTACATTACATCATTGTGCTTCGAGGTAGGTACACTTAAGATATGCTAGATATTTAGTACGATTATATAGTGTCTTTCGGATATCCACCAATGGTTCGGGTTTTTATCCGAGTGTATCCGTTCGATGCTCATTCCCGTATATAATCATGAGTTCCTTCTGTACAATAATTCAAATTTGTTTACCACTATCTTCTCGCTATCTCTATAATATCCGTCCATTGATCCATTCATCCATCCCAAAATCACAATGTTTTCCCCTTCTTCCAACTCTAAACCACGGCCGCGATCTTTCCTCGCCCTTCTAATACGCAATCCCGCAATGTCAAAAGAAGAATTCTCAAAGCACTAGGTGACAGAACACGCACAAGTTGGTTTGCCTTATTTTCTGGATGCGGGTGTGGAGAGCTATGTACAGGTATGTGAAGTTTTCCTACTGTTGTCCCGCCATCACCTCTGTAACTGCTGCATCCCCAGAACTTACATCTATCATCCCCATCTTCCTGTGGAAGTGTAATTTTATGAAATGCAAGAAGTAGATCTGCAAATCTCTTAATTAAGAGCTAGAGCTCAAAAAATGACTTCCAATTTTCTTTTTCCTGTGTATTCTAAACGAGATCCTTCTACCTACAGATTCACGGCCCTCTATCAATGTCATCACCCGCGTCTCCAGATTCCAATCCCAAGAATCCTATCGCTGTCCTACAGAAAGAAATCGAAGCTGGAGAATGGGATGGATGCTTTGAGTTGATCGGTCCACCGGGTATGTCTTTCCTCATTTCTTAGTTCCCACTTGCTATAGTCAACATGCCTTTTTCATTTTTCCCTATTTTCTCGTCCTTCGGACGCAATTCGGAGACCATTGTATATAATCTCATTTCCATCGTGATCGTTGTTGACATCTTTCCAATATTTAGGCATCGTAACGGGTGAAAGAAAAGCAATAATTGAAAAAGGGAAGAGCAAGATAAATATTGATAAGGATGTGATGAGTGTATGGGAAGAGTACAAGAGAAAGGGGGAAAATGGAGAGTTCTAAAATTCGGGCGAGTATTCTAGAAGGTTGGAATCAGAAGAGAAATAGATGGCATCGTATGAGAGGGCAAACATTAAGTTTAGGAATATAGAAAGGGGGAAACGAGAGAGAAAGACGAAAAAGCTGGTTTGCACTGAAATCTAGAGGAGCTGAAGTAGCCAGACATGGTTAGTGACTCAACAATGGATTAAAGAATGGTGCAGCGGTGTTTTGGTTTCGATGATGAAAATGGTGAGAGAAAAATGGTAAGATAGAGAGGAGAAGGAGGGTATACCAAGAAAGGGGGATGGAAGTGGACAGTGATAGTTCGAGGGGCGATTATTCAAAGTCGAAATCACTACGACGCTCGACCGTGCCCACGTTTTCTTCTTGTTGTATACATTTACGGGGAATTGTAGTGACAGAAGAATTTCGGAGATTCAAAGGATTGGTACAGCGAAGATACTCACTCGCATAATAACATTCGTACAGTTCTGTTATGGTCGTCTGGTACAAAGGCATATTGCTCGATATAAGTTCAAAGAGGGGCACTTGCCTTAACCTCTATCCTTCATATACTCATAGCCTTGCACATTTCCGGGTAGATTCAAAGCTATATCGTACACAATACTATATCTAGCAAGATTAATATTAATCTATTTCTCTATCGATTGCTCCAAATTACGCCTCAAAACATCAATAATCCAATCCTTCCCAAACACTCCCTCGGATATCTTATATGAAAATGTCAACGGAAAACAATGCATCTGCTTATCCCATTCCAACCATTCCCCTCTTACTCCTTCTATCTCTAATTTCTTTCTAAACTCTACTGAGTCGGGAGCCAAACAATCATATAAACCTACCACTCCATCTACTTGTACATCTGCCTTTCTAAACACGCTTAAATCGGCCAGAAGAGGCGAAACTGTTGGATCTTCGGCTGGTATATCCTGACGCCATCTTTCTGCTACTTCAGTAATGAAAGTTCGCGAAAGGATGGGATCGTGAGAATCTATTGCGTCGATTCCGGGATTTGCGTTTCGCATGTCGGTGGGTGGTGATATGACCATGATGTTTCTTAATGGACAGACGTTCCCAGTTCCTTTTAACCCACCATCCTGTAACCAACTATTCGCTCCATAAAGTCCCAAAACTAACGCAATATTACCTCCAGCCGAATCACCCATCAATGTAATTCTATATCCCTCTCTCTTCGCCTGTTCCGCCACAGCATCATAAAATTTTCTCAGAAGCGGCAATGATTGAGCAGCTGGGGAGCTGGGGGCCAAAGGATAGCTAACAATGTTGATTTCGTATTCGGGAAGCTTTTTGGATAGCTCGGCGCAGAGCGTCCAATGTTCTTTCAAAGCGCCACTTCTGAACCCTCCACCTGCGAAATAATATAATTTATCGAGAACCACGGGGGGTTTTTGCTCGGTGGATGGAGACGGTGGCGGGGTAGAGAGAGATGAGAAGGTATAGATATATGTATCTGCGATATGATGTTCGGTGATTCGACAGTGTTTCTTGACGGAATGGTGAGGGGTTAATTGAGGAGATCCGCAAGGGAAGGGGGGGTGTGTCTTGAGGATTGTTTCGGAGAAGGTTTTGATTGCTTTCTGTGCCACAACACTCAAAGTCGATCGATCATGTCGTTGAGTCAGTTTGATTGAACTTGTAGGAGCTGAATGAGATGGTTCGAGATTCGTCATGATTGGGATAGTATTTATCGGTATTTGCGGATGTTGCTAGTTGTCCAGGATATCACAAAGTACCTTGTTCTATGCGCATATTCGTAGAGTCGTAGATGGTATGTATTCTTGTAGACAGCATTCGAAGAGAAGTTATTGATGTTGTTTTTAGCAAACAGACAGATGTGAATATAGATATAGAAAAAGGAAAGAAGAGAAGAGAAAGGGTCTTGTCAAAGCTGTCAAGCCCCTCATCTCACCCCATACCATACCATACCATACCATACCATACCATACCATACCATACCATAGACAATCTTAGCATCCACAAATTTCTCATGAGATCATCAATTCCTTCGCCATTCTTGGAATCCTTCGAGTTCCTTGGATTTGTTAGCTCTTATCTTATCCAGAGCCCCTCATTGAATATTTTTTCACATCAACACCATTTCAAGGGATCAACATCAACATCAGCATCAGAATCAAGATCAAAATCATTCCTTATAGTGAAGTCAAGATGACTTCTGTCTGAGATACAAGATGTGGAGAGATATTGTCGTTGGGGAAGTGAAATGTGGTGAAAATGTCGTAGAAATCTGGGGTTGACCGTTGAACTTCAGACCCTTGATATCCATCGTCATAACCATCTAGGGTGATATAGATACAACGGTGGAGATTCCTAATGCACTCACAGACGCACAGGCTCACCGACTCATGAAACGAGCTCTTGTGCTTATTTACTGACATTCATTTGATCCATTTAGGTGCAAGCATCATCACAACATTATTCATAATAATAGGTCAGTCAATTTGAACTGAAGTGAATTCAAGTAGCCGCCGAATGTATAATACAACGGTTGGTCAGATCTACGAATATCATCTCCGAGTGGAGATGGCCCTGGTAGATACTGTAACAGCAATGCTGTAACGAAAATTAATAATGTATAAAAAGTTCTACAAGATCTGCTAACATGGGAATGAGGTAGAAATTTTCACGATCAAAATTCATCATCAACGTCTATTGCGAGGCGAGAATGATGTTTTCCCCTTTACGATGTTTGTTGTTAAGCTATGCCTTTGACTACGTTATCGCGTCTTCGCCTGGTTTGAGTGAACAGCAGCCAGTTATGTATGGAGATCCTCTCGAGGACAATAGCTGCCATCAAACGGTAATGAATCGAATCCTTACATCGTCCAGATCTATAACATCCCCCTTAACTAACACGAAACTCGATAGTGTATAGCTCTCCAACAAACCCTTCAGGAAACCTACTATGGATCCATTCCCTCAGATTTCACATCCACCTACTACTCCTTCCAGCAAGTATCAATCGCTCCGGCCTGTATAATACGGCCTCATTCTCCTTCTGAAGTATCATCCGCTCTGAGAACCATCCGCGAGTCTGACTGTCAGTTTGCTATTAAAAGTGGAGGACATAACATGAATCAAGGATTTTCTAATGTGGAGGGCGGTATCACTATTGATTTGATGAGGATAAAGGATATTGAAATTTCGGAGGATGAGGAGATTGTGAAGGTAGGAGCGGGATGCCGATGGGGGGAAGTTTATGAGGTTGTAGAACCGAGGGGATTGATGGTCGTTGGGGGAAGAGATTCGACGGTGGGAGTAGGAGGATTCCTTTTGGGTGGTAAGTGGAGTGAAGATGGAATAGATTTGACAGTGGAGATGAAATGCTAAGCTTTTTTCAAAAGGTGGAATATCGTTCCTATCTCAAAGATATGGATGGGGTTCTGACAATGTTCAGAATTTCGAGGTTTGCGTAATTCACTACATGATGATACATGCGAGACTAACATCTTCTTAGATTGTACTTTCCAATGGAACGATAGCAAATGCAAATGCTCATGATAATTCAGATTTGTACTGGGCATTACGGGGAGGAGGAAATAACTTTGGTATCGTCACGAGATTTGATCTACAGACTTATCCGCAGGGTCCTGCATGGGGAGGTCAAAATTGTGAGTACAAACGTACTTTTTGATGTTAATCTATGTCTTTTGATATCAATTTTCTTTTCCCTTGCCATTGTTCTCTTTGCTACAATATTATCCCTCGATACCTTTATATCTTCTCAAAATCTCACAGTTCTACTAACACCAAACAGATTACCTCTTCTCCGACATGTCAACTCAACGCAATACTCTCTCTATTTCTCCCCGCCCCTTCCTCCCTCTCTCCTTACATTCTCTAACCATCCCCCTCACCAACTTTTTCCTCAAAACTGCCTGTCTCCTCTCCTACTGCACATCCACCACCACGTTCCTAAACGCCATCCAAGACCTTATCACAAACCAAACCTCCGACACCTCAAGTCAATTCTACGGTTCCATCGGTTACCTCGCCCAATATGATTTATTCGCTGGTCTTACTTGTCTAACGAATTCAAATGGTGTGGCTAATCCTTTGGCCTTCGAAGGGGTAAGGAAATTGGGGGCTTACAGCACGAATCGGAATGCTAGTATGGGAGAATTGGCGAAGGAGTTGACGAGTATGGATTATTGGGGTGACCGGTGAGTTGAATTTCTTTTGTGATATCTCTCAAGATACGAAAATAGGCAATCATACCTCGAAGCCCATGTTCATTGTGACTTACTCTGAACTCTAGAACTATCTGGGCAACCATGACTCTCTACCCTCATCCAGAGCTCTCCCAGAAAATCCTCAATCTCTTCCTCGAGCAAATAGAAACTATAAAACATGTCCCTGGCTTTCTCCCGAGTTTTGTGTTACAACCGCTAGTTCCTACCGTTCATTCGGATGGAACTCAGAGTCCAAATGGATTATCTGGAAATGATGGGACGCTTATTAGTTCGTTTCTCCCTTTTCTCCTCCCTCACAATAAACAATAACCGGCATCTTGCCCACTTCATCCCTCCTCCAACCAACTAACCTCCCCACACAGTCTTCAACATAAATATATGGTGGTCTTCTCAGGCCTCCGACTCCTACACGCCCCTAATACAACAATCCACCCACGATCTCATCTCCAAACTCACCCTGTTCGCTAAAGAATTGGGGATCCTGCATAAATATATTTATCCCAATTACGCAGATGCGAGCCAGGATGTATTCGCAGGTTATGGAGAGGAAAATCTGTCACGGTTAAGAAAAGTACAGGAGGCTTATGATCCGGACGGTACTTGGCGGAGATTGCAAAGTGGTGGGTTCAAGATTTGAAAGTTGAGGTTTGAGATTTCAGGGGGTTAGAGGAGCATAGATAAGTGGCTACAGGAAAGGGATTTAGAATTATAAACAGTACAAAGTTTCAAAACTTTCATACTCCTCTTTAAATGACGCTCTGCTTGCCCTCCAGGAGCCATTGTCATAGAGACTGACTAGCATTGAGTGAGTAGAAGACCTCCGAGCGAAGCGAGACATGGGGGTTTGGGGTCTCGCCCCCATGAGAAAAACATTCAGCGAAAGAAATTATACTATTCCAGGTTCACAAAAATATGCACAAGTAAAACAGAATAGGTAACCGCAAATTCCTCCATTAAACCTACACTACCACTTATAATCCGTACCACTTTCATGTTCCATCATATCAAAAGCAGGCTTTGCACTGAAATAACCCGCTTTCTCAGTCCCCACCGTCTTATAAGTATACGCCGCGTCTTCCTCCTGGATTTTAACCGTTTCTCCTCCCCTTCCCCCTGCTGCCGCATCAGCTAGTAACTGCGCATGACAACACTTTTCCAAACTCATGAACCAGAAGACCGCGCTTTCGATTGATTCTCCACAAGTAAGTAAACCGTGGTTTTGAAGTAATGCAGCCTTTTTATTGCCGAGAGCGGAGGCGATAGCGTGTCCTTCTTCGGATGCGAGGACGATTCCGCGGAAAGATGAATAAAGTGCGAGATCGTTGTGGAAAGCACAGGCATCTTGGGTGATGGTATCGAGGGGACGGCCGAGCGAACAGAAGGCGCGGCCGTAGATAGAGTGAGAATGGGCTACCGCGTTGATCTCAGGGCGCGCCATGTGCACGGCGTGGTGAATCATATAGGCTTGGGGAGGAGATGTTAGTGCGGAATTTTGAGAGGGGGCGGGGAGGGAGAGAGATAGCTACCGGCTGTATTTAATAATCGACATGGACCGCCGTCAACTACTTCTCCATCTTGGTTGACGAGGATCAAATCGGATGCTCGGAGAAGTGGCCAGGCTACTCCAAATGGATTGACCCAAAAGCTAGTTGGTTCAACGGGATCCTATTCTCATCAGTATTCTGCACTCAATTCTCTTTCATGTCCATATCCAAATCCTTTCCACAACTTCCAATCATATGTCAGTCCTCCTCATCCGCAAATATCAATATCCATCCACCTTCCTCTGCCCAAAAGAGAAATAAAACCCCACTCACCCTCAAAGTAATATGTCCCGCAACTCCCTCATCATACCCCAACTTGGCAAAAATTCTAAAAGCCAATGCTAATCTTCCCTTTTGATATTCCCTCTCTGCATATTTATCTTCAAGTGGTGTTCGAAATGGCACCCTCATACCTTTGGCACGAGCTTGGGCTTGCTCTTTTGATAGACCAGGCTCGTGGGCTTGGGTTGCGAGGGTAGAATCAGAGCTCGTGGGGATGCCAGCGCCGGTATTGAGGGGTTCAGATGGGGTTGTTACCGAAGGGGGAGTCATTTTGAAATTGGAATTGTGAGTGTACTGCTGAATATTGAATTGAGTGAGAGTGAAGTATGCGAATTGGAACCAGAGAAGGTAATGTTACAAGTGAAGTGTCAGACAGCAGAAGTGGCAATTGTAATAAAGGGAAGTCCGGAGCTTCTTAATAAATAGATGTTGAGAGGCTTAAAATAAGTGTACAACCACACGCCCTATTTTATACAATCTCCGAGCCTATGAGGATCATGCGGAAGTGTCGGTCGTGTTAATTGACACCAGCTGGTTGGCTGGAGTCTGATCTCGTTCAGAATTACATGCATTTTCAAGATGACTGTGTACAATACCGGACGTAAATGAGGGGTATTTGTGGGGTGATAAGCTTTTTACTTGGGTAGATGCTGTTGATAGACACCAGTAGGTTTCTTATCTCGTTGAGCTTCGTAGGACGCTCGGTAGCGAATTACATCAGGGGGATTTGCGGTCGGTGCTCGGGTAACTATCATCCCTTAGGAACATATTTTAGATAACGTAGCTCACTTGATGCCTCTGTTTTTTTTTTTTTCGATAATGAATAGTATGTTTCATAAGGTGGAGATGTCTAGTCAAAACAAATAATGTCCAATTTTCGAAACCTTGAGAGTTGTCGTGCTAAAGCTATTGAGTATCCTTTCGCACTTGAGATACTCGTATAACCTCCGAGGTACAAAAGTGTGTTCGGAAAATCTTCCGCGATTACTAATCGCATTATATTATCTCACGTGAACAGGCGATTTCCTTGTAATTTCTTGTGAGGTTACCGACGCGGCGAACTTTTACATTGAACCTAACTGATAGAAAATTGAAAGGGCGTTCTTGCTTTTTAAACTTTCTAAAAGCCCGACGAGGATCTTCTCTTTCTGTTTCTCTTTTCCACCCCGTAGTGACTGCAAATTCGGCAATGGTGCTGTTGTCATTCACCTCAAAATTTTCTCCCCTTGGTCACATCTCATTATAATTCACGCCATTTGTTTTCCAAATCTTTTTTACTGTGGGTATATAATTCCTCTTTCTACCATGCCGTCGTATCGGTGTCCTAAGTCTTTTCTTTGCACGAAAGAAATGTCAGATCAAGATTCAGAATTAACTCCGATTCGGAAAGCATAGGATATTGGGAAGCCGAAGGTTCCACGCAATAAAACACCCTTTTAAGTACTGGGTGCTTTCAATTGATGAATTCTTGGCTAAAAATTTAATAGGTGAAGTGTGGAGTGACGTCCCTATCTTTCATAATTCACAAGATCTCTTGAAACCGCTTAAATCATTAGAGAGAATCAGACAAGCAAGTGGGAGCTTAGTAGCCTGCTAATTGTTAACTTTCTACCTACCAAAGATTTAGAGCTAAACACAACAATAATCCATCAAGAGTGCTCTATGGCGAGACCCTAGTAGATATAGACAGCATGCAGGTTTCCAATAAACAGAATCTAATTGATTTGTGTCTTCAAACCTTCTGTTCACCATCTCGAACAAAGGATCCATCAATCATCGGAGTATCATCAGAATCATTAGAATCATCAGATAATACATCAAAAGTACTTGCGCCATGTGGTCGTTCCATTGGGAAATTACTCGCTCATCTGAGTACCTCTATTCGTACTCAAACAGGTAAACAAGAGTTGACTCTCCAAAGGCTCGATGATTTACTTGCTCTAGCTAAAGAGAAATTCTATGCATTTCCATTTAAAGATGTACCAGAATGTTGGAGGGCATTGTTTCTCGAGGCAAGTTTGTTTAAGTTTTCTGCTCTTGCCTCTAGGGAATCCTTACCTCCGAATGAGAAGAAGGATGAAGATTCAAATTTCGATGTCATAGATGATCGAGTAATAGACCAGATGGTTGAGACAATGGATATGGCATTGATCATGGTCGGAGCTCCAGCATCAGAAACAATGCGATTGGCAATTGATTGTGCGATGGATCTTTTACAAAAGATTCATGAAGAAATGATAGATGACGATAGATCAACACAATCACCCATGAAACGTCAAAAACTTTCGTGCAGTTATTCACCCTCAAGATCCATATCTTCATATCAAGATCGCTTTCTATCAATTTCGATCACATCGCCTTCTCTGTCAAATCCCATCTCTCGAGTAACTTCAAACGAAATCAACATCGATAACGATGACGGAAACATGGACAAATTCGCAAAGCACATGTATCAACCCCAGGATCGTACACTAGGAGCCGAACCTCTCATAATAACTCGGTCAATCGATTCATGGCCTGCACGTAATAAGAAACCATGGTCTAGTCCCTCGTACTTACTATCCAAAACCATTGGCGGTCGACGCTTAGTCCCCATAGAAGTAGGTAGAAGTTATGTTGATTCTGGATGGGGACAAAAGATCGTTACATTCAAAGATTTCATGACCGAATACATGTTATCCCCTGCCAAAGAAGGAGAAGCAAAAGAAACGGGCTATCTAGCACAACACAATCTATTCTCCCAAATCCCATCTTTACGAAATGATATAACCGTGCCGGATTATTGTTACATTTATCCACCACAACCTCATTCATCATGCTCTCCCGCGCTAAAAGAAAAATACGCACAAATGGAAGAATTGGAAGAGCCGCTCATAAACGCGTGGTTCGGACCAGCCGGTACAATTAGTCCGCTGCATACAGATCCGTATCATAATATCCTAGCACAAGTTGTCGGGAAGAAATATTTGCGTCTTTATCCACCTATAGAAACTTCGAAATTATACGCGAGGGGTATAGAAGAGGGGGGAATCGATATGAGTAATACGAGTGAGGTGGATATTGGAGTATTGGAGGGATGGGATGGTACTGTTGAAGAGCAAAAGGAAGAAAGGAAGAAATTTCCAGATGCGGAGAGTGCAAAATATTGGGATTGTGTGTTGGAAGAAGGAGAAGTGTTATATATTCCGGTTGGGTGGTGGCATTATGTAAGAGGATTGAGTGCGAGTTTTAGTGTAAGTTTTTGGTGGAATTAATAGGCATAGCATGTAGACATGGCTCGGTATGATGATAAGCTTGTAGATCTACTTCAAGGGAGCAGTAAAAGTTTCCGCGACCTAATAAACCTTAAAACTTGTAGAACATGAAGCAGTATGGTATATTCATTCGATCACGAAGGAATCAACTATCTTGATCTAGCCCCCTCCCCTAAAGATGGTTGGATTTGAAGTCATTATTATTCATCTATTCTCTTCACTCTTCACTCTTCAGCTCGCACACTGCCTTATCATATGATAATACGACGTGCCATCCTATATCTCGAAAATGAAAACCAAAAGATGTTCAACCGAATAAGACGCTGGTATGCATATATATGATTTTCTCTTACTCTCCCATTCTCTCACTCAACCTGTCCATATCCGTAACTCGTTTATTCAAAAAGCCTCCCTCGTCTCTGAATCCATACCGACATCTCCATCTTCCATTTCCAATCCATCCGCATCAACAAAAGACCTCCCCAAGCAGGATTAAAACCCAAAAACATATAAACACAACCAGCTGTGGTATAAGTGATACTCCATGACGCCCTATATTCAATCCAAACCTGTGGACTCAATCACTAATCCACTTCATATCCAGATTCAAATCGGATCCAGATCCTAATGTGCCGCCCAATTTTCGTGATCTCGTAATGTTCGCGATGAGTGCTCAACAAAGGAAAGTTTAAAAGTAAAGGTAAGAGACAAAGTAAAACAAAGTAAAAATAAATACAGTAGAAAAAAGGGTTCAGGTATAAATCTTGAAAAGGAGAAAGGCTGAAAGAGAAAACATCGTAGTGTTACAGTAGATATAATAAAATATGGAAGAAATGCGGATCTTCTCCGTGACAAGTATGTAAATAAATGTGTGGGTAGGTGTGTGAACCCATAATTACCTCTCCAAAAGCCCCCCAACATCTTGCAAACTCAGATTGGTCTGCTGTCTCCCTAAATGATCAATAGGCGGGGGCATCGAATGTGCATGAGTAAGTGACGGATGACTAGTAGGCCCATTATTTCTCTGCTGCAAAATTGTTTCCAGCTCATATCCCATACTCGCTCTTTGAATTCTCGTTCGGGCCCCCAATAAACCTCCTATATCTTGCAGAAGAGCCGCAGAACCGCGTCGTGCTGGAGCGGGACTTAATCCATTTTCATAAGACCAAGTAGTGGATACTGGACCTTCGCCTGCTGTACTGGAATCGCCTGTGTATTCCGAATCCATCGTTCTCGTCGAACTAATTCTTCTCGGAGATTCTTGATCGAGTAATCCTCCGACGTCGAAGAATGATACGCGGCGTGGTGACATCATTGATGTTAAATCTTCAGAAACATGTCTCGAAGGGGCTGGTTTGACGAAATCGATTTCATCACTCGTATCACTTGGAAAACGCCAATCATTCGAACTATTTGATCCAAATCGATGACTTCTTACCGGCATGTTCCCAGCTACAGCCATTGGGGCGGGACGAGGAGGTGAATGAACTTCCCCTCTCAATTCGGGATCTACACCTAGACCAAGATCTCGGACGAGATCTTCATCGCTTCCCCATTGCCGAGCTACGGTTCCACGGCGAGAAGTAGTCCGATCGAGTGTGTCAGTTAGGGAACCAAATTTAAATTTGTGTTTCTTAACTCCTCGGTCTCGGACGAAAGATCCTAGGATAAGCGCATTGGCGACAGCTGTTGCGAAAAGAATCTCAACTGATGCTAGTAGTGATCGATACTGTTGAATACCATGTCTATCAATAATTTGCGGTATTCTGTAAAGTGTTATTCCTGCCGGAATCAATGATCCTGCAAATAATAGCACCAATTGAATTTTCCTCTTAATCCTCATTTTTGAACCAATAATGATAGGAACGGGAAATAGAACGAGGAGAAGATCAGTCAATACATTGACGGTCCCCATAGTCAGGAGTTGTGCATATCCTTGACGACATTTTGCTCCTGGATCTGGTGTGACTTGCCAATAATGATTGATGGGTTGGCATTCGGAGATATCTGCTATTATTACAGCGATAAATGTGACAAGGAGGAACCATCGGATGAAGATTAAAGTTCTTTCGTGTGACCTTGTCCAGATGTTGATTGTGAGCCTTTTGAAGAATTCACTAATTGTAAGTTTAAGCATCCAGAGTCTAGAGATAGGAAGATAGGTAAGTCAGTAATTGAATCAAATTTAAATGGGTATAAGAAAAGAAAAGAGGGGAATGAAATAAGCAAGCAAGCAAGCAGAGATCCAGTAAAAATAAACCTACGTCGCCGCATAAAAAACTCTAGATACCAAAACCAATCTACTCCCAATCACTCTTCTATGCACCGATCTCTCATCAAAATCCACAATCACCGCATTGTTGGTACCGAATAGCAAAATAACATGAACGAGGCCCATGCGACAAAACAATGGGATCAAACAAGCAAAAGCTAACCAATCCTCTTTAAAAAGTTTCTCCGTCCTAATATATCGTCCGCAAACTCTGAACAATATAATGACAGCCGAGAATAACGTACACCACCAACAAACAAGAAGTGTCGGTTTATCGTCGTAGAAGCTTCGAGCTGGTGGTGGACTGGAATATATGGTCATAATGAATGATATATATTAGGAATCGAGGAACCGCCGGAGCAATTGAGTACCACGCCCGTCTACCTCCGTGGAGGGGACGAGCGAGGGTCTATTTTGTTTCGCAGCTTTTGTGTTTTCGAGTGTTGAATTCAATGGAAGATGTGGTTGGATATTCGATTGCATATGTTTCCATGGGAATGGGAAATTCTTAAATTCCGTCGCGAATCGTATCGATAATTGTTACGCATGGACCGTTGCATGACAATAACGAGAGGAATTGGACTCGAAGTCGAGTATTCTATTTCGGAGGTTTTGGAAAACGTAGGACTGTGGGCTATGGTCGCAAGGTATTTTCTCCCTTCTCCTTTTAGTTATCCCTCGTTTCAATGATGTTCTGGAAGCTTTTGAGCAATACAATGTGCAATAATGGCGGAGATTATTCGGAAGGTTTGGAGATTGATAGTTCAATGTGACGGATGATGTTCGTATGTAAGTAGGGTTCAAGTTTGTAAGAATTCGAATTGGTTTTCTAGTAAGAAGAAACGTGTGAGAAGGATGTGAGTGATAAGATTTTTGAAGATTGAATTAGCCAAAAGATTCAAAAAAGGTTGTTCGCAGAAGTGGATGGCATTGGCGTTAATATGAGTGAGATGATTTGGGTGAGACGGTGAAGGATATGTCAATTAGTATGGGGTTCCTTGAATTCCCTTCTCATACTCGTACAGATAGAGATACGTATCGCACAGGGCTGGGTATTTTTGTGGTTGTTAGAACCTTCGATTAATACTCCGTAGACTCGGGGGCCGGTTCTGAATTTAGCTGACTGGTGCTGGTAGTGGATGGGAATTTCCCGCAGAGATATCATCTCTTTTCAGTATAGATATGTGTGTGTGTGTATATGTTTGAAGCCAAGAAAGTTAATTCTGAGTTTTTGGATGATAGACTATTTGGATGGAACAAATAGCAGGGAGTCTCGAAATTTAGTCGTTATTCTTGAAGGGCTTGGTGTGATTTTGGATGATAATTGCTCAATGGGTCATGGTTCTTGTGTCTTGCTTGCAGCTTGCTTTTGATAAACGTGGGGCCATGCGGAATTGAGGAATAGTTAAGGTACAAGTTAGAATTTGGAAAGTTTGAGTTTGGGAGGGTTAGGTTATAGCAATTAATAGTATCAAGTAGAACATCTGACACGAACGTATTGAGAAGATTAGGAGAATTAGATGGATAGACTTCCGTGTCAGTAATCATATCTTATTCAGACTCTTGAAACCGTTAGAACTACTTGACTATCATTGCCATTATGATCACAATCCTTTCCATTGGCATAACCGTCATTTAATTCGTCATCATCAAGTGGCGCGGTCAGAAAATATTCAACCCGCAGTCTGGGAACTCATCAGTGTGGGATGAGATGAAGGAGCTTTTGCCTATAGAGTGAATCCACTCGGGCAAGGCACCAAAAAGCTGTTAGGTCCAAGGCATTTTCACCGTCCCGGAGATTTTATTATTATCCATTATCATCTCACTTCAGAATGGGGGTACAAAATAGAATTACAGGGTGAAAAGATAAGAACTCTTTCAGCCACCGACCCACAGGATAGTATTAGAATTTGACGGGTTTATCAAGTTTATGGTCTAAAATCGAAGTGGTTGGTGGTTAGTTGTTGGTTTTCGCTTGATACTTGTATTGATATGGAGGGCATGTTGAGATGAGGCACAGTAAAGTGGTGGTGACATTGCCGATAATGGAGTGATGAATGGATGATTTTGATAGCAATGTTTGGCGCATGGCTCCGAGCCTGAAGGAGTATCTCGAATCATTTCATATTTATCTCATTGTGAGGCGCCTCGCTAATTAGTAAAGCTTCCAATCTAGCATCGATAGCAACACAGACTTTGGGCTTTTACTACAGAGCCAAGTAATGACTATTGATGAAGCCTCTGAACATAAATGCGGCATCTTATCGTATCTCCACGATTTTGTATCCTCCAAATATATCGATGTACGTATCATTCTCGTACCTGAGGTCATCTAGCATGACTGCTATGATGATCTACATGATCTTCTAGGATAGCTTTAATGAAATGTCGGTGAAATTTGACAACTATTATAGCCGTGACTCTTGAGGTCCCTAGACTATTGGATCTAACTCCTCATACAGTTCTGCATTGGAGCTTGATTCAAGAAGTATTCGTTATACAAAACATCAATTATAATTTAAATAATAGGTGATGCCTAGAGCTGAGACTCACTGTCGTTGTACGAGATCTGGAAGTCCTTGTACATGGGATGGCAAACAATGAAATTATATATAAAATGAGACATTGCTCTCGACTCGGGTTCGTAAAAGTAAGATTGACATCACAACGTTTACGATATGCGGCATAACAATACAATCATACGACATTTTTCCCGCATTCATTCCCC